ATAAATTTCACTTTTAACTTTTTCATTTTTAACTTTTAAATAATTTTTTTTTCTTATGCTTTCTTTTTCTCATGTAAGTCCTTATAAAAAAAAAAAACTGCAATTAGTAGCAAAATATTCTCATATGTCAGATCTTTACAAGGATTCACGTTGAAAAATCAACTTTCATTCCTTCCCTTTGTTACAACGTTGTTACATGTTGAATTTGTATATAATGTGTGTTACACTGTATTATGAAAAAAGAATTATAATTCCAAAATATGTTTAGAAATGGACTATAAACGACACAAAATGTATTATCTTAAGGAATTTACAGGTCCCACAAATATCATTAAGTTTTTTTTAAATTATTATGAGCACTAATAATCTGTAATATCTTTGTACTTATTATTATAAATATGCGCGCGCGTGTGTGTATAAAGATAGACGACTTATGAAGTCATCAATAATTATTTGTTCATAGTACTTATGTGTAACATTAAAAAAAATATAACATGATATAAAATATTATTCAATATATGACATATTAAATATATCATTATAGATAATTACTACTATTATAATTAAAAGGTGATTATAAAAATTACTAGATTATATCTATAATTATGATATAGGAAGTCTGATTAATGTCTAACTCATTAATCAAAGTTTATCAGAGAGGCAATTGTACCTTGTTTTCACTTGAGATTTCCCGTCTCATATTTGGAAGATACTTTCACATATCATTTTTTAAACGCAATCATGATATATAATTTCCTCTGAAGTCTCGTTACCATCCACTATAGCTACTTTTCGATATATAAATACTTTGCCACGGCAGTAGCGACAAAAACGATACGAATGGTGCGTTTTATTGAAATGATTCTTTATAGCGATATTATCCCACGCAATTTCGCTATTGCAATCATAACAAAGGATGTATATTCGACGAGTACTGTCGGCAGTGTCGTCTAGTTTCCTAAATCTTCCATGAACAGTGTCTATAACGACACGTCCTTCTTCCTGTTCCTTCTGACCAAAATTTTCCTTCTTTGGCATATTCCTCGGCAAGTCCTGTTCGTTGGACATATTGTACCTATAATTAAAATTACTGTATCACCACAAAACAATCTACAGAAATGTCACTACATTCAAAACTTATTGCATTCAATGAAAAATATACTATATTTGTCAAACATTTGCACAAATCACGAGTGGAAAATTGTTTGTTAGGTTAGAAATAATGATATAAAATTACATAGAAAAAATTGCGATATATATTTATAATATTTATTCGTGTACTTGCTTGTGACAAAAGCAGACGCACGTATGTTAAAATTTACCCACTTTAACAATAGTTTATTACCTTTATATCAAAGCTAACGGAGTGTGTAGCTAATGCGTCGATTATACAAAATTTATGAGTAATAGTTTGATAAAACGCTTGTAGATATTACTCGATGATAATATCCGTTTACATGTAATACGCAATATCGACGTTTACTTGTTAATCGGTGATATTTGTAAGTTTCATCTGACACTCAAATAAAGTTTATTAGATGGAAGATGACTCACAAAACATACGTAATCTATCACCGAACTATCTTCTGTCAGTGTAAAACAGCCATTTAAATCATGTCTCACGGATGAAGAGGCATCGATCGAGTGTACTTACTTGAGAATAAGTTGTACGGTCTATTTTGGATCTACGATTCGAGGAACCGATAGCTCGCTGTTTGTATACTTTTCGGACGAAAGATGTTAGGTTAGGTGAGATGCGACATCAGCGCGGAGCTTGCGTAAAAACACACAGCTACTCATACTTCTCTCGCGAATACGAGGAGTGCAGAAATGGCTTCGTACTTTGTTATTATAAGAAATTTTATTAGAATAAGGCTCATCATTATGCTAACGTTACAATATTCCAGCGCGCGAGATATTATATAGGTTTTATCTTGAAGTGCAGTCCTATCAGTGAGAACACCAAGCATTTGAGGTCCTGCACGAGATAATAGAAGCATCTTAATCCCTCCGGATCGCGCGACTGGTTGACGTCCAGGAGAGACCCAGTTTTGGAGGTGGTGAACGATATATGTTCATCGCCGATCACGATCTCCAGTTCTTGCCGGCCGACACGGTCGGGCTGCGGCCACAGCGAGTCGTCCTCCTGCATGATCTCCGAGTCTTGGATGATCCGCTTCAGCTCCTCCATCACACATTGGTGCACATACGCTTCCTTGCGGATCATCGTATCATTCTTGTAGTTTGAATTATTGGCATAACGCAGCTTGCCGTCTGGCCGAAACTCAAACTCGAGAAACTCGTGACCGAACTTGCCCTTGTGGCCGACATAGTAGCGTATGTAAAAGTCTGTCGACATCTTCGCCGCTCGAATTAATCGCTTGCTGCTTGAGAATCAACAACGACAGGAACGCCTCCGACTTTATCAGGGAACGATGTCAGAGTGATTATCGGCAGCCATGACTCTCTCTCATTTGGCACGCCTAAAGCCCGTATCGGATTGGGGATTGAGATTGGCCAATCAGTACAAAGCTAACTGAATTCAAGCTTAGTGAAATTTAACGAACTTTAAGCTGATTGGTCAATTTTCAATCTCCAATTCGTAGTCAGACACGGGCTTAAGGGAGAATTCATTGGCCTATTCTTTTTAGCAGCATCGCTGAACTAGTGCAATAAGTTGAAGCGAGACAAGTATATGTTTTCTCACCTCAACTTATTGCACTAGTTCGGCGGTACAGCGAAAAAGAACAGACCTTAGTTTAGCCGTGCGTGCTCGCGAGAATTTGTTTGTGTAGAACCGATTGTTTTTGACGAAGTCATTTTATCTTGGCAGAGTGCATTTTCTGTACCCACATCTTACTAATATTGAATGGTGTTGGAACTTTATTGAGTGGCTTGTAATCGATATGGAGATAGAGCAAAGGTCAATTAGACGTGTTTGATGAGGTTAGGTTGTTGTTATGTATTTTGAAACATTTTCTTCTATATATAATGGAAAAGTCAAAGGATATGGAGCTCGATCAAAAAACTGATGATAAAAATATCAACAATGTGTCATGTAACGATGATGATTTTAATGCAAATATCAAATGTGAGGAACCGGAATACTATAGCGATGTGACATATGAAGCGAAGAGAATATTGTTAGCGGAGAGATTACGTAGAATAGATGAAATGGTAATAGACGAGATAAATTGACAGCTTTTAACAAAAAGAGCAATTTAGTAAGAGCTTTCTAACTGTTGCAAGATCTGCCGAACGAAAAATTCATGTTTCTCCAACATGTTTACTGAAGATGACTTTCAGCAAAAACCGATAAAATCAATCGACTAGTAATAATAAGAAGAATATTCCAACATCGATTTTCAATTGTGTGACTTGTTTAACAATAATCGAAAAGTTAGTAATTTCTACTAGTAGGATAAAGCAGGTAATATTATGGAAATTTACAGTGATTTTGAATTGTTTTCTATTAACTATCGGATTATTAACTTAATCAGAATTTGGTCAGAGTTATCCAAACATTTTGGATATATGAGAAATCCTAAGCAGTGTATTAAAAGTAGATTGGAAGAAATAATGAATACTGTTTAATAAATATGGTGGAGAAATACAAACCGTGTCAAGTATTGTTCAGCCGAAAATCTTGTAACAGTTGCAAAGCTGCTGGTGACAAAGCACTTACCAAACTGATTTTTCTGTTGGATGCAACCATTTAATATAACAACTTATCAAATATACGATTACTTTTCATCGCAGAGATTATTCAATCTGTCTGTACAATTGGAACACGAAGTACCACCACAGCATCAGATTGAGACACGAGCAGGATCACACATACCATCGAGAGAAATAATGGAGAAATTCCAGCAAATAGTGCCACTTAAGAAGGGTACATATTCTGTCGAGGAAGACCAAATTATCGTTCGCAATTGGAAGAGATTTTGTACGGTTAGTGCATACATATGAGGATATTTTTTTTTTAACAATTATGAAAATGCTTGTAATCTAAGTGCTGAACATATAAAAGGATGCTTATATTGCATATTTTGAAACAGTTACATAATTGGGATGAAACAAATTGCAAACCGTTTCTGCAGTTGAGAAAAGGTGGAACTATGCACATACGTCATATCTCACAAAGACGGAAGTTTGTACAATTTTTGGCTAATGGTTTACCAAATAGGACTTTGTACAGTGTTTACCATAGATTTAAAAATTTGTATGAAAACAATATACAAACAAGGTAAGTTAGCAAAATATTGTCATGTATAATTATCGTAATTTCTCATCCATTATATTTCTACAAAATCGTTTAAAAATAATTACTGTTACATGTATTATTTTATAAATAAGAAACATATAAATTTCTTTTAATAATGGAATATCGACTGAAATTATACAAATTAAAATTGCTAGGTATACACCTGAAGAGGATGAAAGGATATTAGATCATCTGGAAAACAATCCATCTCTCGATGAAAAGTGTAAATATTCCGATTTGGCCAAGGTTCTTCGACGGACGAGAAACTCAATTTGGCGACGTTACCGAATTTTAAAAAGAAGGCAGAAAACCCGTAAAAATGCTTGATACATCTTAATGTGCGGATTATTCAAAATACTTAACAATATAAGTACATATGTGTATTTTAATGTATTAGAAATGGGTGAATTAATCGAATCTCTTCAAATTGGAATAATTTGAACACTTCCAATCGATTTGAATACAATTCGCGCGCATTAGCATTGGCAAAGTATTACAAAAGACGTCTAATCCAGCTGTATCCGACTCGATATTTCACTTGTTTATCAAACGGCTAAAAACATCTTACAATAACTCTTATTAGCATTAGACATTTTTTTTGTTTTGTTTTATACAAAACCATCTGTATATAAAAACATTTTGTAAAAATATATGTATTTCAATATAATTTCCTGGATTAATAATTTACTTATTTTACATATTATTTCAGGAAGGCACAAATTTATATATATAAGTACTATATAATATTACATATATAAGTTTACATATATAAGTACTATACTTGCACATTTGCTTTGTTAAGTAAATCTATGTAGGCTTCGGCTATCAAATCATCATTTGTTACAGACAATGCTTGCATCAAATCATTAGCGATTTTCTGTCCAGTTTCTACATCTTGATCTTCCTGTAAGACTACCTGTGAATCAATATTATTTATTAATATTAAAAATAACATATATCAATATAATATTATATATATTATGTATTATTAAAATTTTGAAACAGTGTGTACAAAGTTATGCAATATAAAATAAAGACTTACACACCTCAAGTTCTACAAAATTCCCTAAACCATCGACTTGGTCAATATGTATTCGAGTTTGTCCAACAATAAATAACTGCCTAATCTTCTTGACAACCCCTACCACTCCCATAGATTCTGATAAAATATTCAATAGCAATTCAGTAGTATCCGTGTTTAGAGTTATTTTATTGTAACTGCACAACTTGGGTCCTAGTACGTTGGGTCGCTTATAAAAGATATACTCTGCAGTATTATCCTGCAGATAAAGAGAAAAAAAGATAAAATAAAAATTTTTTTATTATCTTTATTATATATTTTTGTATTATCCTGCATATAAAGAGAAAAAAAGATGAAATAAAAATTACGTGCGAAAATTAAATTATCTTAAAATATTTGATATAAATAAATACATAGAATACGTAAAAATAATACATTAGGTGTATATAGTTTTAAAAAAACATTTCTTTCTTTTCATTTTGGAATGAAACCGAACAAATTCGTGGAAAAAAATTGAAAAATCAGATTTTCCGCAATTTTCTTTTTCATTCATCTGTGGAAAGGAACCGTGGAAAAATGGAAAATATTGGACGTTTCCGAACTTAAAAAATTATAATTAAAAAGTCATCTTTCAAGTTTTTAAAACATTCGCACACTTAGATGAAAGGTGTAAAGTGTTAGATCCTCCTCATCAAACAATTTAACTTTTGTATGTTACTTTATATGTTTTTTTTTATTTACTATATTTCCAGAAATAGGTATGTTTATAAATATATAAATATAAATGTAAATACAAATAAACACATTTATACACACATGTGTATGTATATGTATATATAATGGATAAACCCATACAAACTAGATGAAGAATGTTATTTGTTTCACAAAGTGCAACAGTGTGCAAGTTGCAAAAGTGTGCATTTTTATTTGAAAGAAAAAATACGTAAAGATATTAAACTTACCTCAAATTGTCGTATTTTTAATCGTCCCTCTGCAGCTTTAAAGAAAGTATCATGTTGTTTTATTACAATTGCATTGTTCGATCCACTTAGCTGTTTAGCTTTCGAGATAGCAGAATCAATATCCTGCAGTCTACTTTTTATTTCCACATTGCGATTATTCATTTTTTTTCCAGATCTTTTCCTTTCTTCACTAGACTATCTAAACCATACAAAAGAGAACCTAATTTTTACATATGCATTAGAAGCATTCGTAACATAGCTGTTTATTGACTATGTCAACATGGCAAAGTTAAGGCCTCCGTACAAACTATTGTTTCGACTAGAATTGTAAACGTGATGTATTCTACTTACAGTTGCGCTGTAGACCCTAAAATTGCAGTTTCAATCTGTGACAGAGTCCGTGACAAATCAAGAAGCTCAAGAAATGTCAATATGAGAGAGCGACACTGCCGTTCAATGTTAGAATAAAATCTGTTACAATAAAAACTGATCAATAGTGGATAAGTTAAATTTCTTGAGGTCGATAAGTACTCGAGAATAGATAAGTTACCAGAGTCGATAAGTTTCCGGAGATCGATAAGTTACTATAGTCGATAAGTTTCCGGAGAGCGGTAAGTTACCAGAGTCGATATGCTTCCTGTGATTGGTACGTTTCCCGGGGCCGGTATGTATCTTTATTGCACATCGCAGAGGCAGAGTGAAGTTCAAATATTCCAATTTTTGGATAGATTCAAATAAGGATGGTACTTCCCACTTACCCAATGCAAATCAATCATACTATTTTCTCGAAGCAATCGATGTCATTAGGTTTGACGTGCATTACGAACGGCTGAGTAACCTGTGTAATCTCATAAATTTCACGTGGCTTAGCATTAAGTATGGCAAAAATAGCGAGGACTAGGACTTTGAAAAAATATCAGCAGAGCTTCCGGAGTAATTTGGCATGTCAGCCTGTGAAAAAATTACTGAGAGAGAATTGGAGAGGCACTGTACAGAATGTTTAATGTGAAGAAATTGATTGTTATAAATCACAACAAATCTGCTGCGCCAGAGGTAACTTGTATGATGTTAGAAGATTTTATGCCTTGGCTTGTGAGAATCCTTGGAAATATCGAATGATATTAAGTAAGATTACAGTTTATAATAAAAGTTTCACAGAAATATTAATCTCTATTTATATGTAATACATACTATTTTTGTAATTTCAACTTCGTTGCAAATCATTTGTCATTATTGGAAAATTATAGTAAATAAGACATTATGTAATAAAAGTCACAATTTGTTTAATGATATTAACTTTTTACCAATTAATTTTTTTTCTCGTTGGAGGAACCATCCTATAAGGAACCATCTGATTGGCTAAGAAATCACATTTTATCGATAAAAGAAAGATCAGAATACCGGCCAAGAATTCGTTTGTATTTTTTCTACGTTTCTTTCCCCTTTTTGTTGTTATTAATAGCAAAATAAGAATATTAATATTTCTTCATTTATGATATTTTGATTTATTTTTTTCTTTAATATGGCATTTTTATGTTTGTGAATACAGGATAACTCCATCGCAATCCAAATCGCAATTATAGTGTGATTGGACAATCCTTAATCTTCAATCCGCAATCACAATCCCTCATCCATAGTCTGATACGGGCTTAATGCCAACAGTATACGATGCTTATTTTCGCACTAGATTGTTTGCTGGATGGAAATACTGTTTTGATTGGTATATTGTCATCCATTTTTGGAAATGCACCAATCAGAACGCAGTATTTTTATGCAGCAAGCAATTCAGCACGAAACAAGCATCGTTTGCTGCTGGCTTTAATCAAAATCGCCATGGAACAGACATGCATTAGGGACATTTTGTTTCTTGTGACTAACTTAAGTTTAATGAACTTTGTTTTGACTAGTTAAATTTCAATCCAATCTTATCAATATCGGCAAAAAGCGATGCGGCAGCCAATAAACTCTTCTTTCAGTTCTCGGAAAAACGGCACGTTGATTGACTACTGCATCGCTTCTTGCCACGTGGCAAGTGTTGCTGCGCTCTGTGGGCAGAAGCCATAAGGTCTGTTCGTTTTTGCTGCACCGCTGAACTAGTGCAATAAGTTGAATCAAGACAAGTATATGTTTTCTCACTTCAACTTATTGCACTAATTCAGCGGTGCAGCGAAAATGAACAGACCTATAATAAGGGCTTACATAATGTTGGGAATAAACCTTTAGATCAGACTTCTGGAGGTATTTATCGAAGGAAGGTAGTGTTCTGTGCTTAGGTTGTGGTTTGTATCATCGTGATAACTACTTCTTTGTTGATTTTTTTAATCTTCGTCTGAGCAACATGAGCGATGACGATCGCGATATCGACATAGAAAGTGATGTAAGTAACATTATGAGAAACCTTAGAAGAATCCTCTCTCTGATCAAACTTTGTCTTTAGGATGGTGACGACTCAGATACCAGACTTAGGCACTCCAACAACACGCAATATTGTTCTCAGGTGAAACTTTTTCTATAGTAAATTTATAATCTTTTGTTTTGCAGATAATAGAATCTGTAAATCACTTGTACAGAACGGGTTTTTTATCGCTTCATTTTTTCCTTTGTTTAAACTTTATGGTGATATTGTAATACAGTGTTATCACGAAAACAATAATCTCAATAATGAATGTTTTCTATTACTGCGCTGGCTTGCACTAATTCTCTCTTTTCCACCAAATCTCAAGAAAGAGAGGAACGAATAACTAGTGCAATAATAGAAAACAGACTCGAAAACTATCAAAATATAATATGTTCCTACTTTAACGTTTAACCTTTTCTCTGTGTACAAATATTTTAATGTTAACTGTATACAGGAGTGTAATAACATCCCATGCATTTTTAACGCAAAATATAAAGAAAAAACTTTGGCTACGTAAGTATTTGTGAAATTTTATTGATTCTTAAAAAGATAGGTATAAAATAGTTAAAAAATTTAATAAAAAAAATAGTCTGAGGTGTGATTATACACCTGTACACAGAGAAAAGGTTAAAATCTATTCTAGTTTAGCTTCAATGCTCATTTGGATGTATTTATTTATTTCTCCTAAAGCTATCGATTTAGGCCTTGTTTGCAATCTTGCTTTAAGTGAACGTAAATATTAAACTTAAGCATTAAGTGACATTATATCTTGTTCTAAGTTATGAGATAAAAAAATCAGCAATTCCTATTTGAAGTACACAACAAAGAAATTAACCAATCACAGTTAATAATTCCAGATAACATATGTCTAAATTTGGGACATAAGACATGTGTAAAATGTCTTTAAAACGTCTTTAACCCATTTGCATCATGACTCTACTTAAGTTTCTGTGTTCAGACATCAATGGCGTTCAACTGACGGTTGGCCCATATCACCGCACGCGGCCGTATATCGGCAGTTTTATTATTTTCGTTAATTTATACAGTACACTCGTTCTACAGTACACAGTTAACTTCTACAGTAAATGACTTCCTAATAGTTCGTAGAGTTTATTTAACATGGTATTTTTTAAAATGATTGATACATAATGCTAACATCGCATTTAAAAACTATTTCTTTTCGAAGTAACATAGATAAGCATACAATGCATTGCTTTGATGTTTTATTCCCCCTTGCTAGTGTTGGAGGTATCCGTATAGAAAAATGCCGGCCAGTATATCGTGTTAACGAATCATTGATAGATGATGTCTCTCTTACTCTTACATTTGCTAAATATTTTTCAATAATTTCTTCGGCTAATCTTTACTTGTAAACATGAAAAGCTCGATCTTTTTTATTGTTTTTGAAAATTATGTAACTGTTTAGTAACATCATGTCTATGAAGTAAAATAAAATTTTTTTATAAGGCTTTTTTACATCTTCGCATAGTGTGAAATTTGCTTAACATTTGATCGCCAACATCAACTCCACCCATATTCTTATTGTAATCTTGTTGGTTTAAATTTTTTTTTGTCCGATATATCGGTTTGTTTTCTCCGTTTCGGCAAAATCTAAGTTATGCATAGTTGTTAATAAAACAACATCTTTTTTATCTTTCTACTTTATGACCGCCATATCTGTTGTAGAAAATACAACAGCTTCTCCTTTTTCTAATTTGAGTAATTTTATTTCCCGAGGCATTTCTTTCCTATTTATTCTCGCTGTTCCACGTACGTTTGTTTGCATAGAACTTACAAGATTTTCATCTTGTTCAAGATGTTTATTATCTGGAAAAACCTGGAATTCTCAGGGAATTTATTTATACTGGGAAAAATCATGGAATTTTCAAAGATTTTATTGAAAATCGTGAAATTTTAAATGGACATTTGTCTGCAAGTTAGATTATCGTGTTGTATATAGACAAATATTGTGCGATTGACTAAATTTTGTTTAATAATGTCTTCTTCTATTAAGAATCACAGAAAAAAATAGTTTAGAATTTTTCGACTTAATTTTTAATTAATTTTAATTAATAAGAAATAGCACTATATAAGTCACAGACACACAGATTTATTAATATTCTGAACATATATGTATATATTTAAGGTCGTTTCTGCTTAATATTTAAATATTAGCACTTTTTTATGTTTATAATAAATTCTCTTGCTTTATATCTACATATATAATTTAAACGTTTAACTGCTTTGATGTTTAAAGCACACTGATTTTGCAACTAATTCAATATTGAAATCAATGATTTCATGTTAGGTGCAATTTTGTTTAGTTGAAACATTTATTTTAATAGATTTATGAAAATTGCATTTTATATCGGTTATGTATTACATAATTTTTTGTTCATAATTTTTGGAAATAAAATTTGGAAATTTCATTCAACATAAATTATTTATTTTTTAGAATCTTTACAATTTATTTAAAATTCTTCAAATTTGGCAATTGAAACACGAGTGATTCTTAATTTTATTTTATTTTATGGAAAATATTAAGGATTTTGCACAATAAATATATATTTATTTGCAAAATATATTTAAAAATACTTTTATTTTATCTGGAATTTTTAATAAATTGTCTGGAAAGTCAAGGAATTCTCAGAGAATCATTTTTCGGATTTGAGTAGACATTTTGTTGTCGCAAGTCTTACGTTATTCTCTTTGTTTAAGATCTCTATTTCAGAATATCAAATCATTAATTATCATTATTGGTCACAATTATATCGTGTCACAATAAAGTTGTCGGTTGTGATTGTTAAAAATATGTAATTAATTTTTCCTCCTGCGTACTTCCATACATTGCAATTATTGAACTTATATTATCATTTCAAACAAATGCTTAACCTAGGATGTTTATATTTAAGAACACATTTAGGTATAAAAACTGGAAAGACAAAAATGGGTATTATATTGTCTCTTTAAACATAATTGATCAACTCTATTTCTGATATATTCCGTAATTTTGAAAAATGGAACACATTAGTCATGTGCTCTGATGTTGTAATCAAGAAATTTGTTGTAAGAAAGAAATTTACAAAAATTGGTGTTGATCTGCTTAGTTTCTGAAAGGCTAATATATGTATATATGATATAGATATATGTATTTGTGTGTGCGTATATAAATTATGTAATATAAATTATGAAATAACATTACTTAATACTGTTAACTTATTTATACAGGCAGAAAAAAGAGCACATCATAATGCTTTGGAAAGAAAACGACGGGACCATATTAAAGACAGTTTCTCCAGTTTAAAAAATGCTGTACCGACGTTGCAAGCAGAAAAGGCTGCGAGTAGAGCACAAATTCTAAAAAAGGCAGCAGAGTACATCCAAACTATGAGGAAAAAAAATATTCATACACAGCAAAGTATTGAAGATCTCAGAAAGCAGAACGGCCAATTAGATGCTAAAAGTAAATATTTTATTTTTTATACATTTTTGTACATTAAACTATATAAATTCTTTAACATTTATTAATTCCAGGATTACCAAAATCTTTTTATTACATGCATTGTCTCTACATATTTGTACATTATGTCTATTATTGAAAGAAATAATGATTTGCACACACACACACGCGCGCGCGCGCGCACATACACACACACACATAACTGGAGAAATCCAGTCAAGCAAAAAGTGCGCAGTTATGTATAATTGAGACTCGGGGATCTTGGGGAAGAAATCACGATTAGGAGAGTCCATGAGACCACAGTGGAGCTCTAAAATCTCGACGAGGTGACCACTAAGGAGGAGATTCACCAGGCACTCATAAGTGCACTTGGTGAAGATACGAGGATTGGGAGGGATTGTATACGCTTGCTCCGTAAGGCCTACGGCATCGAAACGGCCGTCGTCAGGTTGCCTGCTGAGGCAGCGAAAAAGATTGTCGAAGCGAACAGGTTGTGAGTCGGCTGGATAAACTGTCGAATCCGAGAGTTAATGAAGCCTACCAAGTGTTATAAATGCTGACAATATGGTCATATTTTCAACAACTGTAAAAGTACGGTGGACAGGTCAAGGTGCTGTTTGAAATGTGGTGCAGAAGGCCATAAAATAGAGAAATACAATGTAGAACCAAGCTGCATGATATGTAAAGGAGAAGACAAGGACGTTAGCTGCCACGTAACTGGAAGTAGCAAATGTCCAATATGTCCCGGAAATGGAAGCTTATCAGGCACTTATCCAGAGGCGAGGAATGAAAATACTGCAAGTAAACCTCTGTGGAGCAGCACAGGACCTGCTTGATGTAGATTGTGAGAAAGGAAGAAGTAACTGTAGCAATTATTACGGAGCCATACAGAAATCTTGATGCAAAAATTTGGATGGTGAATGTTTCTGGTGGGGCCGTTGCTTGCGAGGAGTACCCTTTACGGGAGCTCATGACGAGGCGGGAGGAGTGTTTCGTGAGAGTCAAAATAAACGGCGTGTACTTGTACAGTTGCTACATTCCATCTCATATGACACAAAAAAAATTCCAGGAGATCTGGGACCGTTTGGTTGATAATGCCAAAAGACCGAAACCCACAAGCGGTAACGGGTGACTTTAATGCCTGGACGGTGGATTGAGTAAAAGAACGGACAAAAGAGGACAAGCGCTCTTAGAGACACTGTCCGTGCTGAACCTGGTGCTGCTCAATGATGGGGGATCTCCTACTTACTGTAAGGAAGGAGCGAGTTCGGTGATCGACCTGGCCTTTCCTCTGTAGTAGCTTTATCAAGGGCCAAATGGCAAGTGACAGACATTTATACCCATAGCGATCATCGAGCCATCACAAGGGAAATCCCAAGACAGGGAAGATGCAGGCAGCAACCATCGGGCAGCTCGAGAATCAATGGTTGGAAGGTCAGCGCGGATGTTGATGACGATGTGTTCCTTCTGGCTTTGGATAGTGCTGAAACCAAAGCGACCGACACAGAAAAGAAAGTGGAGGAAGTTATGAGAAGGGTAACTAGGGCCTGCGATGCCACTATGCCAAGAAGAGGAAAGGATAATCTTCGTCCGCCGGTATACTGATGGAATGATGTGACAACCAAGCTTTGCAGAGAAAGTAACTATACTAGGAGGCTAGCCCAGCGAGCCATAGGGAAGGTCACGTACCCAGCTTTGGAGGTGGAATATAAGGCAGCGTGTGCTAGGCTGACTAAGGCCATTAAGCGTAGCAAGAGACAGAGTTGGATAGAACTGCAGGGAGAAGTGGACGTCGACCCGTGGGGCAGGCCCTACAAGGTCGTCATGACTCGGCTTAGAAACCGGTCAAGGCAACAGCCTGCCCGGACCAGCTCAGGAAGATAGTTAAAACATTATTCCCGGAGCAGTAGGAATACAGCTACCAAGTAGAGAAAGAAGAGGATGAAACTATTCCCTTCGTTACATGTGAAGAACTATTCCAAGCATGTAACAAAGTAGGGAACAATAAGGTGCCGGGAATAGACAACATCCCGAGTGCAGCACTCAAGACGGCCATCAGAGCAGCTCCAGAGATGTTCCTAGATATGTACAATACATGTCTCGGAGAGGAAACCTTCCCTGAGCGTTGAAAGCGCCACATACTTGTCCTCTTGCCCAAGGACAACAAACCGCCTGACGATCCCTCGTAGTATCGCCCGCTGTGCATGTTGGACACTGCGGGTAAAGTCTTAGAGCGTATTATTTATAATCGCATTGAAGCTGCTGTTAAAAACTCCTTTGCGGATGATCAGTACGGCTTCAGAAAGGCAAGATCGACATTAACCCTTTCGCGGCGGAGTGCTCTGGAAAGAGTTGCGCTCTAAGCAGCCGATGCCAGATCGACCGCGCGGACCAAATACGCGAGTCGTTCCGAACGCAGTGTGTATATAATATTTGACTATGTAAAAAAAACCTTTGCACAAGAAGCGTATGCTGCTAGCACGTCAAAAACAACTTAATGGACATTAATGGCAGTTGTTGATAACAAACGAACAGCGCCTTCGTACGAAGAGAGCGGCTCCGGATGGGCGCCATCTGGCGCTGTTCGTTCACCGCGGGTAAATTTGCCTGAGCGCCGAACGGCGCTGTTCGCTGAAAATGAGCATCTATAGCTGAGCGCCTAAAGGCGCTGTTCGCCGCGAAAGGGTTAAATGCCATAAATCATGTAGTTAGAGCGAGAGAGGCAACCTCTGGTACAAGATGGAAAGGAGGAACAAAGCAATATTACTTAGTCACCGCACTCGATGTTAAAAATACCTTTAACTTAGCCAAATGGAAAAACATCTGCATGGCTCTATACAGACTGAAGATATCTGCCTACCTAAAGTGGATGGTTAAGAGTTGCCTAAATAACAGGCTGCTTGTATATGACACAGAGGGTGGCCCACGGGAGTGCAGAGTCACCGGAGGGATGCCCCAGAGCTCGGTACTGGGACCGTTATTTTGGAATATCACGTATGACGGGCTGTTACAACTGAGACTACCGCAGTGAGCGGAAATAATAACTTTTGCAGATGATGCGGCAGTTGTGATTGTTGCAAAGTTCCTGGAAGAAATATACTGCATCCTTGACGGAACGTGCGAACGAATCCTGGATGGGTTCAGTTGGACTAAAGTTGGCTGAACATAAGACAGAAGCTGTATTCATTACGAGTAGGAAGAGGCTGACGATGACCTCATGATTGGCGAACATACCATTACTTCTCAGACCTATATCGGGTACTTGGGAATGATGCTTGATGTGAGACTCTCCTACAAACAGCAAGTGGAACACGCTACGGAGAACGCAATCAGGGTAGCGGCGACGCTGTCATGGCTCATGCCTAATATTGGCGGCCCGCGGCAGGACAGAAAGAAGCTGTTGGCATCGGTGGTGACCTCGGTTCTTACTTATGGCATAGCCATCTGCGGAAATGCCCTAAAAAATAGAGGAATACCGGAGAAGAGTGGCAATAGTGGCTATCGGTTCAGTGCTCTGAGGGCATCTTGCGTATTCCGCACAGTGTCGAAAAACGCTCTGTGTATCATAGTGGGAATGGTGTCCATCAAGATATTGTCAGAAGAGAGAAGAACCCTATATGAAGCTAGGAGTATGTCGTTAGGGCTCCGCGAAGAGCAACGAAAAGAGATGAGACAGAACGACCTGCAAAAGTGGCAGGAGAAATGGGATGCATCTGTGAAAGGAAAATGGACATATCGTCTAATCCTTCGAGTGGGCAGTTGGATGAATCGCAAACACGGAGAAATTAACTATTACCTGACACGGTGGCTCTCCAGTCATAAGTGTTACAGAGCGTATCTCCACAAGATGAGGTACGAGGAGTCCCCAGACTGTCCAATAAGATGTGGAATCACGGAACATATTAAACATATTCTTCCAATGCCCACGATTCAGAGGAGACCGTGAAACACTGGAAAGGACATTTGGCGGAATGATTACACCAGAAAATCTGGTGCAAAAAATGCTGACATCAGTCGGGTACTGGGATGCAACCAGCAATTTCGTCACTACAGTCCTTAAAAAAACTGCGCAGCGAAGAGCAAAAAAGATGGAAAACAAGAACAGTGATGAACCTCTCCTTCCTTCCTGAGCAAACAGCGTAGAACGGCAAGGAAAGCCAGGAATATAGTGGAAGAGCTGTGGCGCTGACCACCCCCGCGAAGTAATGCTTAGCGCCGCGGGGGGTTTATTTATATAGGGTGTTCCACCTAATTCGAGCATCTGAAATATTTCGTTTACTTTTTATAAGAACAAATGTCAAAGCAAGACTTAGTTGTTTCGGAGGGGATATTATGATAAAGAAAAAAATTATTCTGAAGTTCATTTTTCAAAACTTCAAACTCATCGAAGTTTTTTTAAATGAAATCATATATTTTTTATTATCACTACATGATAGCCTAGGTCAAAACGAATCCAACGACGCGTAACACTATGATCTTCACGTAACCTTAAATATGAAAAAAGTTAAGCAATTGATTCAAATAATGAAATAGTAATTTAATACTCCCTGTTTTAGAAAACAATTGAACTATGCGGTAAAAATTTTGTCAAGAAATATGATTTCTCTCAAGATGTCTTTAAATATGTATATGTAAAGATGTGTATATATATATATAGGTTTTTGAGGTTACTGATGACGAATTTGCAATAAAAATCCCAAAATTTAAAATAGCGTACAAAAATGCTAAATTTTATTGGATTTCAGTGAAACTCATTTTCCAAGGGTTTTTAAGTCACCGAATCTAAAGTCGAAATTTTCATATTCAAGATCTAATGTAGTTGACAAAATGTAAATAAATAATGTTAAATCAATTCTATACATATTTCGTGGAATTTTTTGAAACACTGGATAAAATAGAATGAAACCTTACACGCTGTGCGTAAACAAACCGTTTTTTTTTTTCTTTTCTATTGATTGAATATAAACTGTAGTTTGTGTATCTGACTTTTCAGGCATATCTATGTATGGAAGCAAGTAATATTTCAAATCAACGATTCTAAAAATCCATGGAATATGAGTTTTATTTTATTAAAATTCAAGAAAATTTTACATTTGGGTCTGTCATATTGGACCTACCATTTTGAATTTTGAAAATTTTTTCTACAGATTCATAATTGACGACGCTAAAAACCTTTAGTAAGACGTGAATAAGAGAGAATTAGATGTTAATTATTCCTAGAAAAGTCAGGCACGAAAAGGTTAAATACTCTCAACTGTATTTTTTTCCCAATATTCGTTTATTTTTTGTTGGTCTGAATTCTTATTCAGAATTATATTATGTTACTTGTAATGTGTGTACTTGTAATTATATTATGTTACTAAACTTTTAAGTTTGTGTTGCTCTTCTAATAAGTTATTTAATAATATAATATAAGCTACTTTTCCTGTAATCCCTACTTTTAAATCTTTAAGTTTAAGATTACATATCGTTCATGGAAAATTCTCCACTATCGTCTGAAAAGCATGGAAAAGTCAGGGAATCTCAAAATTTATTTTCTGCGGCAATTTTGAAAATGTATTATAATAAAAAAAATGAGCCTATACATGATATACTAAAATTTAATATCCAGAGGTTTTTGTTGGGTCACTGATTTCGAATTTAAAGTTAAAATTTATGAATTTTTATAATACAAGAAAGCAAACCAAAATCGCAAGAAGTTAGATTTATATCAAATGTGGTATTCAATTTTTTGAGACACTAATTTTGAATATGAAGTAAAAATACAAACATTCAAAATGACGAATCCAGTATGACCGAAATTACAAAAATAGATTGATTTGCGTGAAAATTTATTCTCGTAGGTTTTTGGAATCGTTGATTTCGAATCTGAAACTAAAAATTCCATGGGCATTTTTGTGTTTTCAGTGCGCCATGTGAGACTCGATATTTTAGATTTTGTAAATTTTTAAAATTTGACTATATATTCATAATCAAGAATTCCAAAAGTCTGCAATATATTGGCAGTTTCAAGTAATTCGTATGCAAGGAAAAATGGATGCTTCAAAAGGTTAAACGTAGAAAGTTCTAAATGAACATCATCTTTAAACTTCCATTTATTCCTTCGAGAACCAGTACCCAAAAGTATTAATGACTATATCATACAGAGAAACATAAGTAATGATTTTTAAGATACTTGACTACTTGCTATAACTATCATTTTTAATGACGTCAGGAGCGAAAAAATGCATACCAAGAATTCTTGCATTATATGTTCAAATAAAAACATGTACAAAATGACATTTGCGATCGATTCAACACAATTATAAAATTGCGCGAACACTTTTCTTTTGCTCGAACAATTAATAAATAGTTGTAAAATTAACATTTACAAAATCATGAAAAAAGGAGGTTAAAAAAAAAAGGTTCCATGTCAAATTAATTTTGCGACTATTTATTAATTATTTGAATAAAAAAAATGGTCAGATAATTTTATAAGTATGTTAAATCTATCGCAAATGACATTTTGTAGATAGGAGCAGATATTTGGCATCTATTTTACCTTGAATCCATGTTGATTTCAGCGCTCTATTCAGTGATTTTCTCGTTTTATTAATATGAATGCATTGTGTTTTCCGCCAGAATTCTTATCTATGTATTAAATTATACAGGGTGTCCCACTATATAACCTACTAACATGTCTGAAACTATATAAAATGGATACAGGTCGAATAGAAAAACATGGTCGAAGTCATTTTTCGAACTACCGCGTAACGTTTCGAGTTATTAAAGAAAATAGGCAAACTAGCGCGCGCGATGTGATAGGCGGGGCCGTCCGGCTCGACGCGGTCGGCTGAGAAATGATTATAAGGACCGGTCGTGTCGCCCCATCGACAGATGAGATGTGCCGCGGTATAAGCTCGAGTAACTGCAGCGCCTTCCGTAACCCTTTAAAAAAATAACCCTTTTATCTCCGTCATTATTGCGAATTTCGCAAAACAGTACAGGACTTTTTTATTCAACTCAATGAGTTCTATATCTCCCACGAAGCGGAGATATTCGGCTCTGAGAGACACCCTGTATAAATGGAATATCTTCTCTGTCTAATATATAAAAAACTTTATAGTCTATTGCTCTTAAGTTTTCATAGTATATAGACTCAAGTAATACGTTACAGACAAAGATGAGAATTCTATTTGGATACTCGGCAAAAGATCATCTGGCAGAAACAAAGGCAGTACTCATTCCAGTTTATTATATAGTTCAATGTATCTATGATGGTAAACATAATGAATTATCACATTAGCAAAGCGAAAAAAGCCACTAGAAAGTGCTGAAATCGACATGAGTCCAAGATAAAATAAGTCCAAGGTATAGTATCTTTTCCTATATCTTTTTATTTGAACGTATAACACAAGAATTCTTGGCATGCGCTTTCTCACATCTGATATCATCAAATAAGGGTAGTTGCAGAGAGTAGTTAAAGCAGCCTTAACACTTTGCGATCCGCGGCCCACCCGAAGACGCTTGACTAATGTGTTCGAATTTTTTGAAGGCATAATACGCAAATAGCCCGCGCTTATTTAGTTGATTTTCCTCTTATACAAATGTTGATATCTAAAAAACTATTGAACCTAGTGCATTCAAACAACTTCTATCATGAAGTTCATTCTTTTCTCTGTTATTAAGCATCATAAAAGTTAACTTTTCTGTGAGAGCTTTACTTTCTGAGACCAATATCATGGTCTATTTTGAGCTGGAAAAAAGTCATAGATATTGGGAGTACAAATTAGTTCGGTCCGTTTTCAAAAGATGGCTCTAGCTGTTATGAATGCCCCAATACTAATTTGTACTCTCAATATAATCGACTTTTTAAGCGCATAAATTATATCAAGAGGATTAATAAAAGAATAGAAAACACACTTCTTTTCTCGTTTACATGTGTTTGCAAACATTGTTTTTTTTTTCTCTGCGGATATAAATTAATATTCTCATCGTCTGATGATTCTGACGAAATTCGTCTCAAGACACGTCGACGAAATATCGGTGATACGTCAACTAAGTTAGTGACATTGTCGTTACAAAATTTATAGAATTGGCCTACAGACTCAACGAGCAAGTCATCGATTATTAAGTCACAAGAGCGTTTCTACGTACGAGACGTATGAAAATGATATTCTTCTAAAACTCCATCAGCTTATTTACATATGTTTTAGCAAAACCGAGCCGTTTTTGCTTATTCTCATTTATGAACGGCTTCTTCCTCGCTGTTCTGCCGTAAATTTTCGCAAAATATAGAACATTTCGTACAGTTCGAGCACTAATTGTTTTTCCCAACGATGCCGCAATACTAATAAACAAACTCTAAGCATTCATAAATGCACATAATATAAACTTCCCATCGTGAAATAACCGAGGACGTTGATATCAAAATCATAAAACTGAAGGAAGAGTTATTATTCATTTATCCTTTCTAATGGACCTTGTTTTGTAAAGTTCGTTTTTTAGAGAAGGCCACAACCAGCGGCAACTTCCCCATAGAGCCGTGCGAAGTGACCAGATCTGAATCAATGGCCATGGGTAATTACAACGATACAGAATCGGAGTCGTCAGACAGTGAAACTGAAAATTCAGTACGGCAGCCGAAGAAATTGAAGGTCGCCGGACTTCATTGACGTGAATGCATTTGTATGTTTTCTCTATATCTTTGTCTCTTCTCAATACTTTATTTTCATACGACGATTCTGTCCTTTTATTATAAGTAATGTAAGTTAAATATATGTACTGTGCGCGAACGTGCGTAAAATATCTCAATAAGTGTTTATTATATATAGTATACATGTAATATAGCGTATATCAATGCTCGGAATTATTTGTATAAACGGGGGCAATTCTCGAGGGCTACGTTTCCCAACGACCCCTTGCCGCACCAGCTCGCTCGGTAGACTACGCAACTGACAATCGCGACGTCCAGCCTCGGGATCACTGACATTATGTGATATCGTTAAAAAAAAAAATGCATCGGCAATAGTATTCCATGGGTGATGTGGAAATCTATTGTCACTTTGTAATTTTAATAATATGTAAGTGTATATTGTTAGTACATACAAATATTATATATAAAAGAGTTGTTTCAATAAGAAATTTGCAGATATTAGGAAACCTCCCTCACAGATTTCATAATATTAACGGGTCTTGAGGCTGAGCGCCGCAACTATAGACTTAGTTGCCCATATTCTGAATATATTTACAAACGTGTTAGCGCGCTAACAAGACAAGAAATGTGAGCATTTTCAGTATTGGTTATATCCTTGACACGGTGATAACAGTGGCTGTTAGGAAAAGTCGATAATCATGCTGTTTATAGCAATTTGTATTCAGAAATTCCTATTCAGAATTACTAATAAGTTGACTTGTTAACGCGCTAACATCGTTGTAAGCATATTCAGAATACAAATCGGTATATCCTGACTGAGCGTTTGCTTTTATTTGAGCATAGAGAGTCACGCGAACGAGAGAAAACGTAAAAGGCACAAATTAGAGTGCATCCTTTTCTACGTGCACCTCGACCCCTATTTCTTAACACACGGGTTACGTTCTAATATTCACTGCCAGTACTGAAAATCTGTAATAAATGTAATAAATATGAATTATAGATTTTCAGTACTGGCAGTGAATGTCGGAACACAGCTTCGGTCTAGATATACAATATGGTTACGTTTCGAAATATCAGTACTGTAAGTGTGACGTCAGCACAGTCCGCTGATACAAACGTCCCATTTTCACAAATGTATAGTCGATTTACCGAAAATAGTAATAACAGAATGATATCCGCAATAATGAAGTTTGAAAATAACTTTTAAAACTTAAAAAAAACGGTTATTTTGCTCAAAATAATATAGGTAGTTATGTGTATATGAAAATGTCGAAATTTGAGCCAAATAAGCGTCATTTGCGCGAAGTGTTAATCTTTCGCTATAAATGGGAGAAAATTGCAGCTGAAACTCGTCGAATGTTTGTAGAAGTTTATGGTGATAGTGCTCCTTCCGATAAAACAACATACAGAGAATGGTTTCGACACTTTAAAAGTGGTGATTTTGATGTGGAGGACAAAGAGCGTTCTGGATGGCCAAGAGCATTCGAAGACGAAGAATTGCAAGCATTGGTGGATGAAGACCTATCTCAAACGCAAAAACAACTTGTAGAAGCATTAAATTGTGATCAATCAATTAAATGCTCAATCTGTCATTTCCAACCGTTTGAAAGCCTTGGGCAAGGTCTGCAAGGAAGGAAAATGGATCCCATATGAACTGAAGCTAAGAGACATTGAAAGGCGAGAAACCATGTGCGAAATTCTGCTTGCTAGACAACGAAGAAAAGGGTTTTTGCATCGTATCATCACTGGAGATGAAAAATGGGTACATTTTAATTTCGATCCCAAACGTCGAAAAACAATTTGCGACCCCGGCCAATCCTCAACATCGTCGCCAAAGCGGAATATCCATGGAAAGAAGGTTAGAATGGGCTAGAAAGGCTAAAAAGGCTGAAAAGAAGAATAATCTGTATTCGGTGGGATCAGAAAGATGTAGTGGTGTACTATGAGCTGTTGAAATCTGGTCAATCACAGGGCATCTCTACCGAGAAGAAATTATCCGTTTGAGCCGAGCATTGGACGAAAAACGACCAGAATATGAAACGAGACAACATAAAGTGATTTTACTTCATGACAACGCTCGGCCTCACGCCACAAAACTTGTCAAGAAAACGTTAGAAGCACTTCGCTGGGAAGTGCTACCCCATACATCTTATTCACCAGACTGTGCCCCTTCCGACTACCACTTGTTTCGGTCGATGGCACACGCACTTGCTGAGGAACGCTTCAATTCTTATGAAGACGTCGAAAAATGGATCTCTGATTGGATAGCCTCCAAAAATGAGATTCTTTCGTCGCGGAATTCGCTTGCTGCCCGAAAGATGGGAAAAAATCATCACTAACGATGAACAATATTTTGATTTATGTATTTTTTACAAAAAAACGGATGGAACTTTCCGATTTAGCTAATATAATCTATCTTATTCCTTAGAGTGGCTGGAAAGCTAAATTCCAAACCTGTAATACTGAAATGGATCAGAAAATCATGATGGTATCAAAGTTCGCGAGGTGTTTAGTCCCCAGATAGTGACTCATCAGTAGTGTTTTTACATTTATAAAAATATTGAAATTCATTATTACATTAATGGCATTGGTACCTCGTCGTGCTTTTTCTGCATCTTTACGACTTACAACAACTTTATATTCCCTGTTGTCTGTGGTTGCGTATCTATAGTCGGTATTCATAGTCGGATCTTATATTTAAGACCGTCTCAAAGTTATCTTCAAACACTTCGTAGTTAATGAAATGAGCCCTACAACATCTGAAGATGAACATAAGACGATCTTATATATAAGATCTGAAATAAATACCGGCCTATGAGCGACAACTATTCCATAGACGCCGTCATTAGTCTTTTAACTGCACTGTTGAATTTGTGCAATAAATTATGTTTTCAATTTGCTGACTCGACTCAACTCGGACAGCGTCTTGCTATTACTACAGTATTGAAAACTGTAGTATACATACTATAAATTGAACTATAAATTGTAATACTGCAAAGATTACTGAAACGCGACCCGAATCGGGTCGAGTCAGCAAATCGAAAACGCCAATAGATTACAGTACTGTAAAGATTATTGGAACGCTATCCGAGTCGGATCGAATCAGAAAATCGAAGACACTATTAGGTGTACAAATAAATTCGGTGCTTTTACTTTTAACGTCTTATAACTCTGGTACAAATTAAAATTTTTTCCCGCCCTATGGTGATACGAAAGTGCTAACTTTTAAGTTTTAAGAAGCACTATAATAGTTGACTGCCTTGCCGACATAATCTCAGAAAACAGTAGTTATCACGATATCGTCCGAAAAGGAATATCTGAAGCACTGCATCCTTTTTGCGTTCCAGTTGAATAAAAATGCTGTTCACACTGAACTAAAATGATTTATTCTGCTTTGGATGAATATGTGATTCTGCTGTACGATAACGCGCGATAACATACGGCGAAATAACCCTACAAGTCATCTCTAGTTTGGACTAGGAAATTCTTCTTCATGCGGCTTATTCATCTTGTCCTTTCAGATTGTCCTACTATCTGTTCCGGTCACTGAAACATCACTTGGTTGATTCCCACTTCAAATCTCCCGAGAAGATCAAAAAAGCAATGACTTTATCGATTCAAAACCGTCATCTTTTTTTCGATTCGCCAGTTGCTTGACAGATGGCAGAAATGTGTTGCAAATAATAGAGTGCCTCTAATCAGAGTGGCAACATACGAATTCCACTTTTGATTCACCATTTTTCATTCTTTTCCGCCAGTTTTTCGAATTTATTATTATTTAAATTTGTTTTTATTCATAAAAAATGTTCAAATTAAAATGAAAAATATTAATACCAATTATAAATAAATTGAAGAATAGGAATTATACGTAAAGTACTGATAAAAAGTTTCAGTCAGTTTACAATACAGCTGACTATAATATTATGGCTGCGTTCTTTCTGAGCACTCACGTGCTGTCATTCTTTGTTGTTCGTTACCTGTCAAAAAAAGATAGAATGAGCTTATAGCGTGTGAACGCCCAAAAAGAACGCAGTCTATATAATAGAGACCGCACACATTTCTTTCTCTCGTGCAATTTCAAGTGGAAAATGGCGGAACCTTCTTTATGTTGCCACTCTGATTAGAGGCACTCTAGCAAATAATGGGGACTATTTCCAGGATTGGCATGTAATTCATTTTTTTCTGTAAATAAATATCAAATTCATGTACAAAAGGCATCGAATTTGTTTATGTATTTATTTATTCGCCTAATAGAATGAGGCAAAATATACTTGTCTTGTCCTAACTTATTGCACCAACTTATTGGTTCAGTAGTGCAGTTAAAAAGAACAGGTACTTCACCTCACGAATCGCAGTAGTTGAAGTAAGAAGTAACGACAAAATTTATGACATTATATAGAAACATTTCGAAAGCTTATTGCAGGATATATCGGAATGAACTTACAATATTACCAGTAAATACCGAAATGCAGCCAAAATAACTTTAATGGATGTTGAAGATAATAAAGCACACAGTATAACAGTTACTTAAAAAATAGGATTAGAAAGGTCAGAAGAATAGAATAAAATAGGATAAGCTTCTCAAATAGGATCTGAAATTGGGCAGAAAGTATACAAGTAATGTGATCACGTTCCGCTTTATAATTTTGCAGCACTTTGAAAACACGCGAAATTAAAACGTAACGCTAAGGGCAAAATATGACATTGTAGCATCAATATTCGCAGTGAATAACGAAATGCATCCTTTGTCTGGTCACAACTGTCGATTGGGTGGTCTGAGATGGAGCAGCAAAGACAAGTAAGGAAGCGTAACCTTCTTTACTGCCTTGTTTATACAAATAATTTCGAGCATTGGAGTATAAGGAAACACGCCGAAATATATTAGATTGTCAAATAGCAAAAGACCAATAATCTAACAAGATAATAGATAATAAAGACTATACGTTAATTTGAAGAATATATACATCTGTGATTAACTTGTTTTCTCAATCATTTCCATATTATATTTGCTTGCAAAGAAAAGAGGGCAATTTTGAAGAACACGTCGGTATTATATTATATATTTTTTTATTTTCAGAAATCTCTATGAAAGAGAGTATCAATTGGATCGAAAAGTAAATTTATTGAGGTGAAAAACTGATACATTACAGTGAGCAAGTTTTATAACTACAACATTCCTACCAACTCTTTAAGATCTGTTATGTGATATTAGAATCAGATAAAATCTCGTATCGTATAATTTGGACTAGGATACAATATAATCATCATCAAAAGAAAAAAAAAAAGCATTATCAATGAAGCTCTGTGCGCATTCGCACACAGACGCGATCGCATCGATCTGTACGGAGGGGAATTCTAATCACAGCGAAGGAGATAAGAGATCATAGAAGTGTCATTCATTTATTTAGGTATGAGTTATTTTACAAACAGGAAATGACACTGATAATTAGAGACCTGTTCGACAACGTTTGAAGAATTCACTAAGATGATACACACTAGATGCCGTTGACGGTACCAATGTATTGGCCGTGCTAGGAAACCTAGATGCGACCAGCGAAGCAACCAGCCTCGACCTGCTCATCCCATTTGTCTACCCAGGCGATTGGACATAACGACGTGTAGATCTTCTTAAAATATTGGCAGGCATCGTATTCCTCGCTGTGCTTCTTCTTGCATCGGTGGAAGTCTAAGTAGCTCTGGTAACAATATCTACAGGTCATTAGACGCGATTAGTAGTGTTCTCTTGAATGCTCTTGGGCCTTGAATAAAAAAACGACAATGACTATATTTGCACGATCTCTAAATCGAGATGAAGTTAATGAAGAAACCATTATTCTCTCTTTCTTTTCTATGTACTTTATTATGGATATATATTATATATTATTATGGATGTATGATTTTTGCAAAATATGTTTTCTTTAGCTTCACTTTCTGAACAAGTCTTCCTGTTATCTTATATTTTTCTATTTTCTTTCACCAAGTGTTAAATATATACTTCATCTTAAGACAATGCAAATGCGACTATAGAGAACAGATGTGTATGTTACGACCGAAGCCTTCCTCACTGTAATAAAAAAAACTACAATGACGTTATAATACTTCGAACTACGAGAAGTTCAAGCCAATTTTAGAATATATCAGAACTAGCTGGCCGAAGTCCGAAATCTTTATCCACATTTTTGCCGGGCATTGGTCCAATTTGATTGACTAAATCTAGAAATGGCCAGCTATATCACGATTTTATCGTGCTTTTGACATTGGCCGTAACATGTGTACGGGGCGAGATGATTCTCTTTTACGTAATATGAATATAATTTTTTAAGTTTATAATTTTAAAGAAAAAAATATGACTGTTTTGGCTTCTGGATTAGACCTATTTTTTTCTTGTCAAATTGTTAAAAAGAATTCGACAAAAAACACGATTCCACAACCTGGAAGGCAAAACAAATATTCTACACTGTGAAAGCCTCAAGTATTAAATGTATTACAACTGTCACAGCGTCATGTATGTTTGGCTATTACTAATTAAATTATGTATACGATTTTCGACATGCTTATATACGTAAGATTGAAAATCTTCAGTCAGCGTCATGTGTGCTATACCATTCCCTAGGTCGAAAATGGCATGATTTCAGTCTTGACATATACGCATAAAATTGAAAATCGCATAATTCTAGTTGCAATAGTACGGCGTATATGATGCAGCGTATGCAAGTAATAATTATTATAACGGGCAGGCATGCCATTCAGTATAAAGTACGAACGAAACGTTCAATGACGATTCTCGAACATAACATTTAAATATACGTTCAAGAAGTAGATTCATCAATAGCCGATTTCTTACTTTCTACACATCTATATCCAAATTATATTCCTTTCCTCAAGTTCATTATCTTTTCATTCTTGATAAAATTGAAATCGTTACTGACGGTAATTGTTGATTATTGATCGACTTATAAATAGTTTGAATTCTTACCTGGTCTGGTTCTGGGTGGGGAATCTGGGATCGAAGGGTACGCTATCGAACTGTTCCTCCAAGGCTTCCGACGGCTTGAACTTCATGTTTGCGATGTTATAGGGCACTGCTTAACAAGTGATAAATTACTTAATTTCTAAATCTCAGCGCAATTCTCGCGTCTAACCGCATCACTCCTTTCTCCCCTCTAGAATACGTTTGTAAAGGTAAATTCTATGGTTCGTCCTTCGCTCTCGTCCTTTCGTCTCTCAAAGCACACACGACACTATATCACAAAATGAATTTGCTTCTCCCGGCACTTTTATCCTTTTATGTATCTCTCTCTCTCTCTCTCTTTCTCTCTCTCTCTCTCTCNCGTCCCCCCCCCCCCTTTCTCTCGTTCGAATCGTTACAATCTTGTTGTACTTTACAAGAATAAACGTGAGGTTCACGGCGAAACGAAACGAACAAAAGATATGTCCGAGAGTAGCATTTCTTTACACAATATCTTAATAATTAACGATAATTAAATTAGCTATAGGTATCTTAGAAGTAGTAGAAGAAAAAGTAACGAGTTGAAGTGCGTAAAGAAGAAATTAAATGGGACGTTCGCGAGCTATTTGACCAACGGTCGCGTGTTGTCCTCTTCCTGGCAGCAGACTTCGCGATACTTCTTCACTTCCGCCATGTACAATGACCACGCGTCCTTCGGCTGCTCCACTGTCTGTTCTGCCTTCGGCTTTGCCACCATGCCAGTCTTTAGGATCCTACCACCTCTCCTCTTACCCACCATCAACGGCGGCGGCACCACGGATTTCTCTTCTAGCACCGAAGTGGTAGGTTTCTGCACGGTCGGTTGCATTTGCTCCTGCATCTTCTTGAACATCTCCATAAAACTACCGTCGTTCTTGAAAGCATTCGGCTGCGGGACGACCATAGCTGCCTGATGCATTATCGTGCCTGTACTCTCACTATGATCTTCCAACGCATCCGACTCATACGACGGTGCTCTAGTGTGGTGTCTGCGGCTTTCTCTATATCTGTGCCGGTCCCTACTGCGATTACGGCTGCGGCTACGCCTTTTGTCCCTTGAGCGAGACCTTCCACGTGATCTCGATCGTGACCTATCCCTTCTGGAATACTTGCGAGACCTCTCTCTGTCACGGTCGCGATCCCGGTCTCTGTCTTTGTCACATGACCGCGACCGTCTATGTGAGCGTATCGGCGACGACTTGGAGCCGCTGCGACGGCGTCTACGTCGTTCCTGAGGCGGTGAGTCGTTCCGCGAAGATCTACTGCTCCGGTGATAGTCCGTGCTAGGCGAGGGTGTGCGCCGTGAGTTGCCTCTGCTCTTGTGGCCATCATGCTGTGACGTGTTGTAACCTGTGCTATACATGGGGGGCGAGGGTGGAGCAGGTGGCGATTCGGTATTCGACCTGCCGCTGCGTTCGTACCGCTTTGAGTCCATTGCACTGCGCTGGGCCGTACTGATGAACGGACGCACACGGACACACCTATAAGGATAGAAACTGCCTTCCATGAGTACATAGCTCATTTCGGATCGTCACGCCTTCATCTCTGACTTGGATTTTTTCTTTTTTTCTTTCATTTCTTTTTTTCAAGTGTGCATTCGCGAGAGAGACAGATGGACTTAGAGCGAGAGAACATAACGTAGTCAAATAGCTCGAGTAGAAATAAGATGAGACAGAGACAGCAAGAGAAAGAGAGGATGCTTCGCATTTAGTGATATAGCCTCACTTGCGATCACCAAGCTACAATTGATTACATAGTATATATAGTTACCAAGTAATAAAGAGACACAGCATGGTGATCGCACAATTTGGCAGTTTGCCTCGAGGTACGAAGGGACATCCCAAGAGGGGAGACCAGGAAATAAAACGATTTTCCTTCGCACTCATCATCCGTTACATCATAGTGTGGTAAATACAAGTATTTAAAAACTATAACGATTAAGATCATTGATTAATAAAGAATTTGGAGCTTACACTTCTATTGCTATAATCGAACCCTATGCGTGTCGCCAGTCCATTTCGAGAATTCCTGGATTCCCGAGAAAACAGAGGGGTGATGGGGGATAAAAGGATGACAGTTTGTTCAAGGTTTCAGACTAGAATTAAGTGATTGAGGAGCAACAGTGAGGTTCCTCCGAGATTTCAGGAGGAATCTTAGATTTAAACCTTAAGGTGATGCGAAAAACATGAGGGGTAGAAGGATAGAAGAAAATGTGAGCCGTCTCTACGACCTTCCTCGAGATCTATTATCGGGATGGCAACTACCCTTCTATTTGCTCCGCGCAAGCGGACCTGGCCGCCTCGTTGAACGTCTCGCTGGACCGCCTAAAGTTTTAACGCTAATTATTTGTATGTGTAATACCTTAATCAGCCAGTAGTAGTCGAAAACAAAATGGCCACTAAGAAATACTGCGCCAGGCGACTTCGTTACGTCATGCACCTCGAGAAGACGATACACGAATCTGTCTCAGCAGCGACCACCTCGAACTGTGGCAACATATAGATTGGGCACAGAATTGAATTGGCTGTGTTCAGCAGAGAAAGCTACTTTACTGCAGTAAAATTCGTGAATCTAATTGGTGTATGCTCTTAATCATGTTTGAATCTAAATTCTGGCCTACAATAGGTGCTTTAAACTCTGAGCATTAATAAATTGATCAATCATAATCAAATTATAGAAGAATAACCAATTGTGATTGGTCGATTTCTTAAGGTTTAGAGCTAAAATTCTCATTGAGACCCCGCTTAAGAGCATACACCAATTAGATTCATGAATTTTATACAGTTGTAAAGATGTTTTCTCTAATGAACGCAGCTTCTGAAAGCGTCAATTCTGGGGATCGATTGTGTATCTCAAAACGACAACGATATAAACATGATAAGAGTATGTGAATTTACTAATATTACTAAAATATTTACTAAAATATTTATAATTTTATTGGTTAACACCTAATGAATTTGCTCACTTATAATTCTCATTTCGTTTTGAGATACACAATTGATTTCTAGGGCTGCGTTCCAAAACCCCACTCGACGAGTGAGTAGGATATAAATGACCAATCAGGACAAAAAGAGCAAATAACTTTCATGTTTGGTTAATTATTGCTACCCTACCCATCGTGTAGGTTTTTGGAACGCAACACAGGAGTCTGATTCTGAAGTTCATACGATTATGAGCGCGTTCGGGAAGACACAGGCTTTGGTTAATTCCTGCAAAGTGACTCGGAAATGTTCGGCTTTACGTGAAAGAGTTCCAATATTCATTGCCAGCATTGAAAATCTATATCTTGAATGTTTACAATTAATTTTCTCTCTCTCTCTCTTTCTCTCTCTCTTCCTCAATATGGTTATAGGCAACTTAAAGAATATATCACCTCTACACCATTAGGGAAAATTCACAGCTTGATAGAAAAAGAGGGAGTAGTAAAGCAGCAGCCAATCAGAACTCGCTGGTGGTTGACAATCACAGTCGATTATTTGCCTCACATTCGACTCTGATTGGTCAATTTCTTAAGGCTTAGAGCTTAAATTCTTATTGTAGACTCCGCTTACTAAGTAACGTGATTTAACTTTTTCGAATAAAAATCTTAAACTGCAATGGCTAAAGCATTAACTCTGCTGAGAACAATACGAAATAATTGGAAGAAATCGTTGTTCGGAACTGCAGCTTTTTCGTATGGAATTTTATATGGCAAAGAAGTATACGAGTAAGAAACCATGGGAAACATAACCTCAAATCTAATTATAGAAATTATCGAGATCTAAACAATTATTGTGAAATAAAAATATCGAAAATTATTCTACGTTATTTCTTTTTTCACACGATGAAAATGCAACCATGAAATTATACCTATTGTGCAATTACTTTGCATAACTGGATATAATACATTTTTAGAACAGAACAATTAATGCAACAGTATTGCAAAGAAGCAGCAAGGTATGGAGATGCACCTTGTCCTACAAATGTTAAACCTCGTCATGTAGCTGTTATTCTAAATCCAGCAGCTAAGAAAAGGTATGTAAGAGTTTTTACACCAACAGAATAAAACTTTTGTTGAATAATTATTTTTAATTCTTTTTTAGGAAAGCAAAGAAGCTGTTTGATAAATACTGTGTGCCTTTGTTACACTTGGCTGGTATCGCAGTAACCATCATAGATATACAATCTGGCAGTCATGCGCGTAATACCATAATCAATTTAGAAACACCCATGGATGCTATTATTGTAGCTGGTGGAGATGGCACTTTATCAGATGTAGTCACTGGCTTAATAAGAAAGTATGAGGGTAATTTACAATCTGTTAAGCAGTGCCCTATCGGCATTCTGCCATTGGGAAACACAAACACAATTGCGAGTAGATTTTTTCGAGAATACACAGACTTATCTGATATACGTCATATTATTGATGCGACAATGGCAATAGTAAAGAATAAACTTAAATTAATAGACGCACTTGAGATCAAGGTACTAGAAGTACGTACCATCATTGTTTCCCATTTATTTAAATGTGCAGATTAAGTTACGATAAAATGAAGTTTCTCCATATTTTAATTCAAGGACGATTCAGAGAAACCTATAAAACCGATTTATGCCGTGGGAGGCATCAAATGGGGAGCATGGAGCGACACGCACGCACGCATCGACAAGTATTGGTACTGGAGTTACTTGCGCAAGTAAATTTTTTATTGCATCAATAGAAGGCTTCCTCTACGCCATATACACTCTTTATCCATTCTTTTCATCTGCTTTCGTGCATACGAATAGATACGCAGCTTATGTGTTCAATGGTTACAAATCGGACCTAAATTGGAAATGTAATATGACACTGAAGTACACCAATCCTTGCAAAGGATGTTCCCACTGTTATTCCAAAGAAATATTTTCTGATCAATCTGCAAATTCGAACAGGAGATGGTGGCATGCATTTTTACCAAAGACACGACAGTTTATATCTGGTATAAAAATTTCTTGAATAACGAATTATTTACATACAGAATATTATTATGAAATATGTGAATAAACTCTTTAAGAAGAAAATTAAGTTTGTCATATCAGAATTTTAAAAAATGTACCAAATAATTTAATAACATTTTGTCTATGCATGTGATTTTAACTAGTATTTTACAGGAATTAAATAATTAAGATCTGTATTTCAGATAATCACATCGATTATAGTAAAGTGATAAACGAAGATTGTGCTATTTTCCATGAATTGTCCATTTCGACAACCGAATTACACATAAAAACAGAAAATGTAAATAGCAGATCGGTACCTTCGTTAGAAGTTTCTCTAGGTAAAAATAAAATCAAAGAGATAATCATTCAACGTTTAAATATTTGAAATGTGGTTCATAATAAAATTCCAAATGTACGGAATTTTACATGTAGGTCCAGATAATGTTGGCTACATTTCATTTGTAAAGGAAGGATGGAAACAGGAAAAATATGACGAGCCGCCGGTAAATCCAGTATTGGATGCAAAATACATTGAATTATATCCCAAACAAGTAAGCAATTTTTTTTATGAAATATTAGAAATATTATATAACTAAAATACAATATTACTAAAAGTGCCACATTCAAGCATATATTTTGAATACACAATGAAAGATGAGGATCCATCCAGTAATCAAATTGACCAACTACGGTCGTTAATTGGTTGGTCAATTTGCTTATTGCTTATGTCTTAAAGCAAGATTGTGGACAAGGGATAAGTATATCGAAAGTGGTAATTCTGGCGGCAATGACAGTTGAAATGGCTGAAAAATGATCCGTTTTTTCAAGAATTATTTTGTAATTCTACACAATATATATATATATTGGATCTCAGGCATCTCAGATTGCCGCATATTTTACAGGTTTCAAGATTACTATTATGTTTTCCAGGAGGAAAACGAGGAACTAAAATATAAAATTATACGCCGTAAAAAACTTACTATATGTATACGTATATTATTTCTCGCCTATGACGTCACAAAACCAGTCTAACTGCCCGGAATAGCCGAACCTTAATAACGAATCTTAGAAATTTTATTGATTTTATTTCAGAAGGACAAAAATCGGACGTTTTACATCGACCATGAAGAATACGATTTGAAGCCAATTCAAATTAGGTTACTTCCACAATCTATAACAATGTTTTGTCCCGAAAATAGTAAAGACGAATAAAAAGAAACAAATGAATGCAACAAAAAATTATTTCGCGATATTAAACGTTCACATCGCGATGTTTGAGTTATAAAAACACAAACATTTTTGTCGTCTAAACACGACGTAAGAAAGAACCAAGTTGTGTATGAGCCTAGGTATTATATAAAAATGTTTAAATATATATACACACACATGCGTTTTTTGATAAAAAAAAAGGGAATTTATTGTATAAAAAATATTTTAATTATAATTGTCAACTTACATTAAATTTAAGATAGATTTGTGTATTATTTGCATTGAAAATTTGATTTTACATCAGATCACACTTAATCAAATCTATTTTTCATAAATTTTGATTTCAAAAAGTTGCAAGATACATTATAGCAAGTGATACTAAGTTTTAATATTTTATTTTGAACTTTTTATTACGTTGTAAATCAGATCATAGGAATTTTCTTATCACTAACCATTTTCATAAACTCTATTAACCTTGTGATAAAATATCAACATAAATAATGGAATCAAAAGGACCTACATGGGCATGAATTGGTTAAAGTGTATTCATTGTTGTATAACTACAGAGCGCTTAATCCTGATCTACAGTAGGTACTAAAGTTTTAAACCGTAAGAAATTGACTAATCATAATAAATTTTTCCCCTATAATTTGACTGTGGTTGGTCAATTTCTTATGGCTTAAAATTTACTATACCTATTGTAGATCGGGATTAACTGGACTCTAAAGCGTAGTCTACAATGGGCATTAGGAGTATATTAATAAAAAGTGTGACGTGGCAGCATTTGCGACGCCCATCACATATTGTAGAATTCTTTCAAAAATGTTGCACATGAAATGTGAAAGGTTGAAATGCTTTTGAAATATTTCTGAAAGCTTTCTGCAACAATCGGTGCTATATGGGTAATTTAATTAATTTTTGTATAGTCTCACTTTAATATAATTTATTTTATTACACCACGTTATTTTACAATTTCGAACAATTTTGTATAATATATAAAGTAATATGATGATATGATACATCATTTCACTCTGTTGCGATCGTTTTATTTCACATCCGTGTAAATTAATTATTATTATAAAATGTAATTTTCTATTTTTATTGTGAGTGATATTTCATATGTATACATATACAATATGTTTATACCAATATGTAAAGAGAGAAGAATGATACGCGCATGTTGAACGAAATATAAGTCCTTACATAGTACCGTGTTTCTTATCTATGGAAATTGTGGGCGTAGCATGGACGCGCATCAAATGAAAATATTATCGACGGTGCCAGAAAGTGAATGCAGCGAAATAGTTCCAACATAAAAGTGGATGTAGATGGCGTATCAAACAATCGCGTAAAATGATATCAATAAGAACACCGGCACGGCCGCTTTCAGGTTTCTCTCTGGTACAACAATGTTTTAGTGATTATGTCTGATTTTCAGCGTGAATAAAGAGTGTAATTCACTGCGTATTTATCCATAAATAAAAAATCAAACCCAATCAGATCAATTAATTTATGATGAAAGTGACATTTTTCACTGAATCGGTAGTATGTTGTGCTGCACGAATCGGTATACTAAGTGGATTTGAAAGGTTCCCTAATCTTTCCTTCGAAACACCTCTGCTTCTTACTTACACAAAGGTATAAAATGAATAAATCATAATTGCCAAAAGTAAGACATTTTATACGATAATTACAGATATCTCGGGAAAGGATAATTTATATAAAAAGGTTTCATACAGATGCATATGGTAGAATAACAAGAAGTTTATAAAATAGCGATGTTAATTTGACTTTAGACGGAAACATAAAAATTTCACATTAAATTACTTAAAATTTTGTAATTTTAAGAAATTAGTAGTTATATTAAACCTCACCCTATATATTTTTCTTTTTCTCACATCGAAATGATTTTTAGGGTGGCAGTGTGCCACATTTAACAAAAGATGTATTTAAAATGGTTACTTCGGAGCAGCAATTGTTATCAGTCTCACTCTCCTCTACTATATTAATGGCAGATAGTATTAAAGAACTTAATATTTCTTTCGCTGACTTTGTTGGCATGAAGGTATGATGTTAATATAAATATTAATTGAGATGTCAATGCACAATAGCTTACTATATTATTGACCATTGAACAATTTTCATTTGTTTCAGGACTACCTCAACTTGTTATCAATACATGATCCCGCAGACACTACTAACTCTGGTTTCCAGCAACTGGATTCCATCTCAATTTGGCCCAGAACAGGAAGATCTCGCCTTACAGCCAAAAAATATATGGAACTTGTACAAACTTTCAAACCAGATCTCTATGTTGCCCTATGCGATGGAGATACAAACATCAACAGCAGCGCAAAACGAGTGTCCAATGCTGTTGATCGTAGCAAGATTTTACTGGAGCAGTGTCTAAGTATACATCAAGACTCAGGCATGTTGAAGTCGACAGGAATATTAGGTGCAGTACAGGGTGGCTATAATTTAGAAGCTAGAAAGGAATCTATCGATCATTTGAAAAACATGCCTCTAACAGGATTCATAATAGATGGGCTACACAACAATGGACCAAGTGTGCAGAATATCTCATCTAAATTAATTAAACATGTAGTGCAACATACTACCGTAAGTGTAATAATGACCAAAGTATAGAAATTGTTTAAAGAAAGTTAAAAGAAAATTTTGTGAGTGATACTATAATGCTTTGTAGAACTTACTGCCTGCTGATAAAATAAGAGCGTCGATGGGTTGTTGGAATCCAGCTACAGTGCTAGACCTGATTGAACTAGGAGTAGATATATTCGACTCGTCTTATCCTTATATAATTAGCGAACAATCGCAGGCTTTGGTTTTCATGTGTGATGACGATTCTTGCGAAAATCAATGTGTAATATCAGTAACAAATAAGAGGTAATATGAAATATGATAAAACCGATGTAACGTTTGTGTTATTCATGCTTTCATATATATTTTCTTTCTCCAGGTACAAAGAAGACTTTTCTCCGATTTGTATGAAATGTGCGTGTCTTACATGTCGAAATCATACAAGAGCATATCTTCATCATTTACAACATACTCGGGAAATGCTTGGCTCAGTACTTCTAATGATGTACGTATTTATATCATAATTCAGTTCAAATTTTATACAATCGTTCAAAATTAATCTCAATTTCAGACACAACATTCATTATTATCTCACATTCTTCGCTGCCATACGTGATGGCCTGAAAAATGGAACGTTCGATCAATTTCAAACAAAAATTCGTTTGAAGTATGCAACCACTAACTTCAAATGATCAATTACATTAGCATTATTACAATATAATAAATTAATTTAGCATTATTACAATATAATAAATACAATAAATTTTTACTTATTTAAGTTATTTATATGATCATTTTTTACTCGTCATTCCTATTCTCATATACATTTATTCAATGTATATTTAATAAGATAAAATGCGTGGGCTATTCAGGTAGGAAGTTTGGATCGAGATAGTTGTAAGAATTGTTAAAACATTGTGGCAGATAATCAAGATCATAACTTCTAGTACACGGTGGTTTTATAGGAAGTAATTTGTGATATGGATTGTGCATGGGATTTACTTCTTCTAATTGTGTTACTGCACAATCGCCACATAGAACAGTATCACTACATTCTGCACATTGCCACCTAGTACCCTTTATAGGTTCATCATCACATATTGTACACTGTAGAAAGAATATTGATAAATTAAATCATTTATATATACACATATCGGGTTAGTAAAAAAGATTATATATACCTTAAATCCAATATTTTTGTATGTTGAAGAATCTTGTTCCTTTTCAATCTTTACTTGACGCAATAACTCTATTTGCCTTAACTCAGGGTTGTCATTCATTCCTTCATTTATTGTATCTTCCTCCTGAAGGTAATAACATTAAGAATCTGGAGTAGTCACTATGATTGTCCTTGTTTAATGACGTCAGGAGCGAAAAAAACATGCTAAAATTTGTTGAGTTATACTCTCAAAGATAAAAATGTATCTACAAAATGACATTTGTGATCGATTCAGCAAACTTGTAAACTTGGACGAATACTTACTCGAACAGTCAATAAGTAGTCATAACATTGACAAAATCATAAAAGGAAAAGAAGATTCCATGTCAAATTAATTTCACGACTATTTATTGATTGTTCGAGTAAAAGAAAAATGTTCCAATTTTACAAGTGTGCTGAATCGATCACAAATATTATTTTGTGGGTATGTTTTTATTTGCAAGTATAATGCAAAAAATCTTGGCATTCTTGCTTCTGACATTGTCATCAAGGACAGTCATAGTGATTACTCTGGGGTTTTAAACATTACTTGATTTTTATATGTATAAAAATATATTTTTTAAATACTTACAAACTCTTCTGCAACAGGCTGTTCTTTATTTTCATCAGATATACCACAAGAAATATCTTGATGTGGGAAAAATGTTGACCGTTTCCATAAAAAGTTACTGTTGCGCTTATGGGTTAAGCCTTTCTTGATATCTATTTTGACTTTAGGCCCTCTTCCTGGTATCGGCAATCCTGCCCTTGAAAGTTTAATGAAGTATTTTTGAACTCTACTAGATACCTGCTTAGGTGTTCGATTTCCTAGAAAAATCCAGAAATATGGACTTAGTATTGCACTTATAAGGCAATTATTAATTAATTATAACTTATAACTTATTAATTATAACTCATAATTAATTTTAATTTACCTAATGCTTTGGCTATCTTGGTCCAACGTTTCATTTCTATTTCTTCTTGTGGATATTCTACTAAAAGTTCTTCGAGTCGCTTTTGCTCCTCATTTGTCCATAACTGATTGAAAGTTTCAGGCTTGGATTCATCGAAAGCACGACCACGGACTAGAATCTCAAAGAAGGGATTTTTGTTAACATAATTTTTTATTTTGTTAACATAAGCAGATATAATTATACTAACTATTAAATTTATAGTTATATAATAATGATATACCTTTCCATCTTCTTGTTCATTTTTTATATGAATCTGAGGCAATACATTTCCATGTCGAGTTTGTGGTCTCATACGTACATCTGGTATTGATATGTTATATTTCGGCCAATCAACATAAGGAATCTCTGCAATCTTCTGTGGACCAGGTAACTCTGGGAGATCACCATTTTGCAATTGTGCCACGAACAATATCGGGTCCTTCAACGCTTTGGTTTTCACAGACAGTAGCTTGTCCAAATCTTCTATAGCTCGAGTCCTTTGGGCCTCGAGAGTAACAATCGTTTTTAGAAATGCGCAATAATCCGTGTTACCTTTCAATGCCACGTGCTCGGTTTCAAAGCCAAATTCACTCTCTTCTTCGTCGGGACGCTTCACATCTTCGTCATTCATTTCTTGTCAATTATAGAATATGAAATATATGTGAAAAATGTTTTATATTAATATATAAAACATAAAATGTACATACATATAAATACTTCTTGCGTAGTACATTCGTAACTGAAAAGTAATTCAGCACGAAAACAATCACCATGCGTCACCAACTTATGGCTCTCGCAGCCAGCGCGATGCGATATGCGCACGTGACGCGCGATATCCAGTGAGCGTGCAGCTCTTCTGGAAAAGTAGTATTCTCATTGGATGTTCACATCGCGCTGGTCTGCGAAAGATTTAAGCGCTTAAAGCGTAATAAACATTTATAGCACGTAAACGTCCAAATCGAACATATTCTTTGTATATACTTTTATTCATATATACTTATATTAACTAATCAAATATTATAGCCAAATGCAGATGTTGTCTACTGATGTTCACAAAAAATGCTTTTCGTGTGCATATTTATATTGGCATAAAGCCTTTTTATTGACTGTATATCATTTCATCAGATATTACCTTATAACTTTTTAAGATAATGTGTATCCAATGAAAATTCAAAAGAAAAATTCTCAGAATAAAACTCTTCGCAGAGAACATAATGATGTGTCTCTCAAATTTTTTTATTGCTTACAATGCCTGCAAAAAGATGGTGTTTTCAATGTCACTATGCCTAAGAAATGGAACTATATATATATATATCGTGAAATATATATTTAATATAATATTATATATATGTATATATATATATATATATATATATATATATATAAATGGAGTCTGATATATTTGCAACAATCTGAAGATGTATTGCATATTCACAAATTCGTAAAACAGCACTTGCGCAAATATAAAGTTATTAGATATGTAATTATTAATATAATTATAAAAATATATTGGTAAAAGGTATAGGAACATATTATGTAATATTATACAGATATAATTATTATATACTTTTAAAATTATAGAAATATAAAATTGTTAATATTATCATATATAAAAAAGAAAGAAATAGAAAATCCCACTTGATCGTGATATCGAAATACCAAACAGACGTGTTCGAGATCGAACAGCTATCTTATCTATCTACCTTACACTGTTGCAACGACATTTTTGCGATAGGTACTTGACGGTGAATCCGACTGATTAGATGTTGTTGATTGATTTGAGCTCGGCTCTGTAAAATGTGGTCGACCTCGTGAAATTCGGGCAAACAATTCACTTAACATCGCCACGAAGCGAGTACGGCGGCGCGCACGATAATCACTGGTTCAAACGAAGTTTCGCGCGCTGCGCCAGATGCTGATTTCTGCGAACTTCTGTGATCTTTCCATTCAGTTTCACAACGATCGATCGTCAAAGATAGTCACGAGGGCCGGCCTCGTAATGAAGATGAGTATCCTCTTATCAGAGCAATACGTGCGTATGTCGATAAAAAAAGGAAAAGAATCACCGACAAGTTGACCCGTTAACATTTCAATCGCAGTCTAGACCTCTCGGCTAAGCGATAAACGTCAACCAGCTTTGACCGCGCGGCCGGGTCTGCTGCAATTGTGGCCGCTACGCGTCGCGACAACAACGACGACGGGATCATTGCTGTCCAGAAGTGAAGATAAGGTCCGCGACAACAGTCGCAATCATCACCGCCACTGCCGCCGTCGCTCTGCCGCTACCATCCTCACTGTCGAATGCGAATACAGACAGCCTGACAGAGCCTGAGGCCGATGTGTCACTGATTTTGAATCATTGTTCGCATAGTGCAGGCGAGTTCGTGTGTGCAATACGCTTTGTGCGGCGAGCTTCTCTTTCTTCATTCTTCGATTCACTGTCGGTGCACAAGTCTCGCGAAATATGGAAAAGCAGGAAAAGCGGACGGCCGGAAAAATCGAGCTGAAGAGGGAACTGGGACTTTTCAGCGCGGTCAGCATTATCCTGGCGGTGATGATTGGTGAGATGCAAATTTGCAATTCAATTTCGTGATAGCGCGCAAGTGCGAGCCGCTCGATTTCAAAACCACGTGGCGATATTCAATTTACGTCAAGAAATTCGTCTCGGGCTTGCGATATATCGTGCGATAAAACGAATACACACACGCACAAATTCCGTCACGGTAATATCGCCGATTTAGCTAAAATTGAGTGAAAGTAGTTCAGATGCACACACGACGAGGAGTCGACGAAATTCTAATACGTAAAAACAACGATTCGCAATGCTCGCAACAGCATTTTCTGTAAATTATGATATAATGTAAACAAAGACAATGAGGTAACATTGTGAGTGACGTATATCATCAAAGAGAACAATACAGGAAAAAAAGATAGAGCGCGAGTCGCCGCTGGGTGTTGGACGCGATAATTTAAATCTCAGCGGGAGAATAAAATTGTCCGACGGTGTAACATACAAACTTATTTTCCAGACTTTCAATGTCATGCCATTTTGAACTGACTCTTTTAACCCGCAACTCGGATATTCTCAAATCAATTATTTCCTTCTAAATCTCCTAGAGCTTGTAGAAAACTTTTTAATAAGCGTCGCGGAAAGTAATATGCTATACGTAATATGCTATACCTCATTGTATTCTCATTGTGTCTATTTGCGGATTTCGTAACTCTTATTCGCAAGAAGCGATAAATGCGCACAGTACAAAGAAGGCGAGCATGTTCAAAGCCGCGGTACAACTAACCGCTATATCGTGCTATAAAAAGATTTCGCACGCGTTGCGCGCTCCTGCTGCAAGTCACGAAAATTATTTTCGGTAAGTATTGTTCGGCAATGCACAGAATGAGACAATTGAATCTCCAGATATCTTTGATCCAGATACCTCTAGATATTTCCAAATATATTCTCATATATTCATATACGAGTATTTGCGCTCAGTGGTAAAAAGAGAGAACTGTGTACAATACAGAGAATTGATATAAGCCGCGACATAAATCAATGTAAATGCCCGAAGCATGCATCCCGGAGCTTTGTCGTGGAGACGATAATGCAGACAGTTTCTACTTAACTGTGGAAAATCTCTCTCTGCGAAGAGTGGGGAGGTGAAAGGAATCTTTAGTGAACGGAATCTATCCTGCTCAATCATAGACGTTCGACTTTTCAAAGCATAGGTTGATTTGAAAACTGTCGAGCGTCTTGCTATTTTCTCCCACATTTGCTTGGAATATCACTAGTACGTTTAAAAACTATGCGATAACAAAGTGAAAAAGTTAGAGGTTACTCCGAAAACGATAGTAAAGGATACCAACAAACAACAGAATAGAATAAAATTTAACAAATCTAGCTGATGTTCAGAACCAATTTTAAAGAATTTCGAAGAAATCTACAACTTCTCAGAGTGATAGACTTACGCGATATTTTCTCGATTCTTTCGTTTCAAACCGACGCTTCAGTGCATCCGAAGCAGCGCGGTATTTTTGGCAGCAAAGAAAGTCATTGGCCGAATTTTTCCCAATCTCGTGCAAATCGTTGTTGTTGTTGTCGTCCGAACTTTATTTTCGCTCTAACCAGTTATGTTAAAAGACGACGAAATGTACCGCATGTTTATGTAGCTGTATATGTATATGTATGACACGAGAGTTATATATTGCTTGCAGATAACATGTAATCGCGAACACCATTTGTCGTTGAATGTTTCGTTAAAGTGACACTGACATAATAATTAATAACGAGCCATAAATAAAGGCATTCTTCAACCTACGGTGGCGGCCTTTAAGTGTAGGATGAGCGTGTTTAAAAGCAGTTAACAGTAATTGCACAGCTCCAAATAAGATTCCGCTTCACACACGCTGAAGCTTTTGTATTTTAATGGCTGACCTCGCGGTATCCAGAATACTTTTCATGATCTTAACTAGATACCGGGTGTTATAAAAAAAAGAGATAAGTCAACAAGGTTCGAGAGTGCAGCGATTATTTGAATCAATATTGCGTGTCGATTTCGAAATCAAATGCGGCTTTGCAGAATCCTAATAACATACACTAGAGAGAGTTTTCTCTCGATCTCTCGATAACATTCTGACAACTTTATCCAAATTTTTACCGGTTCATCAATACATGATAGCTTTAATGTCGCAGTCCGCGAAACGATTCTAATGCTGCTCCGAGACCACCAGCCAGCCGATATTTTTTTCTCCATGAATGCGATGATTTTATATGCGATTAAAAACGTTGCGAAGGTTAATCAAGGTTAATCGATCACCCACGTCATAAAGTATTAGTTAACTACTGCTCGTAGGTAGTCACGTCGAATATCACGGTGGACTAACGGTGGTATGCCCGTATAAACACGTTGGATGCGGCTGTATATAAAAATCCGACCCCAATGGCGGCATACTTTCTTTACTTTAATTAACTCAAATATTATTGAAAAACATGCGATGGGGAAAGAACGGCCAGCTCGATCTAAAGGTTGAGCCCGCATCCAACGAGTTAAGCTCGTCGCCTTTATCGTTCAGGTTCCGGGATCTTCGTGTCGCCGACCAGCGCTCTCGAGCGTTCCGGCTCCGTGGGGTTTTGCCTGATCGTCTGGATCAGCTGCGGCTTGCTGTCCCTGGTCGGCGCGCTGGCCTTCGCCGAGCTGAGCACCGTGGTGCCGCGTTCCGGTGCTGAGTACGCGTACTTCATCGAGGCCTTCGGGCCTCTGCACGCTTACGCCGGCCAGATACCGGCATTCACCTGCTCTTGGATCTACGTGATGCTGCTGCGACCGGCGGAAGTGGCGGTGATCATACTGACATTCGCGGAGTACAGCGTACAGCCGTTCTCCGAATTCCTCAGTGATCTACCCGGCGAGTCCATGTCAACGCTGAAAAAACTCATTGCGATCATGGCACTGGCCGTGATCACGTTCATCAATCTCACCAGCGTGAAGCTCTACGTGAAGGTGCAGAACGTGTTCACCGTGTGCAAGGTATTCGCGTGCATAGTGGTGATAGGCGGTGGGATATGCTGGCTGAGTACCGGCCACACGCGACTACTCGAGGATCCCTTCCGCGGCACTACCACGTCGATCGGTAACGTGGCATTGGCTTTCTACAGTGGTCTCTGGGCATACGACGGCTGGAGCTCGGCCTCGATCGTCACCGAGGAGATCCAGAGGCCTGAGGTCAATATCCGCCGGAGTATCCTCATCGCGGTGCCTACCATCACCGTTCTGTACGTGTCGATGAACTTGATGTACATGGCGGCGTTAACTATGCCGGAGATGGTGAGCGCACCGGCGGTGGCTGTCCTATGGGCCGGTCGGGTTCTGCCAGCTTGGATGGGCTTTATCATACCGATCGGGGTAGCGTTGTCCACCTTCGGATGCGCTCTTAGCGTGCAATTCGGCGTGTCCAGGCTCTGTTTTGTCGCGGGCAGAGAAGGCCATGTGCCGCGTATCTTCAGTTACGTGCACATCGAGAAGATGACGCCGGCCGCGGCGGTGGCTTTCCAGGGCATACTTGCGTTGGTGTGCCTGTTGGTGGGCAACATAATCGCTCTCATCGAGTTCGCCAGTTTCCTCACATGGGTGTTCTACGGATTAGCGATGGTGTCGCTGATAATCATGCGACGAACGAAGCCTGACGCTCATAGACCGTACTCCGTGCCTATCGTGATACCTTGGCTGGTACTAGGCGTCTCGATCTTCCTCGCGGTGTTGCCGATAGTCCATGAGCCATCGGCCAAGTATCTCTTCGCGCTCCTCTTCATCCTAGCCGGCATCGCCGTTTACCACGTTTTCGTGTACAAGAAGACCAGAAGTACTTTAGCAGGTGGGTGCAATTAAACGTAAAGATAGGAAAATCTGTGCGTCAGACTACTGTAGAATAATGTGTCTGTTGCAAATGAAACAGTATTTATATATCTCTTCACGTATTTTTTTTTTTCAGCTAAACTAACGTATTTCGTGCAATCATTATGCCTAATCGTCGCGCCAGACAAAGAAGAAGACTGATCGAATATTCATCGAATCTACTATTCGCATAAGTAATCAATGTTTGCTCATATGATACTCGAAGATTCGGGCTAGGTATGAATTACGTCATTCGATGAAAAAATGACACTGTTTTATAATTATCTCTTTTATTGCCCAAAATGCTTAAAGAACCAGTCTTTGTGCGATGAACATTAATCGAATCAACAATGTGCCCTGCACTATACAAGAGGGGGATGCTTGCCCCAAGATATATCTCATTAATGTGTAAAGTATTTTATACAAAGAGTATATCGGTACAACTTATACAACGTTGTCTTATACAAGATATAAATGCTTAACAAAAATAGCATTTTGTATACTTGTTGCAATATTGCAATATTTTATAATATATATATTACTTTATGAACATGTAGATATAATAAATGCATAACAATAGAATAATAGAATAATAATTACTTATAACATAATAAAATGTAATATACATTTTATACGTAAAATTTATATATACATATATATGTATATATAATTTATATATACATACATACACATGCCCGTACAGCACAGAAGTTGTAGCAACATTGTTGCAACGCTGTAACATTGCTGCAAGTTTCTGTTCTCTGCATGGGTATATTATATATATATATATATGTTTATTATATCTAATATACAATATTTCATGGTATTTAAATTAGTAAATAGTATATAAAAATTAAAATTTTAATTCATACAGCTTTTTTGTTCTACTTCTTTCAATAACGCTACTAATGTTACAATTGATGTTTATATTTTTATAAAGTTAATATTATGAATTCTTTTATATGAGATAATTATAAATATCAAAAATTTTGCAATGAAAATACTGTTCTATACATAAAAGTTTACACATTAATTTATTTAATGCTATTTTTTTAAATATAAGGGCACTTTTAATGTATAAATTATAATGTATAAATTGTAAATATAATGTGTAGCAAAAATGTATACAAGGCACATAAATTTAGGAAAGATGCCATTTGTAATATTTTGAATTTAGATTATTAAAAAGTGCTGCCAAGTGTTAGTCAAAAATTAAAATCCGTGAATAATAAAAATTTGACATAAGTTTATTTAATAATTTACTGTGTTTTACTCTAAAATTTATGCTGATACGACAATTAATATAATCATCTATCTATAAAATATCACTTTTTTTAAATATTCCCATATAACAGATTTTTTAAAGATACCCTCTATATAGTATTTTCTCATAACGCAACATTGCTTTAAATATTATAAATTATATATAACTTTTTATAGTTATAACTAAATTTTATCAGATCTGTTAAGACTTAAGTCAGATCATATCATTATTGGGATGCACCACATTTTGAACAGGTCTGTCTTTCGCTATAATAATTTAAAAATGTCTATAAGAAGAAAAAATTTATAATATTATATTTTTGTTATTTACCTCAATATTTGATGAAGCTTTTTGCGAAATTCATTACACAGAGCTTTTTCAGATGCAAGTGCAGTATCACGCTCCCTCAATTCCTGTCTCAAATGATATATTGTATCTTCCAATGCTTCAAATATTGCCTACAAAAATTAAGCATCCATAAAATAACATGAAAAATATGCAGTGATATGTAGTCATGATTTATAAGTATGAAACTTACTCTAGATTCCTCTGCAGTGTCAGATAATACAGGAGGTTCATCCAAACAAAAGAATTCCCTTACACATGAGACACCTATGAGAATTGGACTACTTAATATGCCATTGACAAATGTTTGAAGTCCACGTATTCTTTCTTCTAAAAAACTTGGTGCAAAATTGTCACCGAGCCATTTTTTTCTTGGTAGTGACAAACGGGCAATAGGAATTTTTTGTCTTCTTAATTGAGCTAGTAATCGAACAAAGTCTGTATACCTTCTAAATACGAACCAACAATCACCATTTTTCAATTCAACTCGCAGCTTATAAACCTGTAGGCCAAGAAAAAATGATGATGGAGAAAGAAATATTTAAAATATTTTAAAGTATAATAATGATAAGTATAATAATAAGTATTTTAAAGTATAATAATAATAATAATAACAAATATTATTTAATATTACTATGTTGCTTTTATACATATTTAAAGCAATAGCTTTATGAGAAAATGTAGAAAATATACTGTTGCAAGCTAAGTGAAATATTTATATTTATCATAGTAAATAACCATAAATATTATCATGCCCATATATAACCATAATCTGATATAAACTAATAATAGATCATATATAGAATTAATAATATATAACATTAACAAACCGTAAATCTAGCTCTCTCTTCCATAATTTCATAGCCAACAATAGGTATTCTCAAGTCTTCATTAGTTAGAGGTGGTTGCAGAATATTTGAGTTGGTATTGTTATCATTGGGATAATTAAACCGTTGTACAGTAAATGAATTCGAGTGGCCAGATCCATCAGAATCTGGACTGTCAAGGACTCTCACAGTACCTGCTTGAGAACTTCTTGCTTTACTAATTGCAAGTGTTACCTCGCTAATGCATCCCATACCAGTCTCTGAATTCGACATTTTTATTCCAACAAACTAAACAAAATCATGCATACTTAAAATAAAACAATAAATTAAAATTTCTCTATTTTATGCTATTACATAAATAAAATTTAACAATCATTAATTTTTATATAAAAATTATAATTATGATATTATATTGACATGCATTACTGTTTGATAAATATAATAAATTTATGTATCAAACGACATGAGGATCTAAAACATGTATTAAAGACGTTGCAAAGAAGTTTTATTTTTCTTTGACATTTTTGAAATGTATTTTTTGGACATTTGTTTTTGTTACATCAAGTATATTTAAAATTTAGAACTAAAAATTTATTCATCGTTAAAAAATAACAGTACATTTATATAGAAATGATTTTACACAGTAATCAAAATTAAATTCCATACTACTCATTTTAATAAATCTAGGATAACTTATTGCATACTAACCTCACTTATAAAAGATAAAATATAGAGTATTCGATGCTGCTTAATGCATTTTTATTATTTTAATATAATTCATAATGCGTACTAGAGATAGCTGTTCTTTTGAAAATACTATACACGTATTAGTCACGTAATTAAAAAAATCTCCTTGCGTTTATTCGACATACTGAAAGTTCGCAAATAATTCACGGAACGAATACGTCTGTCCTTAAGTGGCACCACATTATAGGTCTGTTCATTTTCGCTGCACCGCTGAACTAGTGCAATAAGTTGAAGTGAGACAATGTCTGTTTCTTTCGCTACAGTAAAACTGCACTAGAACTGTACTGAACTGAATTGAACCGCACTGGGAAACATTAGTACAGAATAGTTCAGTTCAGTGCAAAAGTGCAATGAAGAGGTCTGTTCGTTTTCGCTGCACCGTTGAAATGCCAGAATGTAGTAAACAACATGGCGCATCACATGACATTATTTGATTCATCTGACGAAGAGGATTTTGTTGTAATACAACCACTATTACAACCCATTGTAGATGAAAACGATGAATGTAATATATAAAACTAAATATAGCAAATTTATTAATAATTTATAATATTGTTACGCTCGCGCGAGGAAATAAAACGAGACTACGTTAAAAAATTTCAACTATATCTTTGCTATTTATAAGAAAGCACGCAGACTCAAGCTCTCTCTCTCTCCAAAAATGGATGACGATACACCAATCAGAACGTAGCATTTCCATCCAGCAAACAATCCAATACGAAAATAAGCACCGTGTGTCACGGGCTTAAGATTGAAATTGGATTAGAATTTAACCAATCACAGTAAAATTCTCTAAACTCAAGTTTAATGAATCTTGCTCTGATTAGCCAAATTTTAATTCAATCTCAATTTTAATCTGTAGTCTGATAAGGGCTTAATGAAATATCCATAGACTTATGTAGATAGATTGCGTCTCCCATGAGAGGAATTGACTAGATTAAAATGAGATAACAGTAGCCTAAGTTAATCCAGCGACCATGCTTGTTTTCGTGTTGGATTGCTTGCTGGATGGAAATGCTACGTTCTGATTGGTGGTATTGTCATCCATTTTTGGAAATGCACCAATCAGAACGCAGTATTTTCATCCAGCAAGCAATCCAGCACGAAACAAGCATCGTGTGCCGTTGGTTTTAGAGATCCTCTAATCAGAGTGACGACATCTGGCTACCACTTTTGATTGGTCCGTCATGTTTCATCCGTTTCCGCCAATTTTTCAATTTTACTATTTTATGTACGTAAATGTAAATAAATAAATGGTGTATAAACAAAGTGTTATGTGTTGCACATTGCGCTATGCTGATGCCTTCTCTAGTTTTCGAAGAATAGCTGCAGGGGTTCCCCAGGGAAGTGTTTTGGGACCTATTCTGTATTTATGATACACAGCCGACATTCCACGAAATATGAAAGGCCTAAAAACATTTTTATAACATGTCAAGAATATTATATAAAGTAGGCATATAACATCAATAGAACATTCCTATAATATTAAAAAATATTGCATAACATTCTTAAATAGAATATTATAAGAATATTATTTTATAATTGAATATTATTTTAATATTGTATATATATCCATATAATATTCTAGAAATATTATGCGCTTATAGAGATCTCAGTTCTAGTAACTACAGCTACAGTTACAGTATTCAACAATGTAATTGTTATATAACACGCGCGTTACACTTTGGTTAAGTAGGAAATTATAACTAACAGTAATGTAACTGTAACTTGGTGATAGTTGGGATTGAATAAGCATTATGCGAAGAAAGGAAGTTCTGTTTTATGTTATATAGGATAGTTATATTCACATAAAATTCTTTCGTTATTTTCATTTAAAATCTTTTATTCGCCAAGTTATCAACTTAAAAATATTCTCTTTATGTCCATAGGAGCAATAAATGAAATCGAGATACGTGAATTGACCTTACCTAAACGGCTCGACCTTTCAGCGTGTAGATAAAGTCGTCTGAAGCAGATTCTACATCGAGATGCATATTTTCGTATCGAACGACGCATCGCGTTTTATTAAAAACGTAAGGTTAAGTTCGAGGGTCTTCATCGACCTAACTTGAGACTCTTTTGCGATGATCAGTCAGGTGTATGCCTGGCGACTTCCGTATGATGAGACATGACCATGGACCTTGTCGGTAATATGGTATGATCCGTTAATGCGTTTACAATTATGTACATTACGTACATTATCTGTTTATTTCAAGACTCATAATAGTTTTACCATTTTTTTCTATAAAAAACGTCGTCGACCTTGACGTAATATCAGTTGTCGATTAGTTCGTATTGAATGAACTTTATAGCAACGATTTACTTAAGGGTAACATCACTTAGGAGTTGCATCATGAGGCGAAAACGCCTCTTTGTGCCGTCACATACAACGAAAGTGATGTGCGTACCACACATAATTAATGCACAATGTAAACGGCTCGATTAATAACGCGGCGGGTAGGATATATACGTATAATCCATTTACCGATACGGTGAGCAGCAGTATATCGACTGTGAATTCTTCGGTAAAAAAAAAAAAGGGAAGGGAAGCATTCGCACGCTCTAAAAATAAGGCAACTCAGAAACTCATGGGTAGAGCAAGGATAATGCTCGACATTGAAAAGATTTAAGAGATATCAAGTCGATGACACTGCTGTTAACGAATAAATACAGCTGTGTGTTGCCACAATTTGAGAATCTCAATCATATTTTTTGATAGGACGTGCTATATTTGTATCTTAAAATTTACTTATTAATGTCAAGTTTTTCGACGGTCGTTAGTCCACTTGGACGAGCTAATTTTGTTGATCGCTATCAGCGTGCAGTAATCAGCGATCACGCTAAATCATACACGTGTTAATTGCTAGTAATATGTAAGTATCGATTTCATGTGATCTCAAAAGCCGCGCGCGAATCATACACGCGCATTGCGCAGTCGTCGGTCAAGCGCATGCATGCACCTTCGCGTGTGGGAAAGAAGTTTTTCTGAATATATCGGATGTACCGACGTGTACGTTTCATTTCTGCGCTATTTTATATACGAACAATGGCAGGTTATATATGGCGACTTTTATGCGGTCGCATGAGAGGTCAGTAAGATATTACTGATATCGACGATGCTCTGATAATAATGGAACTTGTTGTTTCGTAGCTAGTCGTATTAGTATTACTATTATTTATTGAGTATACATTTTCATATTGTATACATTATATATATGCTCATTTATACGTATATCAATAATATCTATTGTTCTATTTCAACGCGCCAATATCCGACGCGTTTCTTATTATCACAATATCGTAGAAAACAAACAATCGTTATTTAATGACGTGTAAGAAGATAATTATCAGAGTTAGAAAGTTTCTCGTTACTTGTAACGTCGTTGCTTTTTACTTTCTTTTTTGATAATGATCTAATAATGACGTGTATGATATTATCTTCATCAATAACGATAACAGTAACTACATTTTTTGGGCAACGGTAATAAATGTAATTGTTACCCGACACGTTTAATTGTAACTGTATAATTTCAAATGTAACAATAACTTTACATCGATATTATAATGTTGTACTTAACAATATAACTGTAATAAATGTAATATAGTACATATACATGTAGCAATATAGAAAGTTTAAGTGTAAATATTTAATAATATAAACTAAACTAAACTAATAATTAAAAATAAACTTTCAACATAGATTATATGTTACATATTCAATATATATATTCCTGTTAAAACATTTCAAATGATGTATTGCAAAATTCTTTCAGAAATGTTGCATATGAAATGTGATAGGTTGAAATAACTTTGAAACATTTTTGAAAACTTCTGCAACAATCGATGTTATATGGGGTTACTTTATGTTTGCTGGGAAGCATCTGAAGATAAATTTAAAACGGTCTTATATTTAACATTCGACTATGAATACTGGTTTATATATATAATTCTATGTTGAGAATTTAAATATTCACATTTAAAAATCAGAATAATAAGAATGTCCAGAGTTAGGTGCTGGATTGTTTGCTGGATAGAAATATTGCATTCTGATTGGTGCATTTTCAGAAAGGGATGGCAATAGCCGGCGGCTATTGACTGGTGTATTGTCATCCCTTTTTGAAAATTAATCAGAACGCAGAATCCCTTTTTGAAAACCAATCAGAACGCAGTGTTTCTATCCAGCGAACAATCCAGTACGAAAACAAGCATCGTTTGCCGCTGGCTTTATTTTGGTAGTACTGACTAACTGGCAGAAAAGCGCGGTAAAGTGTGTCATTGGGTTTCGTGACTGGGAGCAAGTACGTGAGAAGTATTTTCACATAACGAATTTATCATGTCAGGAAACAACGAGATGATATTAAGATTCGCGAAATTATCAGAAAAAGCTCATGCACCGATGAAGGGGTCGGAATATGCGGCAGGATATGATCTGAGAAGGTACGTTATTTCAAAATGATATTCAATGATATCAATCGTCAAAAATGGTCGCTTTCCAACAAGAGATACAAGTCGACACAAGTCTACTTATCTATTATCCTTTTCTTTGTCTAATACGAAATAAGAACAAATGATGATGATATAACTCGTGTTGACTTGTATTTCTTGCTGGAAAGCAACCATTATTAAGCATACCGTACTTGTATAAAGAGAGTATACGATAAGCAATTTAATTAGATAAAGATATTTATATACAATTTTTTGTTTAATGTTAATTAGTTATAGATGATTAAAGTTTCTGTAATATTTTAATTGATGAGTCTCGATATAGTAAAGAATCTAATAGTTTTGATAATGAAATAGTAGTAGTAAGTGTACAAAGCAAAGTTAGGAATCAAGTACAATATTAATTTAATGGATATAATAAAATTTCTTCTTAATAATCCTTGAAATATAACGAAAATAATTTAATGGGAGATTTATAATATCTTTTTTCTCATACAATACAGTGCTTACAAGTATATTGTACCAGCGCATGGGAAAGAATTGGTTAAAACAGATTTGCAAGTACAAGTTCCCCCTGGCACATATGGCAGAGTTGCACCACGATCCGGCTTAGCATGGAAAAATCACATAGACGTAGGTGCAGGTGTCATAGATGCAGATTACCGGTACATAATATCTTTATAGATTTTGAAAGTCAATTGTTAACATATATAAAGTTAATTTTTATTTTTTGCTTTAATATACAGAGGTAACGTGGGTATAGTGTTATTTAATCATAGCAATGAGGATTTTGAAATCGCACCTGGTGATCGTGTAGCTCAGTTAATATGTGAAAGAATTATATATCCCAAACTAGAGGAAATAGAATTCCTAAGTGATACAAGTAGAGGTATAGGAGGATTTGGATCAACAGGCACAAAATGAAGTGTTAACTCTAGTTTGATATTGCTTATTGATATAAAGAACTTTCAAGGTTTTATTTTACGTACTTGTATTTTAAATTATACTTTTATTTTTGTATTTACAATATATTTCTCAATTATAATCAATCATAATATATAATATACATATAATATTTGGATTATGAATAGTATATATTTTTATAAAATACCTTACTATCCTAGAACCATTTAAAACTTCCTTGAACGAACATAATCTACTAAAGAACCAATAAATGTGATCTATTATAAGGAATATATATATATTTGAATGCAGTATTTCTATCCAGCACGAAAACAAGCATCGTATGCTGCTGGCTTTATTTTGGTAGTAAATTGGCAAAAAAGCGCAGTAAAGTGTGCCATTGGGTTTCGTAACAGGGAGTAAACACTTAAATATTCTCACATAACGAATTTATCACATCAGGATACAACGAGATGATGAGATTTGCGAAATTATCAGAGAGATATATATATATATAAAACTCTATATAAATATATAACTAAATATATATGTATATAAAAAACTATATAACTATATATATATATTTAGCGATATATTTATATAGTAGTTATATATATAAAATATTCCAATGAGGACTTCTAGAAATATTTATATCTTAGAGACAGGAACAAGTCCTGTATATGCAATTGGTGTTTTAACAAGAGGTAATATTTCCTTAAAAGCCTTATGTTCTGCATTTTGCATCAATTTGTATATAACATTTTCAGAAGTAGCTATTTGACATCCTATGTCTCGCATTCTCTGTAAAAAAATATTTTGTTAATAGTTTGTCTACATGGTAATTGTTAATAGTATATAACAGGTATATACATATTTTAAAAAGAAATAGCATATATATACATAACTACCTGAAGAGCAAGTAGTCGATCTTCTGAAGTACGAGACATACAACAATCTGCCACAACATGTACCTCATAGTCATTTATTCTTAAGTCAATAGCTGTGTTTTCTACACATATGTGTGTTTCAAGGCCTATTAATATGATTGATTCTGGTTTGTTGCCGTTACAAATTGTTGAAAGTTCTTTAATCATCTAAAGAAGATAAAATAAATATACGTTTAGCAGTAATATACAATTTTGAAAATATAAAATATACATGTACTTACTTCAGGTGTGCACATACTAAATTGGGTTTTAGCAAAAAGTCCTTTAGCACCAGAAATATCAATTTCAGGAACGATTTTTCCTAGAGCCTTTGGATAGTGTTCGGAAACTATCATAGGCACATTCAGGATTTTCATAGCATTAACCTATACACACACACACACACATATATATATATATAGCATAACAATAGCATTTTTAATATTAATTTAAAAGTTAACTATAGATTTAATTATAGAAAAACAACATAACCTTCAATAAATGCAACATATTAAAATCGTTGAATTCTCGATAAATAGATAAATTACATAAATATATGTTTGATATATAGAATATCTCATATGCTTACCAGTTTGGATGAGTTTTGAACAAATTTGTCAAAGTCCTTCATAGATTTACCAAATCCTTCCTGAATGTCGCATATTAATAACGCACTTTTCCCTTGTCTTAGTACAGCTCTTGCAGCATTCATGATCATGTTTCAATATTATTATCTCAGGTACAAGTACAAATTAAAAAAATATTAAGGTGAAACTATATTTTACAAATTAACTCGAAAGGTAAAAGTATCTTCTGCATGCGACGTACTCTAAAATCGTTAGCCTCTTCTTTTTAGCTGAACTTCTGGTGCAATAAGTTGAAATGAGAAAACATATACTTGTCTCGCTCCAACTTATAGTATTAGTTTAGCAGTGCTAAAAAGAACAGACCTTAAGTGTCAGATGTGGCTTCAACGTCATTATGGTATTAACTGCGTATGTATAAACAATTTTAACTCGAGTCCATAAAGATTAGAGAATAATGATTTGTACTAAGTATATGTGCCGCGATAAATGAGATTTTTTTTTTTCTCATAAAATACGTTATATTTACGTTAATAAATATGTTTGAAATATGTGATTGCGGCTATATACAAAGTGTCGAAAAGACTTCAGATGTACGTGACGTATGTAAAATATGACAAATCGTATTTTTAATTAAGATCACCAAAAAGCGTATACTTCACGAGATACTTTATTTGACGTTTGATCTTCCGACGTAATCCCTGAAATTAACATCGAAATATCATTTTATAGACCTATGAAATATCTCACGAAGGCAACGCACGTTACCGCCTCACGTATCCGCTATTGGCGCACTGTTCATAGGCACGCGGCGCGCTTGCGCAGTTGGTCAAGTCGACGCGAATCGTCGCGCATATAGGGAGGTCAGTGGAGTCGCATCGAGGCACACAGTGGTCGAACGATGTTCCGGCTGATCGGTGGCGCAATTTACGGTTAAAGAAGCTCGAGGGGAAGTTATAGAGAAAGAGAGATGCGCGATATCTTTATGGTGGACATTTGTTTATTATGAAGCTCGCGGAGTGCGCGCGATTCGTTTGAGCGCGCGGTGATAAATCGTGCACGCGTGTCACGTTCGGCTCGCGTCTTTCAGCGTCGTTTGTTCCTGCGTACAACTGGAGCGTCCGCATAGCATAGGATGGCTGTAGAGTCTCGCGTAACTGGGAACGCGAAGCCTCTGGTGCCGCTGTTCACAAAAGCGTCCGACTGCGTGCACACCAGTTGCTACTGGTGAGTATTGTTATTTCGCGCTGGATCGCGTCGTAGCGCGTGCCCCGGGGCGGCGATCGATTCTCGGGCAAATAAACGCGCCGTATTGCGGCATGCACCGCGGGCTCCGATCGATACGTTGCGGTGGTGCGGACAGCCGAGCGAGCGAGCGCGTGGCCATCTTCGCGGCGCGCGCGATCCCTCGACGATGATTTCTCGTCACCGCGCAATTCGAACGGATCAGAACAAGTTGCTTTGGTAACGATACTCTCGCAATGGATGAATGCGTTTCAGAAGTGGATACTACGTGATCGATTGATCACGTAGTGTCTACAATGTAACACATGAGTGTGTGTACATATTTGTATGTGTGTGTGCGTTCGTTCGTGCAATTGTTTGATAACGCGGTTTGCGTTACTATCGGTTTGAATGAGTGTTCTCTCTCTCGGGGAAACGGTTTTATCTATCGTTGCCGGTCGTTTAATGTCGGTTCGTTTACGTGGCAGTTAAGTGGCGCGAATATATGAGCCGCTTTTATAGCAATTAATAATGCATGCGATAGATGAACACGACACGACGCGGCACGCGAAGGGGTTGTGTCGAACCATTTGCACGAACATAGCGTTCACATTGGTTTCCTTTTTCTTATAATTGCGCAGGACACGTTGCCCGGTCGGGGAAATAATCCAGACTAATATTTTTTAGCCTTTTATTTATGTTGATCGCAGTTTTCCGATCTAATAGCTATTTACCCTGCTCTGCTGATCGTATCCCTGGCGATCCTCGCAATTTCCAGAGCGCATTTTAGAGGCAGATTAATGGATTTAGTTCTATATTATATGTTGTCGCTAGTATCCCTTATTGTGTCGTTTTCAGTATACCGTATGCTGGGTACTGATACGCAGCATCTGTTTTTTTCTTTTGAAAAGGGAGAGAATGCATATCATTTATTTAATTGGTTTTTCTTTTTAGGTCAAATCAATATACTAGTCGCAAAGATTCATTCAACACATCTTGTAGTGTTTGTAGGTATTAGTTAATTTATTTTAACATTATTATTTTTAATTGGTTTTACTTATGCATGGTTAATACTTCTTGTTAAATATTTTATGCTGAAGAATACATTGGAAAGTTTAAAAAATGACAGATATCAATAATATAATTTATATTTTCAAGAAATTTGATCGTGTATGTTAAAATTATTATTTTTATTAAGATATTTATAAAGACAGATATCAATAATATAATTTATATTTCCAAGAAATTTGATCGTGTGTGCTAAAATTATTATTTTTATTAAGATATTTATTTTTTTTTGAAGGATTTATAATATATCTTTATTAATTACTATAATTTATCTAGTCTTTGTCAACATGTATTTAATAATGTGTTTTGTTTGTTATAACTTATATTTTACAGAAATTGTATTTGTAGTGACACAATACGTTTACACGACACCATAAACCTGGTTCAAAAATTCCTGATTTTATTTTTTCAAGGTCTATTTAGTAATTCATAGAAAGATGAATTCAAGGAATAGAGTAAGCTGAGAAAATAAAGAAACTTAAATTACTTAAAGGAAGAACAGAAAATTATTTGCTTTATATTGGCGTCAACGTCGTATGTTTTATTTATTTTATTCAGAAATTATAACATTAATAAGCATTGTGAGAATAAATTAGAATAATTTTGTGCAAACGAATATTTACTACTTCAAGGGATTATTGATAGATGGGTATTGCTAAGACCGGTATTGTTGAGACTTATAAATATAATAAACTTCGTCCATGTATACATATATATATATATCTTATAAGTGTCTTATAAGCGTCTTTTGTGAATCCAATAATTAATTAATGATAAAATATTTTATAATACACGCATGCACGCACGTGCGCGCGCGCGCACACACAACATACACATACACAAATTCTGTGACTTTTTATTTTGCCTCGAATATTTCTTTAATATCAGTCCAGATCCGATATCCTTAATACCAATGTAATCGATCGTGACGATTATTTGCTCGTAAGTCGTATCGCGCGTCAAAAATGAATTGATCGAGCATTTTCGATCGAAGGATAAAGGGCGGTATGCTCAATTTGCAGCGAGGAAAACGTATGGAAACTCTGTCAAGATGTAGCGACCCGACATCCGTCTGAACTGCAACATTGTCATGTTGCTTTCATAAGTAACCCACGACGGAGCGTTCCTTTGTGGCGTCAGCGGGCTGGTAAAGACGAAGACAAATTAGTCGTGTGGGTCAGTATTGTAGGAGGACGATAATTGATTAAGGAACCGCAATATGTTTCCATCTGTTGTTAAGTTACATGAGATTGTTGCTTTCCTTTTATAGGACTACCATGCTATTCTCATCTACGCACCCGACGAAAGAGCAGTGGTGTACGATTTAGAGAGTTCCTTGCCGTTTCCCACGCATTTCTGGAAGTACGCTACCGAAACCTTCAGATCTGACGAAGCGTTGCGACCCGAATATCATAGGAGGTTCCGCCTGGTTCTCGCCAGCGTGTACCTACAACAGTTCGCGTCAAATCGACATCATATGAAACGCGAGGATGGCACATGGATAAAAACACCGCCGGATTATCCGCCGATCTCGACACCAAGTACATCGATAGATTAATGGAATTATGATATTGATTGGCATACGTGTTGATTGCAAAATTATATTATACAATCGAATTACTCATTTTGCAATTTCGTCAGAGTTAGGTCAGTTATTTCAGTTATAAATAACTAAATTCAACAATTCTCTTCTCTAAAGCAAAGTGAATGATGAGTGCAAAAATGTGTCACCTTATTCCATCTGGTATAATAAATCTGATCAGTTTAAATTAACTAGTTCAAGAGGATCGATTTGACAAACAGGGATTAAGAATGACATTAATTCGCAAAATTCACGGCACAAATATTTTGTAGTTGTTGCATGATAAAATTTGTTCGTTCGATATACTGGCTTATCGCCAATTGTCATTGATCTTACATTTATTTCTATGTTTTTAGTTTTGTTAAAAATGTTCTATCTTTTGATATTTTTGCCGTTACTCGTATTTCGATTGTGTCACAATTTTTCGAACATCACATATATGCGTTACATATATGTATCTATCTGTGTGAGATATTCTTGACTCATTAGAATTACTTCGAACATTTCAGCGTGCAAGGATAATCTTGACACATTCATCAACATGGAACAAGGAACCGGACTGGGCGTTGTAATGAGTTTGAAACAATTAGTAAACCGATTTTATAGGCCAAATGTTAACACACAAGCGCCAACGCCGCCTCAGCCGCAAGCTACAGCGACTTAATCTGCAGTGTGATGTTCGTACGCTTTGACTAAAAATCTTGGAAATCAATTGTATGGCCTAAGGGAATTGGTTTGGTGCACGCATACACCTTTGTGGGCTAAAATATTTGATCGAAATTTGATAATAATGTTAGTTAATCGCTGCTAACTCTAGCAAAATTTTAAATATAAAATCGTTGCAGTTGCAGTTGTATTTCTATTCGAGCAATGTTGAGCTGGAGTCGGATTTCGAATTTTATGTAAATTGAACTTATTGTCGCACGTGACACTTTTATCACATCGTGAGTACTCAGTTCGAATTTTCAGATATATACTTCGCGCGACGATTCATTAAATATTCTCAATTATTTCCCTTGCTGTGTTATCTTGGGTATAAACATTATGTATTACTCGCATTACATATGACTATCGATTATTTACCACCAGTATCGTTAAGAATATTTGATATCAACGTTGGTTCCAGATATAAACATTTAAAGTCTCATATTTTATTCAAATCAAAAACTTGCGTATATATCGATAGTGGAAACATGCACTTTTGCATATACATGATACAGGAACGGTTGGCGTTTTACTCTTTACAGTCTACAGTCCGAGTGATTTGGCTTGCGCCGCGCGTGAAGAATGATTCTGCTAAGCTGCTTTCTGAATACTCTCGATAAGTGCTTACCCACTGTATTAATGGACTTCATCGAAAATCCATTTCCTCTTTTCTTCTAAAGCCTCCTTCGCAAGTTTATCCGGGGAAAGGAACACCCCTTCCCGCAGCACGTTACATTCGACCACGTTCAAAACTCGAATCGTGTTTTATATAAGTATTATTTCGTCTTCATGCCATAAAGCGATCTTTCTCACGGCTTTACCTGTCACTGGTGTTATTATAATTATTGTGTCAAAGACTGATGTATTTACAGAGAGTTATCCGACTTGATAAAGATCCCTTTGTCTATCAGCGCGTATTCAATGCGCGGGATGCGATTAAAGCGCTTATAATTACTGTGCGATCGATGTAGTAAAGTCAAGAAGTTAATCCTTGCGACGTATCGTAATTATTACGATTATTGTAATTCTTGTGATACTTTACACTTTCTACTTTGAATACCTACGCTATATTTATCTACTGTTTGTACTAAAAGTCGATTCTTAAGAGATACATATTCGCTTGTTGACGGCTTCTCTAATTAACGTTTAATTTAATTAATATGAATGAATAAATGACATCGGCACGCGACCAATTGTTAACATCGAAGAACATGTTGTGGTTCAACGAAAGCATGTTGCTTTAGTGGCGATAGCAATAAGTTTTACAACGAAAACTTGAATTCCTTATCTGTTCTTCAAATGCAACACTACAAATGATACGTTCTTCTATTCGTTAAGATACTGTATGCTTATTATTTTTTTCATTTTATTCACAGGAAATGCTAGACATCTTATTAAACTTGTGCACGATCTAAAATAATTTTTTAGAACTTTTTTATTCTGTCGATATAACATCTGCATTTGCGGATCTGCAATATCAACTCTTTGCGTTTTGAGCATATGTAGTCGAACAAATAGTGTACATTGAAACGTTCGCGAGATTACAGAGTGGCCTTCATACACCGATGAGAATAGAGCCGATCGGCTTGGATATGAGTGCGACATAAGTTTAAAAATGCTCGCTAACCGTGGTCAGCGTGATGCAACCTTGAAACGCAAAGGGTTAAGTCGCGTGTTATGTTATTTTATCAGATATGACAGCCTTGAAACTTCGCCTTTGTGTGGACTTGCTTCAAATGTCCTTATATTTAGTTTATATCATTTAACAATAATGATGATATATTGCGTACATATATTGCGTACGGAAGTCTCATTTTTCTTCATCTTTACTTCGATCTTGCTATTAAAGCATTGCTTCACTCAAACGAATGCAACAGGGAAGTTTATCAACAAGCGATTACTATCGAACTATCGACTCGCCGCGTGGGTGCTACGAACGTTGAGATATGCTACTGACATTCGAAAAAGAATCCACAGGACGTGCCGATAGTTTTAAGAGTTCGTCCATTCTTTGCCTTCCAAAGTCTCTCACTAGTTCACTCTATCTTTCCCATCAACGTATGTTTACTTTTTTATTCGCATGTATCATATTATTACGTGCGTTACGTACTTGTAAGCGCAGAGGAATCTACGGTATTGAAGTATCTAGTCATCGAGGAAAAAAAACGCTTTAGTGTAAATTGTGCAACAGCAGTCATCACGATGGAAAACAGGTTTCTTTTAACGGACGCGCAACGCGTGGGAAATTCGGGACCGATCTTCTTAGCGAGTATAATCTCGAGGAACTTTATCAAAAGACGAAAATACCGAAAAAAAGATTCTCTTTATCGTTCAGACAAGATATTGCTAAATATATCAGAGCAGAATTATTACGATTATGAGATATATATATATATATATATATCAATATTTCATATTTATTATACGGATATATTGTAATTATATTGTATCGATTTCGATACACCGATAAAAGTTTAGTCGGAAGTGTTAACTTATACAATGTTTTATATATACACATATATACATACATACACACATACACACACACACATATATATATATATATTTGTCGGCGTTCGGTGACATATTCTCTTACCATTGTCATTTAAGACCTGTATACGCCTGGACGTAAAGATCATGAGTCTATTGCCACGATTTCGCATATTTGCAGAGAGTCATGAAAACTTCTTTACGACTCCTTTCTCCTTTCGAGTATATGATGGGTTATTACAATAAATGGATGCACTCCGTTCGTCTCAGCTTCGAATCTTACAGAATATTTTACAACTTTTCTGATCGACCATATGTCCTTAAGTCCCGTTTATGTTTCCTCGTTTGATTATTAATCCTTTTATTCTTACAGAAATAGCCATCATAGTCAAAATAATTAATCTAAGTCGCTAGTATAAAGTGATATTTCTCAAAAACATAGATATTTTGTACGAAAATATTTTTTATGTAAAATTTTATCATCGATCTGTCTGTTTCAAATATTTGGCATCGCGGCATTATCGTGGCACTTGATAATTTTTGTAATTAGTATCTCAGCAACGCGTAAAGCTACTGTCGATGTGAGTTTCACAAAAATTCATTTTTATCTTGCTTCTAGATGTGAGAAATCCTGTTTACAGGTATTATGTATTACGTACTATATAGGTAGTATGTTTCTGATTTTTAGTTGCTCCGCCAAAATCGGTAAAGAACATTTGCGAACTCTTCGTTACCATACTGGGTACGACATTAAGGGGATATGAAAGAAACACATATCTCTCGGAAAAATATATATTTCAGTGAAAAATTTGGAAAATTTAACATTTTTAATATGAAAAATATTTATAATAACATATACAGCATAAATTATCAATAAAAAATATAACTTACATTTTTTTCTAAGTTTTGTGATTATTTTCAGAAATTTATTATTCAGTAAAAGAACGAGAATAAAATTGCCACAGATAAAATAAAAAAATACACGAATACAACATACATATGAAAAATAATTTTACATCGATACTAAAAAATATCATAATAACTAATAATGTATCAGATGTAATTTCTTCCTAAAAAATTATGTATACATATATTATAATGGTTTTTTTTCGATTCCTAGTGCGTTATGAATCGATATCAATTTTATATCGGCAATTTATTATTTTTCCTGTTAAATATTTATTTCTTATATAACATATCGTTTCATATATGTAACTTTTCGATATATAAACCAGAATAAAACGTTATTTACTGAAATAATTATATAAAATCTAAAGAGAAGAGTATAGGTAATTTGTAATTATTTGTTTATAAAGAATAAAAATTTTCCTTAAATGACAAATTTGATTGAAAGACGTAAAGATATAACATTTGATCTTGATTTGGAAAACGGAGACAGGTTTTTCAGGAATATTCTTGTCTTTGTTACCTGAATCTTTTTCTACTTGTTATATCGTTCATGAAGGCTTAGCTCGATATCATAATTAAATTAGCAGGGTAATCGCTTATGTATACACGCTATAATTAATATAGAATCATGCTTAAGAAGACTTGATCTTTTTTCCGCTCTTTTGTACATTGCTCGTCACCAACAAATAGAGTATATACTAAGATATAATCATTATATATATATGTATATATAACATGTACATCACATTGATATCGATGAACCTCAAGTAATAACAAAAAATTTCTAAATTTTCTATAATTGATTTTACTAAATATACTCTAGGTGCATTGATTTTATTCAGGTAATCGGTTAAGTTTCATTTCTTTATGCTATTCTAATATCTAATATCTTGATGAGAAAATTACGTTATTTATACTACAATATACTTGAGAAAGCAAAAAGAAAAAATATATATCGTACGATTATAAATGCGAATTTCTCGCAAAAATACCAATACTTACCAATTAATCGTATGTACAAAAGTTTCGAAGATTTGTTATATCAAGAAATTTGGGTAATTTATCATGAATTTTTTACTTAAGTCATTGTGTTATATATTCAGCAATAATTGATACTTTAGGCAGTTTAGTAGATCGATTTGTAGGGCATTAATCACATTGATCACTTGATCGAAAATTTCGAATCAAGTTATTGCACGGTGGAGATTTCTCAAGATTTTACTTTCCGCACACTACACATATATACATACACACGTGTACTACACACACACATACCATGCGCGCATCACTGTCGAAATAGACAGTGTTCGCAAATAAATATCTCGTGCGTTCGATGCAGTTGCGAATTGACTTCCAAAGATCGGTCAGTCTCATCAGAATGAAAGAATTTACTCGAATGTCAGAACGAGGTCATCTCCTTCCAGTCTCATGCCCAGCTTGATATCGAGACTTTTGATTTTTCCTGCTCTAGGTGCCTGTACAACCATCTCCATCTTCATGGCAGATAATACAACCAAAGCCGCACCTTTCTCCACAGTATCACCTACTTTTACTCTGATGTCGATTACTTCTCCGGGCATCGGCGCGCCTAATTGATTTTTATCGCCTTTCGTCGCTTTGGGATGCACGTGAAGTTCCTGCGTAAGAAATAAAAGAATTTGTATCATGCCTCTATTGAAATTGAATTATATGCAGTCAACTGCTAATTTCTCTTTTAATTTTGCTTGGATCTCTCGAAACGACTTCTGTCTTCGATTGTAATCTCACTTTTATTTTAGTCGTCTTTGTTCAGTTTGAATTCCTTTTCGACCGTAATCTCATTGAAACGTTGACTTGACAAAGCAACGTATAAAATAACTTTGCAAACAGTGTTTACCTTGACAGCCTCTTTATCCTTGATGAATACTGATCTCAACTGGCCGTTCATCTCGAAGAATACCTCGCGTTCGCCATTTTTCGTGAGGTCCTCGGCAACAGCCAAGGTTTTAATTCCCAGAGTTTTGCCTCTCTCGATCGTAACGTCGAATACTTCACCCACTTTGGGTCCCGTAAGGAAAATTCTAGTCTCCAGTTTGTCCACTGGACCGAACTGCTCCTTGAAGCTCAAGTAGTCTTTCGTTACTTTAGAGTAAAGTGCTGCCGACATAACGTCCTTCTCGCTGATATGTGGATGAGATTCTTGCAGTTCTTTCTTCAAGGCGACAAAGTCAAGCGGTGCCAGACTCGCGCCCGGCCTGCCCTGTACGCGCGGCATGTCCTTGAGGACCTTTGACCTGAACAAATTGTGAATACGAAATAAATTTGATGTGAAATTGCTGAAAAGCAATCATCGCGTTACACATCTTTATTATACGCGGAAGTCTTACCTGAAAGGTTCGGGGAACCCTCCGTGGGGCTCACCGATAGCACCCTGAAGAAACTCGACTACTGATTTGGGGAATGACAATTCCTCGGCTCTCTTCAGAACGTCCTCGGCGGTCAGTTTATTCTGGACCATGAATTGCGCCAAGTCGCCGACGACTTTGGAGCTCGGTGTGACTTTGATGATGTCACCGAGCAAAAGATTAGCTTCCCTGTACGCCTTCTTCACGTCCTCGAAGAATTCGCCAAGACCGAGTGAGTAAGCTTGGAATTGTAAGTTAGTGTATTGGCCACCGGGGATCTCGTTGAGGTAGACGTCTGCGTTTCCGGACTTCATTGTCGTGGTGCACTCGAAAGGTGCGTAGAGCGTTCTCGTTTGCTCCCAATATGCGGAATACTCGGAGATATCAGGCAGATTCAGTTTAGTATCAAGGTCCGTCCCTGCAATGACGCAGAATTTCAGCTATCAGTTACAAATTATAGGAAGTAAAAAGCTGCGTCAGGAATTGATTATTCATAATTACGAAAAGTGAAAACGTTTTCTGAGCATTACCCTGCAGAGAAGCAACGACTGCGCCCATGGAAGGCTGGCTGGTCATGCCGGACATGCTGTCAACGGCAACGTCCACAACATCGGCGCCGCTCTTGGCACAGGCTAACATGGACGCCACTCCAGCTCCAGCGGTGTCATGTGTGTGTATGTGAAGTGGCACATCTGGATGCTTCTGCCTGATCGCATCGATCAATATCTCGGCCGCTTTAGGCTTCAGCAATCCGGCCATGTCCTTGATTGCCAGGACATGTGTGCCCACTTTGACCAGTTCGTCCGCCAGGTCGGTATAATACTTTAGGTTGTACTTGGTGCGAGATGGATCGCTTACATCGCCTGTGTAGGAAATCGCCGCCTCAACGATACCTCCGGCTTTTCCAGCCGCCTCCATACCTGAAAAGAAATGTTTTAATTCAATGACAGATGTTTCAAAGAGACGTTCCCTTTGCCTCAAATTGATGGTTTTAGCTGGAGAAAGTTCTCGGCTACCTTTTTCGAAATAGTAGTTTTCTATTTCCTCAAGTGCATTTATAAAAAAAAAAAGAAATTCGAGTTTCAAAATTTCATATTCTCTACAACGCCGAATTGAAACAAAGAAGAATATTCATTCCTAGTATAGTCTCTAGTCGGTTACGTTTAAGTCTTCTAACTCACCGATGATGAGATTTGGGAGATAGTTGAGCGAGTCGAATACTCTGAAGATGTCCATGCCGGTCTTCACGGCCAGATCGCAAAACTTGAAGACGACGTTGTCGGGATAGTTGGTATATCCGACAGCGTTAGCGCCTCTCAGGAGCATTTGGAATGGAATGTTAGGAATGGCCTTGCGCATATCTTCCAAACGTTCCCAGGGACATTCGTGAAGGAACCTCAATGCTACATCGAAGGTCGCGCCACCCCAGTTCTCCAGCGAATAGAGGTTGTTGAATTTGTGCGCGACGAACGGAGAGATCATTAGCAGATCATGCGATCGTACACGAGTCGCTAGGAGGGACTGATGGGCATCGCGAAACGTAGTGTCCATCAGTAGAAGACCTTTGTGCTGTCTAATAGCCTTGGCGAAAGCTTCCGGTCCTTGTTCTTTATAGATATGACGGAATCCTTTCGGAGGATCCAAAACATCTGAAAAGTCGCATCAAAGAAGATTAGTTTAATCTTTCTCTGAAAGGGAGCGATCGTTACTTGTCATGCAAGTTTTTAGTAAACAGGGAAAATGCTTATATGAGGCTATATATTACTTTCATTTGTTCCTTGATCGAAAATTTAAAAAATATTTTTTTATTTTTAACCGATGTGAAAATATTGATTATATTTATTGTTTGTGTCCAGTTTCTATCAATTTCTTTTTCATATTTATATTAGCGTGAAAGCTTCAGAGAGAGTCAATCAAAATGTTGAAAGATTCTCGTTGTTGTTGAATATTAATTTGTATAGCATTAAATTAAGCATCTTTCTTATTTGATTTCAAATTAAATTTGGAAAATATAAAAATATTTAATGATTTACTGTGCGTTGAGACAAGCGGAGCATTTTAATTAGAATTGTTACTTGAATTTGTACTATAATATACATATTTATATTATTATTATTAATAACAGTTATATATAATATTCCACACACATACACATACACACACACACACACACACACACACACACACATTTGTTTATACACAGACACATATTTATCAATGTCAGGGTTAACATAAATTGTATTATGTAACAAATCAAATTTAGAAAACTGAACAATCAAATTTCAATAAAGAAGTTTTTATCAATCTGAAAGAAAGCCAATCTGAAAAAAACCAATACATCGATGCATAAAATTTTGCTTCCTGGTAGTATACCCTTGTTTAACTTGTCTTCGCGACCTGTGTACAATATTAAATTTTAATACGCACGATAATAAAAAAAAATTAATATCGACATAATACTATGACAACCATACCTGGTGCGTCAGGATCATTGGTCTCTTCTGCTGCTGCAAGCTTAGCAAAGTCTAAAAAATTGTCAAATAAAAAGATAAAAGCATGCGATAAATAATGAAGTTTAAGGAAAAATTAAAATTTCTAAAAGAAAAATATATAAATGTAAGTCGCTGCGTGGGAATATGATGACTAAATCTTTGCGAATCGAAGATATTTAGGATTTGTCCTGATTTATCCCATTTATAAACGTAGGATTATACACTAATGACATTTTAATTACAAATGATTTTTTAATCATGCGCAGAATGATATATGATTAAATTATTAGCCGTGCTTTAATTGTTGTTATTCGTTACTAAATTGAGGACGATATAAGTAGAAACATATGAAGGTGCTTGAAATCCATTACCAATTTGTGCAGTGTGCGATGAACCCAATGTGAAATGGTGTAAAGTAATAATTTTGAATTTTGATAAACAAAAAACACAAAACCACAAATCAAAAGAATATACCATAAAAATCTTAACGGTCCAATCAAGTTTCCTGTAAATTAGCGAAAACAGCAAAGATTTATCACGACTGTTAAGTGAAAACGATATCTACTATTTCTTTCTATGAATATAACATCGTTAAATTTTTTTGTTCTCTGTAATACTTTTATGACAAATAATAATCTATTCTTAATATATCGTTAATTAAAACAACGATAGATTAGCAACAGATCCTATCAAAAAAGATAATTGAAAATGATAAGTTTGTAAGAAATGATAATAAATATCTCTCCCCCTTTTCTTCTTTCTTCTTCAATTGTCTTATCATTTCTTATCTATCATATTAATATTCGGAATTTAAAATCATAATATTTTTGAAAATATTGCCCCGTAAGTAAGATTTTTAAACATTTTTGGAATTAATCTGCAGCAACGATCGTGTAAGCATTCAATCGATTCTACCAGAAAAGTAGTAGATATCCTATTCACAAGAAGAAAAAAAGGAAAGAAAGAAAATACGATTCCTATTTTGTTCACCTGCGCATAAAAGCACATTCTTTGTACGCCTCTGCTGTAATTACGGCCAGAATGATTTTGCCGTCTAATCTAAACGAAATGTCTTATTTATTAAGATCAGAATTTATGACTATAAATATGAACTGAATTGAATTTTTTACGATTAGCTGAAAGGTGTACGATTAAAATGGGCTTTGCATCACCAAAGTGTAATGTGCGTCTGAGCAATTTGCTTAAATACTAGTCTAGAAGTGTTTAACATGTGATTCCTTATTCACCATTATCCCAATTATTGCTACTGTATTTCCTAGATGATCAATCATATCATATATACCTAAAGCAATTTGTGGAATATGCGGCTTGATATCCGCCGGTTTTAGTTGAGTCGCCAATGGCGTACTAGGACCGTTCACAAGGACCGTGCCGATATAGTTGAGCAGTTTCTGTGCGCGATTCTGGCTCGGATGGAACTGAAACAGCTGAGGATTCTCGTCAATGAAATACGTGTCGACGACGCCGTTGAGAAACTTTTGATTCTCCAAGACGTTCAGCAGGAAGGGTATATTTGTCTTTACACCTCGCACACGGAACTCACGAAGAGCTCGGTTCATCTTGGCGCAAGAAGACTGAAGGTCGCCAGCGTGGGCGATCACCTGATAAAATAGAGATTCTCATTTCTTTATCATTATTTTTGATATGGTTAATGATTTATAATTATTTTGTCTATGAAATGTTTTCTATGAATATTATCTTTATACTAATAAAGTATTATATATATATATATATATTTACTTATTTATTTATTTGTTTATTTACTTATTTATATATATATATATATATATATTTATATATATTTATAAATTATTTTGTATGAAATTCATGTTTAGGATAAAATGTAATTAGCAACGTATTATGCTACTTTGCGTTTTAGTATCACCGATATTTTACCTTAACAAGAAGCGAGTCGTAATACGGAGAGATTATAGCTCCGGCAAACGCTGAGGCTCCGTCCAATCGGATGCCCATGCCTTCACCAGAACGGAAGACTTCTATTCTTCCAGTGTCCGGCTGAAAACTTTTGGCTGGATCCTCCGTAGTCACACGACATTGTATTGCGAATCCTTGAGGTATGATCTTTTCCTGCGTCATACCGAGTTCCGGTAATGTCATGCCCTCGGCGATTCGGATTTGGGACTGTACGAGATCGATTCTGAAAGGATGAAAACGACGTGAATAAAGACAAAATAATGAATAACATAAGATACTTGACTTTTATATATGCAAAATAAACGCGTACTTTTGATATTACAATCGTATCCAATTCCGTAAATTAATTGAGGAAAGGAACAATAAAATAGAAGAGAGGCGAAAAGATGCATAATTTTTTACGAAATCAGTTCTATTACCCAGTTATTTCTTCAGTTATTGTATGTTCGACTTGCAACCTGGCGTTGACTTCAATAAAGTAGAAATTTCCGGTTTCATCGACCAAGAACTCTACAGTACCGGCATTCGCGTAACCGACATGTCTCGCTAATTTGACAGCGTGCTCGGTCATTTTTTCGCGGACCTTAGCCGATAACGATGGCGCTGGCGCGATCTCGACGACCTGCGAATTTGACGGAAGAGTCGTTCAAAAATAAATAACAAATCTTTCGCATCGATTAAGTTCCTGTGAGTGAATTGTCGTTATATCTCTCATACATGGATTTCACAATTTGGAGGCGCACCAAACTTATCGAGCCGCGTTTTGAAACCAGGTTTATTATTAATTTGCCAAACACTTTGTATATTTGTGAACTGCTACCCTTGAATCTCTCGTCTGACTGCGTCAGTGTCCTCGTTTTGAACGAGACAAACCTACGTGGCCGCAGTGAATGTACTTGCCTCTCGTATTCGAGCATACTTGAGGAGATGCCGCAAAAAATGTTTCAGCGCTCCTAATCTCTTCGCAGAATAAAATTGCTGATCTGAGGTGTTATACCGACCCAACAAGTTATATAATAATTTAGACCTTAAAAATTTCTCATTTTCATTTCAGAACGTATCTTGCAAGATACTCGCATTTTCTTGTATTTTACGATATCTGTAACGTACTTTGCAACGACCGAGTAACCTTGTATCGTTCGTAGAAAATAAGACCTTACCGTTAATTGCCCGTAGCACACGCGATGCTAATTTCAATGATGTATCGTCAGTAGAAAAATATTTTTTTCTTCGTAAGTTATTGTATACATTATTAAATTTGTTCGTAATTCCTAAGAATTGATTACAAATACATACAAAAGCAGCCATAAAAAAAATCAGTGTCAATTATTTGATCAATATTTTATGAATTAGGCTTTATAATAAAAAAAGGAAAAAGCTTTGTTACTATCAGTAAAGTATACTTTCTTCTAAAATAAGAGTGAAAAATTATCCGAACAGATATGAAAAACATCACTTTTATCGTACAATCAACTGTGTAAGCTAAATTAAAATTAATCAGAATGAATCAAAATAATTCGAATACCTTTTGATGACGACGTTGTACAGAACAATCACGTTCATACAAATGCACGACATTGCCGGCATGATCTCCGAGTAATTGCACCTCAACGTGACGTGGTCTCTCAATGAATTTCTCGATAAACATCGCGCCATTTCCGAAAGCAGCCGCAGCTTCGGAAGATGCACGATCGAACATCTCGCGTACTTCCTCCATCTGTCTTACGACTCTCATACCTGTAAGACAATGCAATAATCGGACAATTAAATGTTATATCTGATATATGCATATTTTTTTGTTATACCATCAATACGAAAAACTATACATATACCGATAAAATAACGGATGAATTGTTTTTTTAACATGTTAATATTATAAAGAATCTTCATAAAGACGATAATTTTTAATCGATGAGAAACGAACATTTCGAAATTACCTTTTATAATATATTTTGACCGTGATGTTTAAAGCTCGTCATTTATGCATATTACATATGTATTTAAATGTTCGTTATTATTTAAGCATCTATACATTACTTGTTTCGCTTAAAACGCAGTATGCAAATCCATCGTGAAGCAATTTAAATAAGTGCGCTTTGCGTGCAGATATTTTTCGTATTGTTCGATAACGAATGGACGCGTTTCTACAAACTTGGGACATTATTCAACGAATAAACAGTGTAATATTCTTTGTTCGTGTGATTAACGTGAATAATTTTTAGAAACTGCAACAACACAAAGCCGGTTTTGTGTTTCTATTCCTTTTTTTCTTGTATAGAATTTAATTAGCACGCGAGAAAATTGTTATTGCAATAGATAAAACAGATTTTTTTTAATGAACTTCATGGTGCCAAATATTGCTTCTACAATACAGGAACGAATCAATAAGCCGCTTTTCGGTAGCGAAAACTTATATAAATTATCGTGGTTTTTTATTTAAGAGTTTGAATTTAAATTCTCCAGATTTTTACTACATAGTCTTAAAGAAGTTTTTGCAAGTTTTTCTAATCGTAACTCCCACATAATAAATTATAAGTTTTTTTCTGTCTTCAGATAAGAGACCATCGATAACCTGATTTACCTCGTCCTCCTCCTCCGTAAGCTGCTTTAAAGATAACAGGAAGGCCATGTTTCATACAGAATTCCATCGCTTCCTCGGAAGTTGTCACTGGTCCATCTGTTCCCGGTACGATAGGCACTCCAGCCTCAATCGCAGCTTGTCTGGCGGCTACCTATGTATGTATTGAATATATCCTCCACATCCTTTTTATGCCATAGTTCGAGAGAGGTGCATACCGAGGAATTAAAAAGAGAAAACAAATAATTCTCTATAGTTCTCCCTGATAAAATACCAGACGATTTCCGATGTTTTACGTTATCGTTCTTGCACAATGAATAAGACGAGAGAAAATCTTACATCTATTGAGAAATAATTTTGGCTACAATTGCCGAATATAGACGTTGTTACGTCTTGCGAACACAAATCTAATGCGTTAATGAAAATGCTTCAGTTAGGAGAAAATTGAATAACGAAAGGTGATTGTAATTAATTCGACGGCCTCGCAGTTGCTCGCAATTTCATCGAATAATTTGAAAAATTCCGTCCAAAATATCCGTCGGAAAATCCAAGATAAAAACGTGGGATTACCTTGTCCCCCATTTGCTGAACAACTTTAGGACTAGGCCCGATGAATCTGATGCCAGCATCAATGACCGCTTGTGTAAAATCCGATCTCTCCGAGAGGAAACCGTACCCAGGATGTATAGCGTCGACGTCATTCTCCTTGGCGACTTGAATAATTTCAGGAATGTTCAGGTATGCTTGCACGGGGGGTAGTCCTCTGCCTACTAAATAACCTTCGTCTGCCTTCTGTCGGTGCATCTGCATCTTATCTTGCTCCGAATAAATCGCCACGGAGCGAATTCCGAGCTCTGTGCAAGCGCGGAACACACGAACAGCGATTTCTCCTGAAATAATTACATTAACACATTAAGACTTCGCGTGAAATCACGAAGAGATCGATATATCGAATTGGTCCAAAAATTTGATTTGATTTGATTATTCATCGAGTACGTAATAGCCGTCGTTGTCTCTGATCTTTCGCCAACGGTGTGGCAGCAATCTGTAGGAAAATATTATCAACTCACGTCGAACTTTTTAACTGGCTCTATAACTCGAAACGCGTGCTAATTCCCATCAGCTTTGCGATCTTTCTCGGATAACAATGAATGGATGGATATATTGTATCTGTCTTGAGATATATCGAGATGGGGCATACTCGCCAAGAATGCACGTGTTTTAATTAACCGGAGTGCCAGCACGTGCTCTACGTGGCTTGACGCTAAATCGGGAATAACGTCGTTTTACATCTAGATTAATCTCTTGACCTTGTTCTACGAAAATCAACAGGTAAGCAGCCGATAACGTTTGATGTAACGTTTGACGTCGATTAACTACGTCGATCACGTAAGCGAGCTATACTCGACACCCCGTTCGGTGAAAGTAACGCCAATTATCTGGAAAGCGTATTGAATCTTCTTTTGGCGTTTATTACGGTATAATTAACGAGTTTGGTGTGTGATTACATAATTACGGCACTGCACGGTGATACGTCGTGTCTTGGAAATGGAACGGAACGGAAAAGAAACAAGTTCGAATCTGACGAGCAGTCGTTTGCATTACGCGTTTGCGTTGAAATGAATGAAGTGAAGTAAAATGTAAAAGCAAGAAATACATTAACAATTGTAACGAGAGTTTGGCGTCGCCAAATGCTTTAATGAATCTGCAGCGTTATCGAGAGCAAGCTCGTAATCGCGCGTGTAGTTCATCATCGTTGTCTTATCATGTTCTCTACGCGAGATAAGTTCCTTTTGCCCGCCTTTCAAGATCCGCTGGCAAAGGTTATTAATCGAATCATTTCGTTAAATAAAACAAAATTCTATACTGGGGGAGATCAAAGCTCTGCAAAAGACGAGATAAAAACTTATAAGTTAAAAATTCTTATAAATAAGACTTTCAGCGTTTTCCACCTCTTGAAGAGAGAATCTCATGTTATTTTAGTGAATAAGAATGACATTTTGTTTACCTCGGTTGGCGACGAGGACACTCCTGATCGGTCTGTATTCCACATCCGTGCCAAAGCTTCTCGTGGCGATTTTCCATATTTGCAGCACGGACTTGTGTTTGTTTAATACCCGATGAGCGCGCATGGATTGCATTTTGCTGGTTATTACGTCTCTTTATTAAGTTTCTCAATATTATTACTATTCCGATCCCATCAACACTAGTCGCGTGTAATGCTAGAAGACACAGATGTAGCTACCTACGTTTCACTCTTTATCGTTCCAGTAAAACGAAATATTTTGGTATCAATGTTTAGGCCATTTAAATATTTTGCGACTAATATTTGCGTTTTTAAATTATTTCTCTCTTTATTTCTCTCTCTCTCTCTCTCTCTCTCTCTACGAACTAGCTTGTAACCGATAAAATATTTCCGTTCGGTCTTGATAACGGTGTCTCCGGCAATTATCTGAGTCTCCGGTTTATCAGAAGTTCTTCGATATCCGTTTTACGCTTGTGCTATTTACGTCACTTTTTGTTTCTTAAAAAGGAAAATTGTCTCTCCATAAATATTCTGGCTACAATTTCTAATATGAAGTCTGAAACAAACAATTCACATTTTTGAGAGACACACAGACACATATCTAATTTAATTGTTATATAATATAATTGCATAATATATTTATTATGCAATTATATCATATAAAATATAATTATTAAATTTAGTTCTATTATATTACTGAAATTATAGTATGAAAGATAACATGATCGCTATCTACGCTACATTTGCACAAACTTGTTACGATTATAGGTTTCCAATAAATATGTTATGTCTACTTTGCCAATTCACGTAAGCATAATCAATAAAATATTAAAGTGAAATCATTCAAATAAATTGGAAAGATAAGAAATAACGAAAATATAGCAGTTTATGCAACTAGTAAGCGGGAATAGGACTTTAACAGTTCAATGTTCAAATAAACATAAGAATCGACAATCGGTTTAAATACTAACAGGGATGAATTTCTAATTAGTTGGATTGCCGACAAGTATAACAAATTTCAAATTATCTTGCTTTTTTCTGATTCGTTCACAGGGTGTGCTGTCTTAAAAATATCATAACATATCTTTTAAAATAAGTTCTAAATATTGAAATATATATATATTTTTTTATAAATGCGATATAAATATACATATGAAGAACCGTTGCGTTTGTTAGCGTGAAAATGGTATATATCTCTTATCATAAACGTGTTTTATGAAAATGTATAATCAATTTATCAATGTACATACAATAATTCTTCCCAAATTTCCCCGTGATAAATATCTACGTTTAAGTTTCAGATCGATAAATAATATGTGATAAATATGACTGATAATGTGCCTCAACATCCCCGAAAACTATTCATCTTACGATATCCGATCATCTTACAATACCGATAAGATAATCAAATTCCGTTTAAATTATTTCGTAGATCTTACTTCGTGATCTAAAGATTATTTCTAAAAGAATTTTCGGAAATTAATTTCAACATCTACTAAAATTTGAGAAATAAATTTCAAATAAATATTTCCCAATTTTCTTTTTTCAACAAGTCAATTAGGCCACCATTTTACTGCAAAGTGCTAAGTTGATAATTCGTCCTTTATTTTCTTTTCTTTTCTAAAGTGATCATATTTTTACGCTATCAGTCACAAACGACATAAAATTTACAAACAATCAAGTTAAAGAGAAATCGAGACATATCGTACCGCTTGTCGAAGTTTTGCTTCCAATTTGATTCATTGACGCGTTACGAATGACATTGAGCGTAACGCAGCACCAGCTGAGTGGCAAGCGCATCTGAATTAGCACGATAAAATGGTATGACTTGCATTACGCACAATACCGCATGGTATTGACTTCTACTTTTGGCACGCCGACCAACTGCTCGTAATAAAGTCGCGCACAACAGTCGCGGATATATCCGGAATACGGAGAAAAAGTGCAGCGCGCAGTTTCTCGCGGAAACTCGAGATGCAGAAATACTACGCAATAAATAAAACAACATGTTGTCATCGATCGCATCGAATGTGTCAATAATAGATCATACTTGCGTACATGGTCAAACTGATCTAGCAATAAAAAAGAAAAAATAACACGATCACTGATTAAAGTATTTTATAATGACGGCATACTGGACTTTGCCGCGCTCTACGAGGGACAATCGATAAAACGATTATACGAAGGAAATTATACGAAGGAAAAAGAATTTGGAAAGAAATCGTACGAAAAAAGTAACATTATGTATTAGCGCTTTATGGTGGATTACGTTCTGTAGACGAGCGATCAATGGTCAACGACCATTCAATAAGCAATTAATTAAATACTGCTAAATTGTTCCGGCGACGCGATATTGGCTCGTTTTGACGATCGCAGGAAGACACATTTGTTTAAATTTTCTATCAAGATTCGCGAGTTAATTTTCGAACAAGTTCTAAATTCAGATGTAATTCGGTAAATTGCAACTTAGTAATTAGAAGCCAGTCAGAGAAAAAAATAATGAACTTTGCAGTTTTGCTAAGCGCTACACGGGGAAAATATTCTAATAAAAATTATTACGCAAATTCTGTAATGTTGGACCATACCGCAATTATGATTGAAATTATGATATGTTTTGTAATCTTTGAGTGATATGTACAATGAAAAATTCGTTACTAGAGTATGGTGAAACATTACAAAATTCGTGTAATAATGTTTATTACAATATTTTCGCCGTGTATGTTGACGTTAACAGGAAAGCGAAGTAAATGATTTACGTGGCTGACTTAATGTTATTTTAGCATGCAACTATAGGAATGATTAAATCATATTATATTATCATACAGTTAGTTCTTACGATTGATGAAGAATGAAATCTTTTTTAGTGTTTGTCATCTAACATATTTCTGCAGTTAACTTAAAAATCTATATTTATAGTTAACAAGCACATATTCATTTTAAACACGTATTTAATTAAACATTCAATTTAATATTTTACTTAAAGAATTTTAATTTTCTTTCCTTTACTGTTTACTTTCAACTAATGCCGTGTTATAAAATTTTGACAGTACAGCAAATATATTATATTTACACATAATATCAACGCGTCAATATTATATAAACGAGAAAATATTGAGCATGTTTTCTTTTTAGACGCCGGTGATTCATATCGGTTTAGTTCGTCGGTTTGTTTATATAACGGGTGAAAAAATCGAGATGTTTTGTAATACCGGGTTTACAAGAAAATCACGTGCTGCGCTGATAATAGACGCTTTTGCGTATTAACTAATAAGAAATGCATTTACAGTGGTTCATAATCATGTGTATATATACCGCGTAAAACCTTAAGAGCGGACGTCGAGCGAGTATCGCGCAGTTTATGGTAATTACTTTGTTTTCACTTGCCGTATGTAAACGGAAAAGACCTCTGAATTCATGCGAGTATGAGTTCGTCATCGTTTCAGCTGATATTCTCGGGGATTTTCGATTCAGTAACACTTGTTAGTAATGTTAGTAATAGGTTAACGTGACACATACGTACATGCGTACCTTATTTATGTATGTGAGATATATTCAGAACTTTATTAAAAAATATTTATAAGTGATTAGTTAAAATTTAATTAAAGTTATTATTAATATAATTAATATTTTTTTATTACATTTTATTTTATTTAAATTAATTGTTAACATAATTGCTAATATTTAGAGTTAACAATATCGAAAATACAAACATTTATGATGCAACACTAATATCTTGAAATAATGTGAAATTGCGTAATCTTATTATTACTTACATTATAAAATTATAAATTCCTATATTCGCCTCTTGCTTCATTATATTACATATATCATATTGATATATGATAGTTTCATATTCTCATACATTTTTTTAAGTGTGTTGCACCACAAAAATATGATTGACCGAGAAAACGGTACAGTATAAATTATTTCATATGCAAAAAATCAATTTACAACGATAGTAAGTTACGTTGCAAAAAGAACTGCGATACACGCATGCTGGCCGTAAAATATATAAAATAGATCTCTACTTGAAATCTCTATATACAGGTATCGGATCTCGCAATAACATGCGTTTTCGCGAAGTCATCAACGGGTATATAATCACTCGATCTAGCTTGCGAAACTTTATCGACACGGCGGAACGAGTCAAAGTGCCGTGTCTATGAATTCTTACAAGACCTCCACCTCGAAAGTAATCCTTATCAACTTCGAAACCTTCGATCGTCGTAAATGAATTGCTTCGTCTGGCGTCAATTACGTAATCAAGACGTCCACGACGTTAATCGCGTGAACTATCAACTTCTTATCCACGTAACACATGTTGCTTTCAATCGCAGATGTTTTCTTTTCAATAAGCTTGATACGAAGAAAGTTCAATTCGATTTGTTTTAAATACGATCTTTTTTATGATGTTGTCGAGATATTCGTTAAAAAGCGTTATAATTTGAATATTAAATGCAATATTAAAAAACATTAAATAGTAATAATAATAATAAATAATATATTAAATATTAAGTAGCAAATATTAATAGTGAAATAAAATTAACACACATAAAGATCAAACTTTACAGAGTTTTGAAATGCGAGACAAAATAGTTTTTGGGATATAGCGACAGTTTTCGTTGGCAAAGCTAGCTGGATGTAGGTGAGTAGCTATCTTAACGTGAAATATTGAGTGGCGAATTTTAACACTCATAGAATAACGTACGATGTAATGTATGTGTAATCGGAAGTTTAATTGGTTTCTAACGAGATGAGTTAGAATTATTTACTAAAAGCAATTATACACCGTTGCTTAGGACTGCGAACATCCGAATAATTCAATATTCGTATTGGCGTCAACTTGTTAATTTCAGCTTAATGCTATGGTGTACTTAGTATATTAAAAAACCGAACGACATCAGCTGTAGAAGTCAATATCAGCTGATCTGCAAAGATCAATAACAGATGACTGATCAGTACACAGATCGGCGTGCACGTCTAATTATGAGATTGAGTGCGTGTGAAATTTATGCGACATTATTGACAAATTTTAATCGTTGGCAATTCAAACATTAATGTGATCTCAATATTTTCGTATTAAATTTTTTTGGACTCTGAGCTTCAGAATACGCACTGAATTATTGTTCATAGTAGTAGGACATACTATATTAATACAAAGCAATACTTTTGACATATTGGGAGTACAAATTAGTTCGGTCCGTTTTCAAAAGACGGCTCTAGCTGTTATGAATGTTTCATAGTGACAGCTGATTTCGGTGGTTTCAAAGAGGTTAGACATCTGTCAATAATAGTTAAGTTTATATCGCTTTGAGTTTCATACAAAATCCCTGTTTTTTACTGTGTTGAATATGTCAAATTTTGTGTTAACTAAGCAGCATTTGCGGGAGGTTTTAGTTTTCTGCTTTAATTGAAAGAAAAGTGCAGCTGAAGCACATCGAATGCTTGTAGAAGTTTGTGACAATGCTCCAACTGATAAATCATGTAGGGAGTGGTTTCGACGTTTCAAGAATGGTGATTTCAGCGTTGAAGACAAGCCTCGCTCTGGACAGCCAAAAAAATTCGAAGGCAAAGAATTGGAGGCATTACTCGATGAAGATCCGAGTGATTCCATTACGGGCCATCGGTATAGGCTACAATTGATTCGTTTGAGCCGTGCATTACGAGAAAAACGGCCGGAATACGAGCAGAGACATGACAAAATTATTCTTCTGCATGATAACGCTCGGCCTCATGTCGTAAAAGTCGTAAAAAATTATTTGGAAACGCTCAAGTTGGATATTTTACCGCACCCGCCGTATTCGCCGGACATTGCCCCTTCTGATTATTGGTCGTTCCAACGGATGCAGCACGATTTGGCAGATCACCGGTTCACTTCTTTCGCAGAAATCGAAAATTGGCTCCTAACTTGGATCGCCTCAAAAGATGAGACATTTTTTCGAGATGGAATTCGAAAATTGCCCGAGAGGTGGGAAAAAGTAGTAGCCAGCGATGGATAATACTTTGATTAATCTGTTAATTAATTTTGTTCTGAAATAAATGCATTTTTGACCACAAAAAACGGACCAAACTAATTTGTACTCCCGATAACAAAGTGATACCGTGACTTGGTCACGGGACTGTTTCAATCTTGTGTTATTCAGTATCCTACAAAATTTGCCTTTTTGTATTGAAATGTGTTGAGCTTGTCAAACTTCGGTGTCGTCGTGGTTGCGAATAAGACATTTTCACAGGATAGACAGAATTGACACAAATCGCATATCACGATGTCCATTAATTTAATGACTATTGTAATCATAACTCACACGAAGTCGACCTTGCGGTATAATTAATACATATAGTTTTAATACTGAACGCTAGAAAAACACGTAACGAGTGTATCTCATTGCTCATTTCTACTTGCATACTTTCGGCAATTCAAAAAAGCAGAATTTCAGTCATTCTAAATTTTCGAAGACAATATCTTATTATTTCTTCACTTATATAAATGAATTACATAATTAATAAGTTGCAACGATTCCGGAAGCCGATTCCGCCAAAAAGCGAATTCCTTGAAACCCGTTTACTGCGAGTACGAGCGATATAATTGCATGACGGCGGTTTAATCAGACCATGGCGATCTATGGTCGGCTTCATCTTAACCAATCAACTTTATAAGGTTTGAGAGTTTGTTAGGATTGTGAAGCTATAATTGAGTAGAATTTCTATATGTGTCAGTTACCGCTCATCTTATATATCCTACTGTCTTCGCCCATATGTCTAAAATATGAACAACGAGCAACTTTTTGGATTTTCACTTATATTTTATATCCGCAACGCGTGCATCGTCGAATAATAATAACATTAATTGTTAATTAATATTAGACACAATCATTGGACATGATGATTACATTGCTTTTATTGCATTTTTCGAGAACATTCATTTAATATAAATTCATGTATATAAAAACGCGTACATTGTGAAATACTTCAGAATATCGATCCGCAGTAATTGCAATACCGTGGCGTCAGAAACAGCTGATGCGTTGTTTGTCGATATGTATATAACCTGGACTTCGGCACATGACAAGCATTATATTTTCATAGCATTTTATCGCAAACGAATTTGGAATATGATTACTATCATACTATAAGTTTTATTATATTGAAGAAACAAAACTGAAAGAATATAACTTTCTTTTGTTATGCGTTATATTAAAGAATTACATGCCCGCAAGTAAACAAATAAATTAATTAATAAAATAAAAGTGTATAAATATACTTATTTTGATATAACACAACTTACAGTAATAATAAATAAACAAATAAGAATAGTATATTCATGTCATGTATAATAATAGTACAATGATATAAGTATACGTGAGTACGTAGTATAAGTGAAGTAAATCGGAACTATATAAGAAAAATATAATGCATGATACAATCAAAGCAGATGAGAACGGAACAAATAAAAATAGAACATGTCGGAGAAAGGACCATTAGAGTTCATTGGCACCAATTCTTGGCAACTCTTAGAGGAACGATTATACTACGAGAGTGGGTCAATTCTCGTGCTACAGCATTATTGATCCTTTGCGCGTGTTGAGAGCTTTGTACAAGAATCTGCCGAAGAAGATGATTTATCGCCTCCGTTCGCACTATATGTGATATTAAAAGATGATATTGTTAAATCCGCATCAATCGTGAGGAATTTTATTATTCAATTAAAGATAGATTCATCTGAAGCGAATAGATAAGAAGATTTGTTTGAAAACAATCGGCAAACTATCAGGAGTGAAAGCATCTTGATTGAAATGATATAACAAATAAAAACGATTTTCAGACCTCACGAAATGACGGAAAGATAAGAGAAACGGGAAAGATAAAAGAAACTCGTTCATTCAATTAGTTCTTCCTTTCAGTATAGTGTCATGGAGAAATACGCTTTATCAGATTATCGGTTTACGTGAGAATAAAGTTCGTGAGAGATACGCTTGCGCAAAAAGAACTTACGACAGTGAAAATGTGTTGCGGGGAGGGTAAGATAAAAAAATATCAAGTGATTTCCATACATACGACGAAGCACGTGCTGCTCGTACGTTACGTTGGACACTTGCGCTCGCAAGTCTCGAAATGCGCCGATAGAGGTTACGCGGTCAAAGAAGCGTCTGTTGGTCTGCCTTGTTGGCCTGCTTGAGTCATTCATCGCGATCATGAAAGAGATAGAAAATAATTTCGCACCTTGACTAATTTATCGTATGTAATTGACTTTATTTTAGTATGTTTACGATTACGTCAAATGTCGCGATTTTTAATTCACTTGTCCGGTTTGATTTTGCTTGGAACATGTACAATGCTATTGTGAGGTTCAACTCGAACGAACATATCCAGTATTTAGCCACAAACACAAATGTTTTTCGAATGTAATATATGTGATTTGAAAAAAGAAAAATACTAAATTCAACAACAAGCTCTGGAATTTTATCTTATTCTGTTGTAATATTAACTTTTCAAAGATGTGCTCATTGAGAAAGATAGGTATGCCTTATCGCTTATCTGGAAAGTTATTATTTACTTCTCGTTTACAAATCTTTATATTATACAAGATAAAACATCACATGGAATGAATAATTTTTCGATTTTTATCCGAATTACAAACGATATTGGTGCGAATGATGGAAACGAGTTATGCAAATTACGCGGACCCGACTAAAGATAATATCATTGCGGCAACGCGCATTTCTTTTTCTTCGTTTCGCGACATACAAATTTCTCGAGCATGATTTATTTTGATCGATCGTAAAGCATTCGGGCTACAGATTCTATTTTCCACGGAAAAGCAGTGTTTTCGTCCTTGTGAGGACGTCACTCTGATTATTTCTTCGGCGTATGTCACTCGATATCGGAGAGCGCAACCTTTGGCATCGCATTAGCAAGACAATTCGCTACAGTCGCAAAAATTTGCGGCCATTTACTATGTGTGCAAGCTTCTGCGACTTTATTCAAATTGCTAACACTTGCACAAATAGCGCCAGTGACATAACTCTCGGTTCAGCGTAACGTTCAAGAGATCGTAATTTACGAACAACAACTATTTGCAATTATGTCTGATGCTTATGAGACTTTACATTCAAACTTTTTGCACTGCTAAATCAATTTATAGACAATTGTTGTCTATAATTTTTGTGATAACAATTTCTGTGATCATTCCGAACGTGTAAGAGGCAGAACGAGCCAACTATCGATGAGTCATTAAAAAAAATATATGTGTTATGAACCATAGATATATGTTTAGAAATATTTATGTTAAAATTTGTTGCAGGATATGAAATTGGGTGTCTCTACCACTTGAGTTGAACAATTTTAAAGTTTTATCCAAGTTGAATACAAAATGCTTCACAATAGATATTGATATAGACACAAATATGCCATATAATGAAATTTTGATGCGTTCCGGTAATCCTCGAGAATCATGTCACTCATATTGATTATACGTCAGCCAGGATATATAAAATATTAATCGAATAGGAAAAAATAAAAAAATGGAAGAACTTAAGTCGCAGACTAAACAGTGCGTAATCTACGGTTTAAGTTTATATTGATTCATTTTTTGTTTTTCCACCATTGATTGATACGTTGAGTGCGTCGTGTTTTCGTTTATAACGGATTCATCAATATCGCGAGAGTTAAGACTCTTTCTGACGGCGCTGGAGGCTTATCGGTTGCTACTTAACAAAATTACAACTTCAATTATATAAGCGAACGAACCGTTTACGCGCTGAAACAAGGACAGGGAAAGCGATACGTTGGTCTTCGTCGTCGTAAGAGCCGTATCAATGTGATCGTGTCAGCGAGATATTCGCAAAAGTGAAACCTGCTTTCCCGATATCAATAATAATATTTCCCTCTGGTGTGTATAGGAACAAATAGGACTTGTCACACTTGTCCGCACATTGCAACACCACCGTTCACCACTACTCGCCAGCACACTGGGTAGAACTCCGAGAGGGATTGTATTTTTAATTCCGGCGAAGCATCGCCCCGCGCGATCCTGTCGACCACAGATGGGCCAGGAACACGTCCCGGTCGAGGTGAGCGCGCGGTCGATCCTGCCGACTTCAGTCAGTAATTCGTGTACTTACTCGTATCGCTGGTCGGGTTTGGAAACAGGCCGAGACTCCGTCCGACTGGAAGTCTAAGCCGCACTGAAACACGCGATAGGCGCGACCCGTCTCTCCGGCTCGACGTCTACGAAAATAGAGGCGGCGATTGGTGGTCGAATCTGCGACTCATGCTTCGTGCAGAATTTCTCTTTACCAAGAGACTGAAGATGCTGCTGCCATCTTCTGGTGGAAATAACCGTTCAGCTTTTCCGATTATTCATTCCACGATGGGATAGCCACAGTCGATCGGATCTCTCTCTTCTTTAGTTTCGTTCGCGCCTTCTCTCTTTAAAATCGCTCTTTAAAATATTAGCTTATGTTTCGAGAAAGGAAAGAGAGAAAAAACGAGCGGAATGTGGTAAATGAAAAACGTTTAATAAGCTTAGGTATTGAAGACCTCTTGAAAATCGATCGGGGAATGATGTGCAATTAAGAAAGATAGTTTGAGTAGATAGCGGTTGTCTGAAAAGTTAGGACACTGAAAATAGTGAAACAATCGGATGTTCCAATGCTGGAATTGGCACACAGAAAAAAATAGTCTTAAATCAACGATAGACATATAAGCAAGAATATTATAATATTCTTAGAAGATTTTTAATTTTGATTTGATATTGTTGAATGCAAATAATACTCGCATCAATATAAATTCAATCAAATCAAGACTAAAAATCTTCTAAAAAGATTATTATAATATTCTTGCTTATATATGAGAGTATATATCATTAATTTAAGACTAATTTTTTCCGTATACAAAATAGAAAGTTATCGATAATTGCGATAAAAAATTGGGATAATAATTAGAAGAGACTTAAGAAATGACATATATGTTAACCTCATTATCGAGGAACTTATCACTTCATTTTCTAGACCTTAATAACCAAGTTTCATGTTATATCGAGTATGACAAATGAAACATTTTAAGTTGGTTGTCATTTTAGAACAACCGAGTCAGAAAGTCTCAAGAAAATAAAAAAAGAAATGAGACAACGAGATAATAATTCTTTATGAAGCATTGAAGTGATGATCATTGAAGATTACAATTCAACGTAAATAGTGCGGCATTGTTTCTCAACATTTTATTCATTTGTATACATTTATAGGCCCTAATTAGGCGTGAGCTAGTCCATTCCCAACTTCAATTAACAATTCAATTTCAATAATAAACGGACCACGATCGGTAAGCCGCATCGTGATTGTCGTGACATACGTGTAGGATCGAGGCGTCCGACAGGATTATGACAGAGAGCGGTAACACGTGTGCGGCTTCAATGGATATGTGGTTAACCGCACTCTACGGTAAATCACATTGCTGTTTTCTTCGACAATTGCGAACGAAAGTCTACTTGGAACGTGCTATTGAGACATGTTTCAGTTGCTAAGTTGTATCTCGTCCGTTCAGATTTCTTCGTCGTCGTCGTTGTTGTTGCTGTTACATTATACTTGTTTCCGAATCGTATGTTTATAAAGTTAAATGCCAGTTAATCGATTATCGCAATCTACGTTAGCCACGTTGTGTCCTCGGCAGATACCTCGAGCCTACGCACATACAGTGTTAATAATATCTGTACACATAATTGTTTTGCCTACCTAAGCTAGCTAATGCAAATAGGCCGTGTAACGCGAATCTGGTGCGGATTATCGTCGATGATCCGACAACGCGCACTCTCATCCTCCATTTCGTAGCTAGGATGACCACCTCTCCAGAATTTTATCCTAAGTTTTCGGATTTTATCACTATTTTTTTCGGTTACGTAAATTACTTTTATATCTATAAACTAATACCAACTTATAATTATCGAAAATAATGAAAACAAAAAATGGAAACCGATAATAAGGTGTATAAAATCGGTATAAATTTACATTGACACAAAGATTAAAAATTTGTTTAGATTTAACTTTCAATTTTATTTCTTCTTGTCTGAACATTATTACTTATATTAAATAAAAAAATGTCAACAAGGTAAACTTTCTAAATTATATTTTTTACGTATTAATGTATTTTTTCCAACTTCCGAGTTACACACGAGGCAAAGGTTAACCTATTCGTAACCCGCAAACATGCAGACGTAGTCGCTCGATTAACGAGATTAGATCCCAAGAAACGAACGTTGTCGTATTGATTTCCTAATTCGCCATACACTGAATAGCGTCTCGGTCACGTAATATCGTTTTTTAAATTAGAAAAATATTTGTGTTCCTCTATAGGAAGTTATTCTCTTTTCCTCGAGTCAGTTCATCAATTTGTATGAGTAATAATCAATCAGAATTTCTTACATTTTAGCCGACAATAAACGCTACTTAGACGTCTTTTCATAATTTGAAAAATATTTTTTAAAAGTCGATTTCTTGTTTCCTCTCTATTTCTCTTATTTTTTAAATTAATATCGTTCATTTAAAACATTTCGTGCTATTTAACGCGTTGCACGGCCTCGATTTAAAATACACGTGTATATTATATACATTAGTCCATTATGGTTTCATTATATTTATAATTTGTATATATTTTTTATCTTGTATTTATTTATACATGTACGTGGAAGTCAAAAATTAATAAAGTTAAAAAAATATAATCTTCAAAATAGAAACTATAACCGTTCTTTCTCTTCAGCTACGGCGCTATTGTGTCACTTATGAGTTTCTTATTTCTTTCGAAAACGCATCGAACATTACTTTTTTTGTATATATGCTCTATCAGTGCATACTGTTGTTTATCGGCGCGGAGTCCTCGGTACGCTCGTTTCGCGAAAATCGCGCGTTTCTCGCGCCATTCTCGGGAGACGGCGAGGCGCTCGGAAAATTATCAATTGAGCGTCATTATCACTCATAAGTTTCCTAACGACTTTCCCGAAAATCGACCTATCACATTCAAGTAAATGCAAAATGACTGAAAACTGGTACAAGAAGAAGTGTTCTCGTTCCTATCCTGTGGTGAGTTTCCTGTCGTGGTTTCCTTTTTTCTCGCCTTAATCGCCCATTAGATATCTTATAAATAATTTCGCGAGTTATGAGCCTCTCGGAGTTCCTCCGGCGAATTTCGCGGTCGTAGATTCACGTAGATACCATAAAAGTTTAAGTTTAATACACAAAAAGTCACAAATGGTTAATTAGTATACGATTCGAATTTTATATCCTTAACTATCCCTTAAATATTCCGTACAGGTAGGTAACCCCCGGATTTCCCGCCTTCTTATTTATATTCGCAACACAATAAATCGCAATTGATGCACTTCTTTTCTTACGGGGAGGGTCGCTTAGTGTATCGAATCGATAATAATTCCTCGATATTCATTGTTAGTAACACTCTTGTCATTTAATTTTATGGAGAATACTTTAACATCTGTGCACAAACGTGCGGACACGGAACGGACAACCTTTATTCTTTCGAGGAAACAATTGACAACACAAATAGATTACAAAACTATAAGTTCATCCTCAACTTGCAAAGGTTTAACTTACAAATAAACAATTACTATTTACAAAAGTAATTAAAATATCAACCATGAGCAAGTTATATTTACACAAATAAATCAATTCGATCGAATACCGAGGAATATGTCATAAATACTTCGAGGTATATTTACGAGTAAAGACGATCGAAGAGAAAGTGAGAAGAGAGAGAAAGATATCGTAGTCGCACCTTAATTATGTACAATAATCAAGGATCACGTCTAGAATCTTATCACATTGAACTAAATGCAGGATCGAAATACACGTTATAGTAAAGTACTGTTTTGCTAATTGTAGCGTGATGTGAGAACGATTCGTCGTTACAAAATGTGTATACGCAACGTAAATGAGCATGACGATCGTGATAATACATCGTTTATTGTACTCGCGTTTCTGGTGAGCGTCCCTAAATAGATTTGTAACCGCTTCGCTCTTGTCGTTCATCAACGAATTGTGAGTTCCATTTTAAGAACGATGTGCGAATTGTATATATGTGTGTATGTTGTGTGTGTGTGTGTACATATGTGAGTGCGATACGCGTAAAATTACGTGTATTTCACATAGCTTAACTGTAAGATCACATAACTATGATTTTCCATCTTCGACTCTCGAAGATGTTGAATAAAATCCACGTAATGATATAGCTGTAAGTGCAATTGTTCATAAAATGTCTGTCAGTTCTTTTGAGGGTTTTCCCATCTAACTTTAACTTCTGCTGCTTAATTCATTGACGATAAAACAATTTCGATTTTTAACAGCAAGTTTTTTGAGACGTAATCATATTTCTAACATTTTGTAATTCACATGGCTGGCCGATTTCTTAAATGCATAGATAGACTATTTGGGATAAGTGATTCTTGACTGTTAATATCTAATCGCTTATCGATGCAACAGATACTTTAATTAATCAGCGACGCAATTGTGACTCGTAAAGAGTCTGGAAAATAACTTTAGTCGAGTGTCTCCGAGTGCACCGCGATGTTATTTCAAGTGAGTCGCGATTGTTCAAAATAACTAATGTGCGATATTGATTCTGTGGAATGTGGAAAGTCACGTTGAACACAGTAAAAATTATTCGCTGCAATGTAAAATTGATTTTGCAAACAGTAAACAGCTCACAAAGCTGGGCTCAACTTGTCATCTTTATTACGTGAGAAATATGAACTAAACGTAGAAAAAGTCCTAATCGCGAGGTCTGTCGCCACAACTTTATCTTGTGCGCGTCCTGTCTTAAATAAAATTCTAAACACTAATTTCTACAATCAGTTTTTCTCAAAAAAGAAATGTTAACATTTTCGCTCACTTCAAACATCATGTCCATAAATACGCAATTTTCCACTGACGATGCATGAACATACATGTGTGTAAATCCTTTCTCGTAATGGCATTAATAGATGTGACGCGCGTTTGTGTCGCCACAGCTTTGACAAAACAATCAATTACATAAAGTAATTCTGTCTCCGAACTTTTATATAAATTACTTTGTATTGTACTTTTAGCTGAACAACGCGCTTCGATGAAGATACCGATAATTGTGGACTTCGTTACCGCGCGGATAATTTGAATTAATTCAACGCGAGCTACATACGTGTATATTTTCTGATGCGATGTTGTAAAAAAAAGCGAATTTCGAAATATTTTGCAAAATATGATATTATATTTTACCGTGAGATAGAGATATCTTCGAGCGCTCCATGACGGAGCGGTGCGGATATCGATTCAACAGTATACCCGATAACATGCTCGTCAAACATTACTTTTAATTAAATATGGCTGGAAAGCTGGTCGTCCGTCGTAGCTGGCAGTACGGCTACTTTGTACGCAGGTAGAACTTGATTAGCGTCAGTAAGTCTGAAAGCGCGTTGCTGTTTCTTCGAGGTATCGTTCTAGAAATATATCGACGATGTATACATAATATCTTATCGTATATATCATAGAAAGTTTAGCAAATAGATGGCCGAATTAAGAAGACTTCTTTCGACATATCGCGAAATTGCGCTGTGTTCGCGAGGTCATAACTAATTAATCTTAAGGCGCGTCACTCGACTCCCGCGTAAAAACTTTCGAAAGAATCTCTCAAGGGGATAAAACTATTTGTTGCGTTTGCTGGAAGTTTCTCTAAATTTCTTTCTCTTTTTTGGGGAGGGAAAGGAAAGTCTGGATTTCCTTAACTTGCTGGTGAGGTACGCATTTTTCCTCCATATAATACGCAATTCGTCTTTACGTACACTGAAAAAAGGATTTGGTAACAATTACCAAACATTTAGTTAAATAGTTTCAACTAAATGATTTGGTTATAGTAACCAAATTATTTAGTAAAAACTAAATTTTAATTTAATTAAATATTTGCTAATTGTTATCAAATCTTTTTCTAGTGTATATACGTCATTCAGCCATTGCCGTTCGTCGTAGCTTCTTCAAATCCGCCGTCTCGATCGCGACTCGCACATTTACAACAAATAACGAAACTTCCTCTCAATTTTTCATTACAACATGTGTAATTTTATAGTTTCGTGCGACTTCGTCGGCAAAACATCATCGATATTTCGCTGGCGTCATCGTCGCCACAATAATCTAATCATCGAGCTGCATCATAATCGCTATAAACTTAAATGGTCCATCACCAATTTACTGTAATAAACTTGTAAATCGGACTCTTGAATAAAGACGCGTCGCTCAGAACAATTGTACCAGGGTGGTGATTCCGATCTCGCGAGAAAGAAACATCACTCGGAGATCCGTCGGGTTCGCCCGGGCAGATTTATCCTGAGATGCGACAACGATCACGAGCGCAATCACGGGAAACCAATTTCGCGTAGATCTTCAAAATCAGACTAATCGAGGAGTCCGTTATCCTACGATCCTTACGTATGCTCTGTAATTAACTCCACCGGCGAAACAAAAAGTTCCTCTTACATTTCGCTCGCGTATTCGACCTTCGACTCTTCGATGTGGAAGACCCTAAACCTAACTGGTGTGTGTGTGTGTGTGTGTGTGTGTGTGTGTGTGTGGTAAAAATATGCAAGTCCTTACACGCGCGCGCTTACATACGGGTGCAGTATTTCCTCGTCGTCAGGCTTACTCCTTTTCCTCGGTCTCCTGACTCTCTGCGCCTAACAGGGTCGACTTGTCTTCCTCGTGTTCCTCGACTTCCGGTTCCTCGATGTTCGGTCGCTGACGTCTCAACGCCTTGCGTTGCATGTACCACATCAGCAAGATAATAGCACTCGACAAAACGGCCATTCCCGTGCCCAGGACGTAGAGCAACACCGGCATTTGTATCGGGCCCTGTAATTCGACAAAGCGTTGACACGTCGCACGATAAAGTTTTTCATATCATAAACATTTTTACGAGATATCTTTTATATATAATCTCTATAATATTAAATATAACCATAATTAAACATCTTTAACAATTCAACTTTCAAACGATTTAACCATGTATCAATATATATTTCTGTCTTATCTCAAAATAGTTTTCTTTCTTCCTTGTTTCTATATGAAAAAGACGTTTCACTTCACAGCTAATTGAATTAATTAAACGGTGCGTGATTAATTCCTAATAGAACAATATCAATTTCTATGTTGATAATTTAAATAAAATTTTTTTTATTATAGTATGCGGGCTCTGTGCGGGAGTTCTTGTGAAATTTTACAGCGTGTCCTCCTTCGTGGGGGGCTAATCTAATATGAAGCGAGCTATTCGTTTAACGACGATAACTCGAATGGTAATATTGGGGGACGGAGAGATTTTGTTTATATTACGTGACGATGCAGGCGAAAACAATTGTACGGACCTACACGTCATCGAAAAAACAAACGGCTCGCTTCGACGTTCATCAATCGTCCACTCGGAAAGTTTTTATCGTGCTTCCCCACGTCCATTCCGTGTTATCGTTTATATAGTTTAAATAAAATTTTTTTTTTTATAAACAGATGTTCTTTCTGCCGGAACAGCAGTCAAGGAAGAACGGAAAAATGTCTATTTAAAGATGTAAACTGGGTCAGCTAAGTCGTATCATACTTTACTTCGCTCGAACTGGGTCGCATGTTTTAGGCGTCCTTCAGATCCCGCCGACTTGGAGAAATCGCCGTTACCCTCGGACGGAATTTCCCGGATTACCTCCTGTCTCCGTGCGATCTTTCTCGCGAATATCGTCGTGTGTAAATAAGCACACGTCGTGCGATTGATTGCGCGTCGACCGCTTTAATTTCCAGTCGTTAGGTCAAACGTCGGCGTACGACTTCGCGTGACCACCACAATACGTTTCCTTCGGGCTCTTGTTGGTCATCGGCACAATAACCTGCTTGAAATTCTGATTTGAGCATCGGGTAATGCACGGAATTCACGATAGTGTACCGTTTAATACCATCGGGTCTCCGTATGAACGTCTATTTGCATTCGTCCTTCGTGGAATTCGTCTTAATATTTCGATTATGACGTGTGGGCATGTAATGATCTATTATATATTATTCGAATCTTGAATAAAATATACTTTTCGGTACGAAATTGGACTCTAGCTATTATGATCCCCGAAACGTAATGCGAATTAAAAGTAAATTTGCATGAGCGATTCGATAAACAAAAGGCACGGGTGAATGCTATTTCACGGAAAATTCTCGAGAAATAGATTTCTATCGAGCTGTTCGATGCAACGAGCGACGGGTGCTATTGAACGACTGATATTCATACAAATATTAGAGTACCTTGGTAGAAAAGTATACAATTTTCCTAGATACCCACCTAGTTACTGTCTAATATTAATGCATTTTCATTAATTAATGTAACAAGAAATGGACCAGAACTTGATGAAGTTTTATTCAGGAATACTTCTAAAGCAAAACTGTCTATTTTATGAGCAGCAAATTTGCTTATTAATCAATTGAATCATTTTTTTGTTCATTCAACGTTTTATTTTCGTTCAGTAAAATAGTTCCAAATTTGCGCATCTTTTGTGCACAGTAACTGCAGGAAAATCATTATCTTGATTGAGATTCCAAGTAGTTTTACTCAATTATCAGACAGGAGTTAATAAATTCCTGTCCAATAACTGCTCTAAAAATGCATGAAATTTCTACCAGGGTATTATTAGTAGTGCTGCGAATTTCGACTATCCGGATATCCAAGTCTTTCAGTAACTGCGTATACGGCTAATTTCAGACATCATTATTATCTGTTATCGTTAGAAAAATCAATAATTTGTAACATCTGAAATTAGTTGTTATATTCAGTTACTGAAAAACTCAGGTATCCGGCCAATCGAAATTGACAGTACTAACTATTAGTATTATTAGAGTAATTTTGATATTAATTGAATGTATAACAAAGACGAATTCTACTCATCACGTTATTCGAATGCTTTCCCATCTCGTCTCACAAAATCGAGCAACCCGATGAATATTCATCGTTTTTCAACACTCATCAAATCACAGATTCTCTTCGAAAACGCCTTTGTGATTTTCATTTAATGACGTCCGTGTATGATCTCGTGATAATCCGCGCTGTTCCTTATCCGCGGAGAAATGAATATTCATCGGAAAATGTTGTTGCTACTCTTTGTCCTTCTCCTTGACCCCGGCTGCTGCTTAATATGCAAAACGCAGACCGGCAGACGCCGTTCCGGATCCGATGTATTTACGTGTAACGACCGCAGCGTTATAATACCACGCGCGCGTTAAACGAGAGAGCACAGGTAAATATATGAATTAGCAGGTACTCAAGATCTTATTAATCCTCCGATGCACCGGGCACCGGGGCACGGTATTTTCAATTCTACGATGAATTAAACATCCCACCCGCCGAGAGGCATTCTGACGGGGAGGGGGGGGGGAGGAGTTGGGCTGGTGTATGTTGTAGAGTACATTACTTCGTTGTGCACAATTTATGAAAATTGGATAAAGTGAGACGACTGTTTGCGGCGAGCGGTTGTTAGCCCGATGAATCCGCTTGAATTTATAACGGCGCTAAAAAGCCCCTGGAACGGATATGAACGGAAAGTGCGCGAACGGGCGGTGAAAATGTTTAGCGAAAATAGGTTTAGGCATCGCGAGATGTTCTAGAAATTATATTAGGTTGGTGCAAATGAAATGTCCGTTTTCAGTGTTTTGAATTTCCCACCCCTATAGATTACTTTTCTTTCATACAGAGGACGGTGTATATATATTGTGTGAAAAGTACACGATCCACATGTGATTTAGCGCACATAATTTTATTTCTATATTGTACCGTTAGTCATAGAAGTTTGCATTAACGCTGTGATGGAAAATAGAGAAATTCGTATAATTTACTTATACGAGTTCAAACTTGGTCATACTGCAGCCGAGGCAACGCGTAACATTCATACTGCATTTGGTGAAGGTACTGTAAGTGAGAGAACGACGAGACGTTGATTTGAAAAATTTCGTTCTGGGGACACAAACCTCGACAATTTGTCTCGCGGACACGCATCTTCCGTCATTGATGACGTTGTTTTGAAGGAGATGATTGAAACAGATCCAGGGTTAACAGTCTGAAAGACTGTCAAAAGATTCGAAGTTGATCATTCAACTGCCGTCCGATATTTAAACAATTTGGGAAAAGTGAAACAGTTGGATAAATGGGTCCCCCATGAAATCATAGAGAGAGACACATTGAGACGTTAGGAGATCTGCATTTCTTTGCGGTTGCGACAGAATACAGATGGAATTTTACACAGGATTGTGACTTGTGATGAAAAATGAATTTTGTACGACAACCACTGACGTTCTGCGCAGTGGTTAGATGCGAACGATGCTCCAAAATACATTCCAAAATTGAATCTTCACTCTAAGAAAATGATGGTATCTGTATGGTGGTCTAGCAAAGGTATCGTTCATTGTGCATTTGTCAAACAAAGTGAGGTTAAAAATTCTGATAAGTACTGTCAGGAAATTGCCACTATGCACCAAAAACTGTGCGCTCCACAGCCAGCATTGGTCAACAGATACGGCATGTTGCTGTTGCACGATAACGCTAAACCACACATTGCAAACCAAATCGGTTAAAAACTCGCCGAGTGAACATTGGAGTTCTCCTTCACCCTCCCTATTCTCTAAACCACATCTCACCAACAGATTATCATCTTTTCAAGCATCTGGATGCGTTTTTGGCGGGCAAAAATTTCAATGAAGAAAGAAGTGTGAAAAATGCATTTAAGGAGTTTATCAATTCACGCTCTCTAGATTTTTTTAGAAAGTGTATTGATGCATTTGGATCACGTTGGCAGAAGTGTATTGAAGTAGGTGGAAGCTATTTTGATTAGTTATGTAAGTTTTACATTTGAAAAATACAAGTTTCAACTTTATATTTATAAACGGCCATTTCATTTGCACCAATATTTCGCAGTCGATAAATCTTCAGCCAACGCAGGAACAACGTGGCACTTTGTTCGCGTCAGAGAAATTTTATCTCCGCTCGCGCGGAGAATACGTTCTTTCGGGCGAACTTCTAATTTTTAACGCGGCCCTCTCTCTTGCAATAAACTCGATTCGGTAAATAAATCTCGAGAAGGCGATCCGAACTTTTTCGCAGGCGCGAAAAAATTTCGAAGCACGCTCACCGTGGAATTTACGATTGTTCCGTTTTTCCGTCTTTTTTCTTAATGACGTACGTGCAGTTTCCACAAAAGCTCCAGATGCAGTGCAAGCATTCTTGGTGGCAACGGGTAAGCATTATCGGCTTAAGAGAGAGAACACGCGGCTTTTATATCGATTGGCTGGCTAGCTCGGTGTTTTAAAAAGGTCCTCTCTTTCTCGTCGATTCATTTGCGTGGAAAATCTTCTTTTCGCTGTGCGAGACGAATACGACGAGAAAACGATATGCAGGTTTTTCTCTTATTATATCTCACACACACATATAATATATACGATAAGGCACGCACAGATGTCGTGAGATATTTCGCAGAAATTGTTACACGTAACGTCATGCCCTGCAATTCTTGGGGAAGGAAATAAAAATACGTGTCCGCCGTCCCAGTGGAGAACGTGCGGGAAAAATAAAAGCTCCCAGCGATTCCTCGTCTGCTTTTAGATTCACGAACATGTTCTGCCTATCGATCGGACAGAGTGCTTCAGTTTAGATGTCTTTGGTGCAACGCGATCAATATTTATGCAGGACGCAAAATTTCGATTCTGAGGGTCAGGCGGCCGGCACATTCGGAACATGTGAGAGGAATGTGTGCGAAAGCGATGTGATATATATTCTGCGGATCAACTCTCGCGGATATAGAATTACCCGGTAATGTCCTATAAAATGCTACAACGGCGGGATGAGTTTCTCGGAGCGCCTGATAAATCTGACATCATCACGTCGAAATGAAAGAAACGTCGAAACTGTATTTCTCCAGCGGGAAATAAGCTAGAAAATTACGTTTTTCGGCGCTCGGCTAAAGAATAACGGACTTCCGAGATATTTTTATTCGGAACAAAAGGTGAACAGGGATTAAAGGAATGAAGAACGTCGAGTCAGCACAACAGCCATAGGATCTTATCGGAACGGAACGAAAGCAACCGACGATGAGTGCGACGTTAGGGAAAGAGCGTTGTCCAAGCAGGGAGACTTATCCGCGAAAGGCGATACCCCGAAACGCAATTCCGTTGGAGTGAATCAAGAGGCGCGCGTGAGAAACACCTGGAACTCTGGTGAATATTCGCGCGAGCGATTCGCCGCGCGGCCGATCGATTTGCTCCGTCGAAATGCAGGATGCTTCCGGCCTGCAAATGCCTCTACAACCACCCCCGGCGAACATAATTCCACGAGAACATAGAACGTTTGATCGGAAAATAGGAGCACTCACCTTCCACTGGAAGTCGGCCGAGGGATCGCTGAAGAACCACTTCTGGGGCCAGGGCTTTATCGTGCCCTCCGGCGTTTTGAATATCAGGCCCTCGAGGCTCAAGCCGTGTGCGAGAACGCTGGTGGTGATGTTGCCTTTCTTGTACGACGCTATGCCCGCCTTCATGTACATCTGCGGTATGGTCTCGTTCTCTCGCAGCTTCAGGGTCACTCGCGGCATCTTCGGCTTCCTGGGAGTGCTCGAGGCCGTAGTGCTCTCCGTCATGCCGCCCGAGGACACCCTCGAGATCATCGGGAATGCCGAGGAAGAGGCGCTCGTCGTCGTCGCAGACGGCGACGGCGAAGCGGAGGTCGTTGCCGATTGGCGAACACTCGTCGACGTTTCCGACGTGCTCGGGGAACGTTGCGTATTGGTTTCCGGTATGTCTGAAGACACAACGACGAATTCTACGAAAAGTGTTCAACGAAGATCGGACTACGAAAGTGTATGTTGGAAAAAAGATTTGGTAACAATTATCAAGATTTAGTTAAATCATTTCAACTAAATTGTTCGATTACTGCGATCAAATTATTTAATATATGTACTGTACTGTAGTACCGTGTGAGTATATTATATATAATGTATAGTACTAAATAATTTGGTTACAGTAACCGAACAATTTACTTGAGACTGTTTAACCAATCTTGGTAGTTGTTAGCAAATTCTAGTTTTCGGTGTAAAAGAAAAGATTGTACGGACGAGAGATTGTTCGAGGAGGTTTCGGAAAAAATAATTATCTTTTAAAGAAAATGGATAAAGAATGTGCACTTGACGTCTACTCTATTATGTCTACATGCGATACTATGTCTCTTGATCGATACTTAGGAGATTTCGGTTAATTGTTCCAAAAACAACGCTGTGAGTGATAGTCGGTAACAAATATCAGACATTAATATCGTGGAATCTAATTTCTAAACATAAAATTGCATTATTTCGTATTAGATCACAATTGAAAACCGATTCTATGCAAACACTTATATCTTGAAGTTGAATTTAGTGGAAGTTTATTTACAAAGAAAGTCCTTGAACTGATGCATATATGTATACCTCTGCAAATAAATTCGAAGTTTACTGATATCTATTATTGTTGTCGCAATCATAACATGGAGCGAAAAATGCTGAAGAGTTCACTGCTATTCTTTCAATTTATGTAAAACTAGAATTTATTTTAAGCCCTGAGCCCATTTGCATGTTCCATCTCGCGTCTAAACGAGAGGAAATTAAATCTCGCGCTCGATCGCGTAATACTCTAGCCTCGATTTCAGCGAACCAATTGGAAAAAATTTCCGAACAAGTGGAATATTATTTTAGTCGATAATACAATTACACAGCATCGAAAATGGACTATTCTTCGATATTTTAGCGATAAGACGATGATAACCGAGAGCTTCGTGCGAACTTCCATCGACCGACGTGTCCGACTTCGCGTTCGATTCCATTTCGCCGGGTGAAATATTTCGATTTTACTAATTATACTCGTAGCTTTGCTCGTCGGCCAAATTCGAACGAAATGATATACCTGCTAACGTGGCGTCGTCGACCACCGCTTCCTCTTCTTCCCCCCGGAGAATCCCACCGAAAGAGGTCGTAGTGTCCTCGAGGTCTTTCCTCTTGGTGACCTCGGTGATCAACACCGTAGTCGTAGTCGGGGTTCTGCCTCTATCCTTGTTATTCGCCACGGTTTCCTTCGATTGGACGTTTTTCGACGTGTTCCTGACCGGCTCGACCCGACTCATCGCCAGCGTCGTGCCGGCAAAAAGGTTGTGATCGTTCTGATGCATCAGAAACGGCGTGGCCACGCAGGACATCGTGATCAGCACCATCAGGGCGCCTATCGCGTACTTGATAATCCGCAGCTGAGTCTTACCGGAGGTCTGCGGGAATCCACCCGACGGGAACTGATCCGTCTGCGGCAGTATCGTGTACTGCAGACTGGCGTCGCCTTTCCGCACCGTTTTGTACATAATTATTCAACCTGTCGGGATAGATCTTGTTAGAGACGCTCGGAGGAGATGCTGCGACCGTGCCGGAAATATATGATTCTGTCACCAGCCGGAGCGTCTCCTCGTATTTATTTTCGCGAACTCGACTATTCAGCGTAGGATTCCGCGCCCGCACGACTACCACTACCGTCGCCGTCGTGGTTGAAACGTCCGGTTTTATTTTAATTGAAGAATAACAGCGGGTAACAATGAGACGGCGATTTATAGCGTTTTAATTGAATTTACATACCGGTATCGAGAGGCGGGAATTTTAATCAAACGTAAATTTATACAGCGTACTATTATTGTAAATAAAAAAGGACACATTCTACGCTCGATATCGCATTCTTGTCCGGCATTTCGTTTGAGAACAAGCAGCCGTACGTCAAACGTATTGAAATTTCAAATAAATAATACCGAGTGCCAATTGATCCCGCAGTGATTCCGTTCAGTGGCGGTCTCTTGCATAATAAATTGCAATTTCGCGCGCGGTAACTGTAACAAAGTTATCGCGCTTCTATTTTTCGTATAACGAGCAGCGTGTGTGTGTGTGTGTGTGTGTGTATTCGATATTATCTGCTTATTTCGCGATTATCTGCACTCGGCGGTCTATTTCGGCGGGGCAATATTTCTGGCGTTAATTGTCTTCTTTAAAGGATCGGTCAGGAAACACGCGGACGTAACGCGAAGATAGAGATTTCGCCGGGACAGATACAGAAGTACGTGACGCGAGGTGATTCGTCTCTCGCCAAATCGCCGCGGTGCAGCCTAGCATCGCGTTTCGTACATAATTACTCAAGCTGTCAGAAAGAATCTCGTTAGACTGGAGCGAAGGGTAGGCGATGAAGTGGTCGACTACGTTCGCACGAACGAACGAACGGTCGGCCGCCAAAGTTGGCGATATTCAAATAACTATTTTTCTCCCCGTTTTCTTCCTCGCCTCTTTTCGCCGTTTTTCGCGAGAAAGCTGTTTGCGAGATAAGAATATTTAATTAGCTTTCGCTGGGCCAGAACTTTCTGAAAACAGTGAAGAGTTAATAAATATATTAAAAACTTTAATTAAGGTAAGTTACAGGGCGACATTTTTCTGTGCAAACATTTTCTCGCAAAGGGACAAGTAGCTGCATTAAATATGTATGTCACGAAGAAAGAAAAGGTATCATGGAGAAATTATAGGACATTCGCAGCAGCACATCTTCGCATTCCTCGTTGAACGTAGCTTTGGAAGAATTTTGCGCGACGAATTGCAAAAATTGCGTAGAGAGTCATTGAGAGTTTCCGGTACGACAAAAAAAAAATCTAAAATTAAATGTCAGAAATCAAATTGGCTTTCTTTGCTCGCGCGGGCAGTTTTTAAATTTTGCTTATTAAATACTCGTTGCACTCATTGCACGTGTCAAAAGGTTTCGCGGGTTTTGACTTTGCGACAAACTCGACGTGTCGTTTATAAGCTTCAATCGCGCAACAACGTTTAATTAAGACATAAATAAAGTGGTGGCGGAAGCGGAGAGTATCGGAATTGTTCCCTGCAAAAAGCGCCGGGGTGACATTTAAAAGCCGCGTTGTTCGACGCGTGTCAACAAGTTCGGAGACGGGGGAGGGTAAAACTGAAATATCCACGATTAATATACTTGACTCGACCTAACGATCGCGCGACATGCATAGTCAAGAATAAATCGACGATCAAACGTGAGTCTTGGCGCAGTTAAACAAACGCAAAGACGAAATAATTTTCGTCGCGAAATCCTCGATTGCTCAATACCAAAAGCAAAAAGAGACGATTCGCGAAACGACCAAGAGACACGTAGACATAAATTTATAAGTAAATATGCTCACTGTTCTCGCAATTTTCTCATAGCACTTCACACACACACACACACACGCACGCGCGCGCGCGCACTGAAAATCTGCCTACAATCAAATTGTCTGGCGAAAATAAACGCATCGTCAATCGACGTCGACGACGCTATCGACATTACGATAAAATATACGTTTGGCGAATGAACGTGACGCGCCGGAAATTAGAGGCAAAGCGGTCAATTACCTCTACTTAATCGGTGTCACGACACCGACAGCTCGTTCGAAAAATTATCGAGGAAATTATCAGAGAAAAAATTATCGACGAGAAGAAAATCGAATGTCCCGAGGATTTTTAACGAGCGAATCAGCGGATTTTCGCCAGCAACGCTGCGTGCCGAGTCGTGAAGCGCGAACAACCCCGATAGAACGTCAATAGTCCTTTCGCGAAAACAGATAAATTATTCTCGACGTGTTCGTCTTTTTAGTCGCATAGCGGGCTGCTTCTCATGCGATCGACGAAAGGAGAAACAGCCTGTGAGGACGCGAACACGAATCGGCGTACTCACGATATGTGAACGATAGTCGAGGATTTCCCCGTCGCTTTTCCCTGCCGGTCTGGTGTGTCGGCGCGTACACGACGATCCGGAACAGGCGAGAACCTCGCCTGTAAGGGAAACTCAGCTGGAAAATGCGCAGATGCGGCCCGACGTTGGCGACGACGACGACGGGCCGTGCGCGTCGGCGCATGCACCGTTCCCGGCTTCCGGAAGTCGAATTCGAATATTGCGGAGATATAGACGGACGGACGGATGTTCAGATTCAAGATGCGAAGGGTTCAAGGACGAATCGAAAGGTGTCGACCGTGAACTTCTTCGGACACTTGTATGCCCTTCGGATTTTAGGTCTGGCACTTCCGTCTAGGTACCGCTTATGTTCCAAATCGCAAATCACGCGGTTGTTCCCAAACGAGAAGAGAAAAAGGGAGGAAAAGGCCACTCGCGCGCTTACCGTTCGCATATTGTGTAACTCTCTCCTATAATGTTCGGTTTCCTATTGAAAGAGTCGCTAACGAGTTCTTGGTTGAAAGTTAATTGGAAACTTGATCGTTACTTGTTGTTTCGTAACGCGTTTATTGACAGTTCATCGACAAGATGTTTTGTTTTTATTTCATTACATCGTGTGTAACGTAATGCTTTCGATAACTATGTCATGTAATACTATTTCTTTTGTCGGTAGCCAGCACGTAAAAGAACGTTGATTTTATTTTCGAGATAGAGTTTCGATAAAGAAAATAGCAGCTTTTCTTAGGATAGGTTGTTTCATTTGTTATATTGATAAGTAGCAACTTGAGTTACGCTTTAAATTTTGTGCTGTGCTATGATTCTCTCCGAAAGGCACGAGCAAAGATTCGTTACCAAACAGTGTTTCCGAATAAACGATCGATACTTCTGACAAGCAATATACTTTATTATGCAATAAAAAATATAATTACCTTATCTAGAGCATAACAATATTCTCTGTAATCTGCAGTCTGTAGGAACAAATTTGTACGTGACAATGGAAGACATTGTTGTTTTAATAACTGCATGACGAACAACGAATTTCGACTTGTATAATCCCTTGTATAATTCCGAGACAATTTGGAAACGTATAACATATTTTCGCGTATAGCAAAAATATATATAATTACAGCCTTGTATAATTAATAATATATATAATTACAGCCTTATTGCATGGTAGGCATCGCCGTCGACGACGCGATATCAGTAGCGTCATCGGATCTCCACAGTTGAGTTATTGTCTTCGTTTGTGTGTGGAAGTTCACTCCCTGAAATGACATTGAATAAAGCTTGAAGATCTTTGTTAAATATTTACAAGAGGACCGATGCAAGAGCACCGATTCGCCCGGATGAAATTACGCGACATTTTATGTACTTACGTGTTTTCCGTAAAAATGACTATCGCCGAGGAAGGAACCTTTGTTGCCGGTGAAACTGAACATCGGCAGAGGAACCGGGATGGGAACGTTAATGCCAACTTGGCCCACTTCGATCCTGTTCACGAATGCCCTAGCTGTCGCGCCATTTGTCGTGAAAACCGCCGTGCCATTACCGTAAGGGTTTTTATTAATGATGTTGATGGCCTCCTCGGTCGTGTCAACAAATATGCACGACAAGACAGGCCCAAATATTTCTTCCGTGTAACACTTCATCGTGGGCTGTAACATGTAAAATAATCTGTAATACGAGTTCTTTTTGTACGGAGACTCTTTTGGTAATTTGGTGAAGTCTATGGTCTACGAATCTTTTCCACGAATTTTCTTTTCTAAGAATTATATTTTAAAATACACAAAATAAGATATAAAAGATTAAAAAAGGGAAACATCACATTGGAATACAATTATTAAAATATCCAAGTAACGAAATTTACTAAATTTGTTTTGTCAGTGCTAGATTTCAGTTAAAAGATTTCCTGAAACCTATAGGGTCTATAAATCTTACGTTAAGATTTCCTAAAATAAAAAAGGAGATGTGATTGAGATTGCATATCGATTTAGAGAAAATAAAGACTATAATTATGCAAAAATAACACAATTATTAATTATTTATAATAGAACGCAATCTTGTTTGAGACAAGATTTTTTCCATATAAAGATTCGCCAAAATATAAAAACCTGAATCGGTCACAGACATATTCGGCTTTACCTTAACATCGATTAACAACGATGGCCCGACAAAGTTTCCGTTTTCATAGCTGGGCACAACGATGCCTCTTCCGTCGAGGGGCAATTTCGCGCCATCTTTAACGCCGCTTTCGATCAGCTCGCAAATTCTCTGCTTTGCCTGCGGCGATATGACAGGTCCGAGATCAGTGCCAGGCACATGACCGGCGTTTACCTTCAACCTTTTTGCCGCCTGCACCAGTTCGGTTATCCATTCTTTCGACCTACCCACGAAGATCGCCACCGAGAGCGCCATGCATCGTTGTCCGGCGGCGCCGAAAGCCGCGCCGACGATTTGTGACAGCGTCTTATTCTTGTTCGCATCTGGTAGCACGATGCAATGGTTTTTAGCGCCCATGTTGCACTGCACCCTCTTGCCGTGCGCACTACTCTGCTTGTAGATATATTGACCCTGCAAATTTCATGAATCTCACAGTTTCATAATTATGTGAAAAACATTTGCACCGTCACACATTGGAAGTGAAATAAAAAAATATATAATAGATACAAAAAGTGAGCAAATACGAATGGATGATTTGTATTTTCTTCTCATTCAGAAAGAAGATCGATTTATACAATAAAGCACGTTACAGAAATTCGATTCTTGAGACTTCTGATCTCATTCTTCGGCTTACCGCTTACCGCTTGATCGGAACCGACGAACGAGACAGCCTTAATGTCGGGATGCTCACATATGAAGTTCACGGCTTCACGTTGGCCGTGTATAACGCTTAGAAGACCAGCTGGGGCGCCGGCTCTCGTGAAGAGATCAGCGAGGATCATAGACGCACCTGGTACACGTTCCGACGGCTTCAGGATAGCGGCGTTCCCGCATGCGACCGATATCGGAAACGACCAAAGTGGTATCATGGCGGGGAAATTGAAGGGACAAATGGATGCGGTAATACCGAGGGGCACTTTATAAGAGATGATATCCATATCCGTGGCAATGTTGGTCGAGGATTCGCCCATCTGCAGCATCGGGATCGACGCGCACGCATCGACAACCTCTGCGAATAAACAGTTTAATGTTATGGTATTGAATATTATTTACTATATCACATATTATAATAGCTAATATTTATTAAGTTTCATTTTATTAAAAAATACTACATATTGTAACCTTTCCTAAAATTATGACAAAATAGAATAAATTAGTTTCAGTGTTCTTCAATATTATATAAATGATTTATATATATTTTAAATCGCCGTACATTCTCCGAATTGTAAAGGTAACGATTTGTGATTGTATTATTTTAATTCACGCATACGCACATAGGTCTCTTTTTTAAAACTGATGTTAAGATAATTATATTTCTTTGCATTTTCCATCAACTTCGTCCAATCCACGAGAAATCGTCAAAACACTACACATACACATTTATCTAAATTGAATAATAAAAAGAAAAGATACATACGAAGACCTCGAAGCACATCTCCTTCCGCGTCAGCCATAGTTTTTCCATTTTCTCTCACAATGTTCTCTGCAATTTCTTTCTGAGGGCAAACAAGTATTTTTAATATGTGCGATTTAAATAAAATGTTCGTACAATGGTTTGCTAATAATTGCTAATAACGTCGTCCGCGTTTTATTGATTATTTTTACCGCTGTCAAATTATAAGACTTCTTTAATTCGAAACGATTCACGATTGTTATTTTTTCATTCTGACAATACAATATTCATCTACTTATTCTCCTTTATCGCTTATTTTATAGAATTTAAAATGTATACTAATATAAATTTTATAGAATATAAAATAAATACTGACCGAGTGTTCTCGGATAAGTGCTTGATACTTGAGCATCAAACTTTGCCTCGTAAGGATGCTGGTATTCCGCCACTTTTTGTATGTGTTTCGTGCACTCTGTACAGCACTCTCCATTTCGTCCTTCGTGCATTTTGGAGTTCGGCACAACAGCTGATTCGTTGCAGGATTATGGACATCCGTAAATTCCGTAGCTTTTGACTCTACAAAAATGATTTCGATATACAAATTGACATAATCAATAAATAAGATAATGTTATTAAAATAATTTAAAATTATTTTTATGGAGCGAAAGAGACAGAAGAAAAAAGAAATAGGGATTAGAAATTGCATAATTATAATTAACATAAAATGTCATCATTTAAATTAAAAAAAAATGTATAAGTGCCTAATTTGGAATTTGAGTGATTTTACTTTTAAAATTCGACATCGAAACAATTACCCACGAATTGTCCATCGATGTACATTTTGACCGTTGGAGCTGCATTGCTGTAGAATCGGGTGGTGAAACGTATCTGGAATTATTAATATTAATTTATATCATATCGCACGATAATTTCTAATGGTAATCTACATTGATGCGCATAATAATACAAATCATAAGAAAAATTAACATGAAATTAATATTCAATAATAACTTATCGATAATGCGATTTAAATTAATTTTCAAAAATTGAATAATGACCTGGTAAATATATAAATATAAGGTGGCTCACCGAAATCGAAACAAGGGTGTTTTATAGCATTTAATCTAATTTATTCGAAAAACGCGCGGACATGTCGACTTTAGTTGCAAGGAGGATATGTTAATTGGCTATTTTCGTTCGCCAAACTTCAATTCCATAAAAGTTCATTTCACCATAAAAATTTGTAACGGCCAGGGGTGTCTAGCAACATACTATTTGAAAGAGCGATAAATTCGCTTTACAATAATATTTTATTTTTTGAATTCCAATCGTTACTTCCCAAGCAAATATGCTCCAAAGAAACAGGATCGACAACAATGTAACCTAGAACCGCCTCTTCCACCACTTTATTTCTTACTGGGATTTGAGCGTTTCGCTTTTTATTGGCTACAGAACCGGTCTCCCGAAATTTTCTCACTAATTCCAAAACGTATTTCCGATTGACATGGTTATCTGGATATTGTCTGTTGAACAATACGCCAACAACTCGATTGTTCTATTAACACATTCATTGTTACGAAAGAAAATTTCAGTTAGTTTAAGTCTTTCTGCAATCCAAGAATAAACCATAATTAACTATGCAGAGACAACGAATACTACGGAATACGACGTGCTGCTTGTCGTTAAATACATAGTCGATAAAGTTTCGTTATTCAAAAATATCAGTATACTTTTAAATAGCAAGCAAATATTTGCACAATTGTTATTTTTGAATCAACAAGATAATTCATTGCGGCCCGCAATTGTTTACTGTGTTCGTTTTACGTTATATGAAGTTATAGCGCCATTATTATATAGATTAATGATAACTTCCCCTTTTACAAGTGTTATCGTTGAGGGTCAATCAGGTCAAACACGATTGCCATATGGAGAATTTGAGATAGTATTGGGCAAAATGAATTCGCGACTAATAATCGAGAATCTTGAATGTGATTTTTGCATAAATGTATGTATTAGAGTTTACGAGAAATCTGTTTTTCTATAAAAGTATATATTTATAAAATTTTTATCGATGTATTCTAAAATAATAAATATTCAATATAACGCAAAAGTTAAGGCAAATGTTAAAATATTCTGCATTTTTAAACTATTTATAGTCATCCATTATATTTAATTTTATTCGACGTCAATAATTTATTGCACATGCATTTTATATTTGCCTAAAATAACACTGAAACGAACAACGCGATTTCCGAAACATAAGAAAAAGTTGCAATTATCAAATACAAATGGTTATCGCAATTTTATCACAGTAATTACAAAAAAATCTAATTCCACTATATTCGCAAATGAAATACGTCAGTGATATATTTAGCAAAGCAAACCTGTTTTTCTGGGATATTGAATTACATATATATTAATTATTACGTATGGTCATATGTTTTAGATAAGACCATTATCCCATTCAGATAACATATGTAAAGGTGATTTCAATTGCACCATATGCGTACAAAAAGATTTTTAAAATAAAATATTTAATAAGATACATGTATGTGTATTTAATTATATTTGAAAACTATTACACAAAACATTTATCATTTTATATGCAAAAATTTAATATCTTTTTCATAAAAAAAATTTTATTTCAAAGTTATTTTAAAGTTTAGCTTTCATATATTATTATACATGATATATGTTAATATGAATATATAATTGTTGGTAACATATATATATTAGTAGAGAAACACGTGATAAAAATTGGTGATTTGTTTTAAAGCCGTAAACACAATTATTGACACAACGCAAAGCAAATAGTAGTAGACAATAACAAGTATAAGTTTACAATTCTTTCGAATTTCCAGGTTAACTATTCAAAATTACACAACACTTTCGCGATTATATAAACCGTCATTAAGGTTAAGTATATTCACGCGCACTGGAAAAATATCGGAGCAAGACACGTGTCAAAAGATCGCGAATAAATCTTGGCGCTATATGGGAGGAATTTTCGCAGTTCATCGGGTGTCCACTAGATGGTCCTATTTCCTGCGTTAATACATTTAAATGCAACCTGCAGCTGCAGCTATGGCGCAGCAATTTTCAAGGAGTGGACGAAATAATGGTCGGACGTATTGGAGTGCGTCGGATGATGACGCGTATCTTCGTACCTCACACTTGGCGATTCTCGCGAGGAGCGACATGCTTCCGGTTAATACGTTCGACGGAGCCGCTAGTGTAGAACTGAACGAAATGTGTGGCAAAAATAGCCTTGCATCTATTTGACGTAGTACACGATGTTTTCCAGTAAGATAGTACACGGTTATTTACAATGCTGCGTGTGCGATCGATATCTCTTCAGGAATGTAAAGCGGGATGTGCTCTCGAGAATTTTCAGTGTTTAAGATGTCGCCACAATGTTACGTCGACAGGTTTTGCTGCTAAGAAAGATAGATGACCGACTGTAGTCGGTGCTATAGGTTCGTCTCCGTCGGAACCAATCGATAGGACGATTGTTGCGACATTTAATCGAAATTTTGCACCAATTTTAATCCAAATTTCGCTTGATTTTATATTCATTAATAAAACGATGGCATTTGTTTTTGTATTTTACTTAGGTTGATTTTTACCTATAGGAAAAATTTTATTTAATTGGGTGTAATATTAATATAAAACCAGTGCGAAATTTATTTTTATATATAAAATATGTATATGTAAAATATATACGAAACTAACTTTTGCAAAATTTTATTTTGGTAATGCAAAATGTACATATATGAAAGGATAGAGTTAGATATATCAAATTTGAGCACCTACCATTCTAATTCGCATTGTTGTATGTGCATATAATTTTATAATATATGTCTAAAGCACAAAAAAAACAAACTATGAGGATTAATATTTAAGTAATTTATTTTTTATATTGTTTTGCAAAGAACTGGATTTTACAAAGAATTTGATTTTACATTAAATAATTGTATATATTTAATTGAGAAGCACTTTAAATTTTATTGTCGAATTTTTTTCCTAGTTATTGATTTTTATCTTAGAGCCGATACGTTGTCTATTGAGGCATCTTAAGTGTCATTATGTATTTTCAACTTCGCGCTATGTAACTTTGAGTGGTTCCATTGAATTAGAATAATAGAAAATAACTGAAATAGATCCGTTGTGACTTATTTAGACGAGCAGACGTTTAAATGAGACCTTAAATCGATATAAATGGTGCCTTCGACTGACCAACTGCTGGCAACTTGTTAGCTTCGACGGAACGAATGCTGCGAGAATTTTCTTCGGTACCTAAGATGTCACCACAATGTTGCATCGGATAGCTGCTGTATTTAATTTATACTAAATAATAATGTGAATTTTAGACGTACATTTTTAAAAATGTATACTGATTGTAGAATACGACTGATAAATTTTTGACACCTCGTATATTTATTAGAAAGCAAACAACTAATGTTGTTATGAAAATTGCAACGTAGTTTTTGGCCAATTATTATAAAGTATATCATAGAATCATATTAAAATGTATGTGCATAATTTATTATAAAACTCGAAACGGCGCAATTCATTAAATTTTCATTATTAGCACTAAAAAAAGTCACTTAATTTTTTACATAACAAGCACATATTACTTTATAATTGTGCTATAAATATACAAATTTCATAACAAGTGCCTGCGATCAACTAGATAATTTACAACGCAAAGAATTAAAAAAACATTATAATTCAAAATAAGTTCAATTTATTATAATATATGACATTCTAAGGATAATGGAATCCAAAAAACTTCAAAAGTCACTACTTAATGAAGTATCCCGCCTTATTGAGATTAACTTTTTGAGACTTTTTTCCGATGCTTATGTATCGGTATAATCGATACTGAGAGTAAAAATTCCACAAGAGCGACGTTTGTTTTGCTCGCACGAGTTCCGGGATCGAGTAGATACGCGCGTGGAATATTGAAGGCAAAAGCCGAGCCGTCGATGATTGCCGGCTGTGCATATCACGTGATTACGTGGAACTTGATTGGTGGACGATCATTGGAATCAATGAAGTTCTACCCGTTATGCTAAATCCATTCGACCGTCTATCACGCACACGATCAGACCACGTGTCCGATTCCCGGATTTATTTACGTACCTATCTACTGCGCTGGAAACCTGGCTGGAAAACGCAATTTGCGCTTTCCATTATTGCAGCAATTACAAATAGTAATGGGAAACGTTACCAGAAATTGAATTGAATGACGCGCGATGATGCGTTGAATTCAGTAACGTCAACTTTCTAGATAGATTTCCGTGAAATTAAAGGCTCTTAGAGATCTACAATCACACACACACATACGCAACATCGGCTAAAATTACAATCTTTCTATGACAGTAAGGCACCACTTGGCGTTAACATTAACAAATATTTACAATGAATTAACTTGTCTTATCACAATGCAGAGTAATGCTTCGCTGAAGAATCTCAAACGGTTTTCAATGAACTCCTTTCTAAGTGATAAGCAACACAGAATTTTCAGACTTCATCTGACTTCCCGTTTGTCACTACATCTATGTATTTATATTAACGAAATATATAATTTTGTGAAAATTTTTAAATACATTTTACGGTAAAAAAGACATAAAGCAGCTCATCTAACTACGTAGAACCATTCGTTCAACTGTCCATATGTATAGAGCTAATTGTATCGGTATCCTCGGTGCGATCTACAGTCTTTCTTATGTCATCGAACGTGTTGGTTTATGCACGAACGGCCAGTCGCGATGAATTACACATCGCAAGATGCCGATAAATGCCTCATTATCGCAACTTCGTAAATCGTAGATCGTGAATGCGAGATAAATCGTGCACAAAGTTAAAACCGCTCGCGCTTCCTGCTCCGGAGATTTCGAATGCGCGCTCCGTTCGACGTGTGTATCTTCGACTGCTGTCAGCGGAATAACGAAAAGTGGAAAGCAAGCGAAAATATGTCTTCTCGTAAATGGAAATCGGTCCATCGTCTGTCCGTCTCATGTGCCTCTGACATAACACGCGGTGATAATCTCTTTGACGTTAACCACCGCGAACGAAATGCACAGCAATACGTGGAGTTCAAGTCGCGGAGTTTTCCGCGTGTCATTATCATCGCGTCGTCTTATCGAGAATTGATATTAAACCCGTTCAGATCCCTCTAATCTCGCCACTTTAACAAATTGGAAACACTCGCGATAGCAACTCACTCGACACACCGTGTTTAATTCTCTCAATGACTTCCAATAACAGCCATGTCATTTCGCATCACTGCGCGCAGCAGCACGCAGAGAACACGTATTTACATACGAAGTTAAAATAATTTAATCTCGTCTGTTTTGGCACTCTTGTTCGGCAAGAACAGCGCATTGTAATTGTTTCTACGATAAGAAAGTCATCGAAGTTATTGCAGGAATGATTGACGCACCGAAGTTTGAAGACATCGTTCGTCCTTCTGAATACGCGGATTATTTTTTTAAACTACATAGATCATTCTGTATGTTCAGATATTTATGACACAGTATAGAAATTTCCTGTATACATGCGCGAAATTAATATTTTTTATAAACAGCGAACTAAAAAACTGTTTTCACCTCGTATCACGACAGGTGCTTGTCTCGAATAATCACACTGCACGTCACATTTGTGTAAAATGTAAACGGCAAATACGTTGGCTGATGTTTTATTCTTCTTCCTCCAGAGAGAAATAATCGTGGGCTTAGAGCATGTTTTAACGAACCATTTGTATTCACGCCGAAAGAGCGCGACATTCGCGCTAGCGCGAACGTCTATTTCTACGATTCAGTACGAGGGTTTTCTGAGCGCTGGCTTGTGTAAAGATTATGTTATCGCAGCCCGACAGGGATATCGTAACGCGTTTTGTAACGCGCCGTTCGACACACTGAATATTAAGCCGACTGCACAACGTGAACCACTTTGCAAATTAAACAGTCTTCGGACGACCGTCGTATTTCACCTCACGAATGGAGAAGACACTAAGCTTGAGGGAGACAGGCAGCCGCTGTTCGTTTACGTCGATGCGAAACGACAAAGCAAATATGTATTTTTAACGCTCAAATATAATTGTAGTCAACAGTCAACGACGATTCTCCGCGGCTCCGAATGGCTTCGCCGACGTGACAATAATCTCGGGGCCGAAAGGTTTTTGGGCTTCCGGGATGATTCTATAAGGAAATGTGAAAGTCCGTCGCCTATCCTAGACAGAGTAGAAAGTTTTTTCCTCTCTTTTTCGAGCCATTTAGAGGATTCTCCTATAGGTGTGTGTATTCGTTGAATTACATGTATGTATGCGTTTGTGCAAAATATGTACGTATATATCCAAGTTATCCGTGTTCGTGAGCATTCATATCACTGTATTTTACATGATTAGAAATCGTATACGTACGCGCATGTGCGACCGGACACGCGTGTATGTCTTTTCCTTATCTTTCTTTCCTTCTTTTCTCTTTCTCTCCTTGCCGGTGAAACATGCTGCGTGCAATTTAATTGTCAAGGGGAGAATAACTCGGATAAGGTTGAGTCACATTGAGGATTGCTTCAAGGCAGTAATGGCAGGATATAGTCGCATCCATATTTTCATCGGCATTTTGTTTTTTTTTGTTCGTTTTACTTCTAGAGTTACTCAGTTACGGCGTTTCAGTTGTATTTCGGTGATAACAGACTCCTTATCGAAAGTGCAAACTTTCTCTGTTCTTTATTTCTTCAACCAACAATCTTTCTGCCGTGAGTTTGGAACGTGTGCGGTCAATATTATCTCCCAAAATATATCAGTGTCGAATTTCAAAATACTTATCTGAAGTTCACTCGTGGGTTTCTGTATTTTCAGAAACTTCAATAACTATACGCGTTACTAGATAAAATCTCTTCTTAATCTTGAAATAGAGTTGTACACTGCTCTACGAAATTTCTAAATTCTCGCTTATTTTATTATGCGAGCTGATATTCTTTCGTCAGATTAAGTATTTCTAAAACATGTCATTGTTACCCTGATAGAAATATATGCAGTTTTCCTAGACATCCATTTAATTACTGTCTAATATTAATGTATTCTCATTAATTGTAATAGTATTACGTAAGAAAAGGATAAGAACTTGGCAGAGTTTTATTCAGGAATACTTATAGGGCAAAACCGCGCTCATTTCATGAGCAAGCTTTGCTTAATAATCGATTGAATAATTTCTCGTTCATTTATTGTTCTGTTTTCGTTCAGTTTCGTTCAACGGGTTCAGA